CGTTCTGTGGCTGTAATTTGCAGATGAGATTTCCTGCTACTTTTTGTTTTAATAATATATTTGATGGACTCTGTTTCTGACATCTCAACTCTGCAGGCACAATGGACCAATGCATAGATAGAGGTCTTTCTATAGAGCTGATCTTGTTTTAGAAACCACAGTGTTCAAAACAGGAGGGGAAAAATTACCTTATTTGCCATTGCCATGCTTCGTTCACAGATTAGCTTTTGCATTTAGCTGGAGTAAGTTATGGTTAATGAGCTATGGAGCCAGATTGTTTTTACAAAATAGCATTTTAGACATAGAAGCCTAGGACTTTGGAATGTGTATTAACACAGAGGCAAACCTTTGGAAGGGAAGCATAAAAACAGCATTCAGTTGAAAACATGCAAAGCAGTTTCATGCAGTTTCATTTTGGTGTCACTGTCTATCCAGCAGTGATCTCCTACCAACATTTGGAGATGTTTTCTATTAGGGAAAAATTAAAATAAAACCCAAAACAAATCATGTGTGTGGCTGTGACTAAATCTAGCATTTTCTGAGAGCTGGAGACAGATACATTCATCACGGCCCACAAGACAAATGTACATCCCTCCCACCCCACTGTTATTGTGGGCTCTGGCCAAACTGGCTTTCAACATGTTTTGCCAGGGGGGAAAGATTTGTTTCTCCTCCCAGCAGAAAAAGGATAAATGATAAATGCACATTCACCACATATAAATGTATGGCTGTTGTGGGCACATATTGGCTAGTGTCCATGACATAAATGACATAAATAGAGCTGGTAAACATACGCTTTCACACTGCCCATTTCCAGAAAACTTTTAAAACTAGATTATTTTTTAAAAACCTGGGAGGTGAAGGATGAAATCACTCTGTTGCATAGGTATGCATCCTAAGACAAAACAAAGAAAGGGAGTACATTTCAGCTGCTTGAATCCTGATACTTAGAATTGGTGCCATAAAGATTTAACCTTAATTGAATTAGCTTTGACCTACAGAAAACAGAAACATCAATGAGGTTTCTCTCTAGATAAAATAAACAAGAAAGCCACTTAGTTGCCACAAGATTTCAAAGTGTAAGAGAAACTTGTTCTATAACTCGGACAAAAAGGGTTGTATGCATTACTCAGATTATAAGGAAATATGGACAGCCTTTACTTTTCTGAATGCAAAGAAGCAGGGAGAGAAAAGGTCTACAAAATGATGCAGCCAAAGTTAAGTACATGTCAGTCCCACTGATGTCAATAGGAGAGACTTAAGTACCTGCACAATTTCCCCATTGACATACATGGGGTTTAACCGTGTTTAACTCTGGCTGGATTGCACCCTGATACTGGTTCACTTGCTTATGCCATCTAGAAAGTTTTACTGAAGTACCTTTTGAATCAGGCCACCACTCCTAGCATGGCAAACATCCTTCTCTTTCCCTCGTATCATTAGCATCAATATCATGTGCACTGATCAAGAGCGTGCTGGGTATTCTGGGTAGAAGGGATGTCAATATTTCTTTATTTCCATTCATACTCTGCCCTGAAGAATACCCTTGAACCATCTCCTGGACAGACTCATTTTGTATATGCAGGGAAAGTTTTTATGCAAAGAAGCGTTCAAACATCCAGTCCCTACCAGCAGTCTAGAATACTCTAAGCTCAGCAGCAGATACACCACACAGGCTTTTGCACTCCTGCTTTGCTCTAAATCCGTAATACATGGCTTTGGGTTTTAGGTGGTAAAGACTGAGACAGTAGATAGTGGAGGTGGTGCTACTGTCTGTATTTAGCTGAAATGCCTATAGAGCGTTGGTTGAGTTTAATTCTTACACCGGGACTGTGTATGGTCAATGCAGCATATGGGGAAGCAATTTTCTCTCTCCCTTAATCCCAACCCTACACTTTGAGCAAAAGGGACTTGATCAAGAACCAGATTCCCAAGATGCTATAGGCCAGCTGGTGTTATCTGTGGTTGGATTTACTAAGTGATATATCTTGAGTATTAAGTAGCCACAATGGAAAAGTCAGATGTTCTTTTGTGAATTTTAGAAAACTCCTGTAAGGTCAACAGACTATGTTTCTGTGTACAGTAGAATACAATATGGTGGTTGCTGATTTTTTCTGTAGGGAAAACTGGTTCAGGAATGGCTCCGTGTCTCACTCCAAATTATGAACACAACCAGTACTGAAATCTGTCATGGGTAATAACTTTATAGGGCTCAAGTGATATGGTGTCTGTGCTGACTCTATTAGACTTCCTTGTTTAGGGAGTCTGATCTAAAATGACATCTTCAAAGTTTCAGGTGGGGGGGAATATGTCAAAGTCTTTTGCAACATATTTATTTGCTGTTGAATACATTCAGAGGTCTTCTAAGAACTTCCTCTGTTCTGATGCAGAGCATCACTAAGTACCAGCAAGGTTTCCATCTTCACGCTCTGTCTGTGAGCACCCATGGCAGCTGGCCGGCTGATATTAGAATTTGAATGCTTAACAAGCTGAATGCTTGCTGTGAGCAGCATGACAATTCTTAGGTAACTACGTCTTGCTGTTCTGTACAAGGAAGACCAGGCTGGTATCTGGCATAGGAAACTCTCTTAAACCAAGGTGGACCATTGGACCCTCTGGCCTAGTAATGGCCTCTGCACTGACTGGCAGCAGCTGCCCAAAGGCCTTGGTGCAGTGGTCCTGCTCTCTGGAAGATCCTTTAACCCAATGCCAAGCACAGGACCTGAAGCATGATGGTTTCAAAGCATCTCTTCTGCCACTGAACTGCAATTGACATAAACGTGGCAGGAGGGTCACCAGAGAAGCATGGAATGAATTTATAAGGTATTTTCCAATGAAGCCTAATGCACTCAGAATTGGGCAGGTGTTTAAAAATCTGTATATCTTATACACACAGGGAAGTAGTAAGTATATCCCATAGCAGAGAAGAAAGAGTGGCCCTATTTGTTTGTAGCAGATCAGATGCCTGCATTTCTAAAATGGACTTTGGACGATAGCTTCACTGGGGAGTTTAAATCAGGAAACCAAGTTTTCTTGTTATGACCAGCTGGGGTGAACGCCTGCCTACCAAGGGATCTTGCTCATTCAGCTCAGCCCTTTCCTTCCTTGTAATCACAAATTACAGCCCTTGGTGCAGTATGCATTAACAATAACCACATACACATAGGCAGCCCTCCATTTCACAGTGTGCTTTTGTCACATGACGGATAACCACAGATGTTTAAAATGGAGAACTTTCAAAGGCCGTATTTTGGTGCACTTATATTTTAAAAGTTGCACTGGACATTCCAGACACGTGGAAAGAGAGGAAGCATAAATTTGTTGGGCTTCTGCTCCTCACATAAGGAAGGAGTTACACATTCTTAGAGCAAAGGCAGAACACATACACATTTCTGAAAAGAACAGGCACATCACATTGCCTTCAGATGAAACTTGAAGCTGTGGGGAAAGGAAGCTACTCAAACTTTTGCTACTTCTCTGAATTAGCTAAAGAAGCTCTCAGTGTGCAAAACACTGCAAAACACAACACATTATTTCAAGTAGTACAGCAAATTCAATGAGAATTGCTGATGCCCAGTGCTATTGACTAGCCACAGTACCACTTCCCTTCAGAAGCCTTTCAGAATGCTTTGGCAAGCCTCATTTGTGGCAAGCTACAGTAGTGAAGGCTAATTCGCACAACTGTTCTGCCACAGCATGAGAATTCATATGCAGTAACTGGTCTTGTGTATGCTCCAGCATACATCAGGAATTGTAACTCACCATTTCCTAGGTAAGATTTTACAGGAGGCACTGAGCCAAAATCTCTACCAGACATGTTACAGAAGTGCCTGGGCATTCACAAGACCATTCACTACACCAGGAGAGACAACCTGTGATAGCATCATCATCCTGTCAGTCACACGAGAGTTTAGAACTCTCAGCACAGCTAGAAACAAAAGGTAGGCGAGACGGCTCCAACTCACCCAGGCATCCCAAATGGGCTTTGTTCACCACACTAAGAGCTACTTTACATATATATGCATACATGGGTATAGGAAAACAAATATGTACATTTGTGTATACTGTCATGTGGGTATTATGCACATGGCTGTTTGTACTTCTTCGCTGATCCTGTCCCTCTCAAAAACAAAACAACCCAATCGGGGTGGCATAGGCAGATATACCAAGAGAGTGAGCAATACTGTAAAGCAGGACTGCTTGGGTGGAACTTTTATGTGACTGTCAGAATCCAGTAGGAAGTGGCAGGCTAGTGGCATTTTGCTCCAATCCAACGTACTATTTTGTTTTTTCTCATATTCAAATGTCAGCCTTGGCTGCAGGTTCATAAGCACCAACTCAGAATTAGACCATTGCTGAGTAAGCATCCATGTGATGGGAAGGGAACCAACCTTTTCTCAAAATGAGGTGGAAGAAAGCAGTTAGTTTTCACATCGCTGCAAGATCCAGTTTGCAGTCCAATGTTAGGAACTAAGATAAAGAATACTATACATTTGAAACCCTTTTGATCTGAAAGGTTAATGCAAAATTGTGTATGCTTTCTACCCCTGAACAAAACCAGCACAGATAGAAATATGGAGAAGAATAAAAGAAGAAAATGATAATGCTCAGAAATCACCTCTATTTAAATAATCCAGTTGAGACCTTTAGTTAATGAAAAAGCATATACTGTTACCTACACTGAAAATAGAGTAAATCATTGAGGAACTAGCATGAGTGTCCATTAGAACATTCCTAGATTCATTAACTCAGCACCCGATACTGTTAGATCTGACCCTTCCCACCCTCCCAGAGTCATTGCAGTTGGTGATAAATGCAACATTTCAGAATTGCAGTATAAAATATGGCCATTTTAAAAAATCCTTCTTTCCAGTCCTTCACTGAGCTTGCAATGCAGGATGAAATCACCCGGGAGAAGGCTTGCCTGCATCTCCACGCCTGCCTGGGCACTCCCCCCACCTCTGACCTCTTCCAGAGGGCGGGGGCAGCAGCAGTCTGGATCACTTGGTCCCTGTATGCACTGTTGTCACTGTGGTCTGCCTTGGTCTCCGCTCTCCTACGGCAGAAACCGCGGATGAAGCCGATGATGCAAAACTACAGGGGGTGGATGGGGACATACCTGAAAGAGAGCGACAAAAGTCAGAAGCCACCAACGGAAAAAACAAGGAGCTTGTGTGGTGTAGTTGTCTGAGTGTTGGGCAGAGACAAGGAAACCCAGATTTACACTCCCACTCAGGGAGAAACTAAATTTTATGATGAACACAGGGCTACTGCCAAAAATGCCTGTGTTACAGTTTTGCCATCCCTGCTCTGTAATGTCTAGCATAACTTACCTCACATTCTGAAGCCATTAATTACCCTGTGAATTTCCCTGTCTCCCACGATCCAGTGATGTGGACTGGGGATGGGAAAATGCACAGTGCAATAATTTCAAGGGACTGGGAAAGTTGTACTAGATGTTACAGATGGGGAGTGGGAGATTTTGACACAGGGCTGCCATTTCCAGGGATAGCTCCCAAATACATAATACAGTGGTGCCTCGCAAGACGAAAAGAATCCGTTCCGCGAGTCTCTTCCTCTTGTGGTTTTTTCGTCTTGCGAAGCAAGCCCATTAGCGGTTTAGCGGATTAGCGCTATTAGTGGCTTAACGGATCAGCTGATAAGCGGCTTAGTGGCTTAACGGATCAGCTGTTAAGCGGCTTAGCGGATCAGCTGATAAGCGGCTTAGTGGCTTAACGGATCAACTGTTAAGCGGCTTAGCGGATCAGCTGATAAGCGGCTTAGTGGCTTAACGGATCAGCTGTTAAGCGGCTTAGCGGATCAGCTAATAAGCGGCTTAGCGATCAGCTGTTAAGCGGCTTAGCAGCTTAGCGGATCAGCTGATAAGCGGCTTAGCGGCTTGGGAAAAAGGGGGGGGGAACCCCGCAGGAACTCGCAAGACATTTTCGTCTTGCGAAGCAAGCCCATAGGAAATTTGTTTTGCGAAGCACCTCCAAAACGGAAAACCCTTTCGTCTAGCGGGTTTTCCGTCTTGCGAGGCATTCGTCTTGCGGGGCACCACTGTATAGTTTAGTTCTGTTCTCAGCCATGAAGCTCAGTGGGCCAGTGACTTTCTCAGCCTAATCTACCAGGCAAACTCAACGATGAAGTTAAAATGGGAATACTCTGCATCTGCTACCTTGAGAGTTCCTTGGAGGGGGTGGTGGAATGAAATTGTGATTATGAGTTATGATGATGCCAACATTCCTGTTATCCTGCAGGGAACTGCTCTTTCCAGAGACAGAAAAAAGTTTGTAGAGAAGTTTCTAGCCCGTCATTCCTCAGGGGCACTGTCTCTACAGTGAATGCAAAAAGCAATTGGAATGACAGTCCACATGCCTTTCTCATCTTTGCAGCAGCTGTGGGTTCAGTGGGGCATGGTCTATCCACCTGGGCCACAAGCAGCTTCCCCCTTGAGATTGGGGGAATTCGTGCGTTCCTCATAGAACAAACAGGTGACAGAAGCACACTTCTTTCAGGAAGAGGCTTGGGGTTCATCTTTTGTAATAAAGATACCCACAATGAATTTTTGTTGTCATTTTAGAAGAAGAAACCAGCCCTGGGTTCATGAAGCAAATGTTTTTCATGCCTCGTAATGGAAAGTCACTGCCTTTTGCATTGTGGGATGCAGATCTATTGCATACAGGCCACTGAAGTCTTTAATTTTTTTAAATAGCTAAGTCTGTAGCTTAAATTAAGGTTTGCAATAACAGTTTCTACCAGTGATTAGTCTGAGGCTCTGACACATGCATGCAGATACCTGATGCCTGCAGTCCACGCAGCCCCTTCAATGTACTTTGATAATTTACCTTACAATGTCATTTAGCTGTAGGGAAGTTTGTTCTCTCACTAATCTTTTCATTGAGGAATCCTGATAAACTTTCCTGGAGCCCTGTTTGAAGACTTCTGAGTAACAGCAATTTGAAGAAGGAGGAAACCTAACCACTTTGAAAAGCAACTTCTTTGGGCTCCTTCTTCTAACATTGCTTGGGAGCATTCCTTTCAACAATTATTTAATTTACTGGCAGTAACAAATTAAAAAAAAATTATGTATTATGTTTCAAAAATAAAAACTAAATACCCAACAATTTGCTGTCCTTTTGTGCTATGCCAAATCTGTTGCCTATGGTGGCTGCCTCACTTGGCTCAACAGCAGGTCTGATCCTTAGTCTATCTGGGCTCTGCAAACGTGTGAAATGTGTTCACTTTTTGTCTCACTCTCCCCAGCCGTTTCATTTGCCAAACAGTATCATTCTTGGTTTCTTCACTTCCCCTCATCAAATTGTTCAAAAGGAGGGGGGAAAGGAAAGCTCATTTCTGGACATGATACTCAGATCCTGTATTATAAACTGGATTATAAACTCTTTGGATATTCATGGCAAAAATGCCCATGCAGAACTGAGTTGTTGACAATATACCAATGTGCAAATGTTTGATCTCCAGAGAGAAAACAGCAGTTGCAGATAAGAGGCATCCCATTTATTCAAATATAAATGACAGTTGTGCTGTCCAAGTGAACCAACTGGGAGACATGCTGTGCTTTTGGGAGAAAGATGATTCAGCCCTAGGTGAGATCCCTGTGTTTCAGGAAATACAGGCCAAAAACAATGTCTTTAATGTGTTATGCTGGGAGCGGCCACGACTCAGTGCATGCAGAAGGCCCCAGGCTCAATCCTCATTCATCTGTAGTTCGCATAGCAGGTGGTGAAAATGTCTTCTACTGCCAGTCAAGACAATACTGAGCTCGTAACAGTCTGAAAGCACAAGGCTGCTTCCTATGCTCCAATGCAATAATTCAGGTCTGACTTTATAATTAAACAGAGCAAGGAGGCAGGCCCTCCCTGCCACCCTCTTGCTGCTGCCCAGTGCCATCCTCCTGAGCTGCCTGCTGTCTAGCTGTCTTGTTTAGCCACCTTCTCCCAACCTGCAACTGACAGTGCCATGACGAAAGGCTGTTGCCCAAGCAAGCAGGCAGAGAAGCAGCCAGCCCAAGACACCACCATCTCCGCCCAGGTGTCATTGCAGCATCAGCTTGAGCGAGGTGTGCACTAGGCAGAGCAGGGAGCGAGAGGTGGCACAGATGACCTCTAAATGCCTGCTGATACCTAGTCTCAGATCTGGCAAGCTTTGCTAGTCTGGGGTCATGTACTCACAATCTTTCCTGGCTGTTCCATCAGGTAGTGGCTTCGCCAGGCTGAGGGAGCTTGACATGCTTACATTTGAACTGTCCAAACTGCTGCCAAGATGTAACCTTCTCATGTGTCTCACAACTGCTGTGGCATTAAATGCTTGCTGGAAAAAACAACACAGAAATAAATGAACAAGCTGCTCTTGGGTATTTGCCTGGCTTCTGGAACCTGGTGAAGGAAAAAAAGTGGCCCTTGCACAAAGCACCACAGACTTCAAAGGAAGACATCTCTTTAATCAGATAGGATGTCCTGTTGTCTTACTGTATCATTTGGTGATGTGCTTGTGTGTGTGTGGCTTTGTGCGTATGTTTTTAACAGTTACTTCCAAAAATATTATTTCCACACAATACTAAGAGAAAACATTCACATTCAGCAAATATATTGTTTCACTTCCCAGTGCTGAAGTGTTGAGGGTTTAAGGACATACAACCAAAGCTGTGATGAGCGGTAGCTACGTAGGGCAGATGGTGCCATGCCACCTGTGATTGGACGGTGTCTGGGACATGTGACTCAAGAACAAAGAACATCACCACATACCATTTTGAACATGGCCTTCCCTATCTCTCATGCCCTTTCCCTTCCATCACTAGACCAATCCAAAGCACCATTCCCACCCTCAGAAAGGGACAAGACTAGACAGTTATGACCATTGCACTGCTAGTTATATATAGCAATACTGCAAGAAGACAGAGAAGTAAAGTGAAATCTAAATATTAGATACCAATTAGTAGTTTAGAAATTGGAAACCAGTTAATTGTTATCACCACTTCCAAGAAAGTTAGCTATGCTTAAGTTCCACTGAAATCAATGGTGCCTGATAATTGAAATCTGCATAAATGACATTGATGCCATCAGTTTTTAAACTTGACTTGCTGGGCCAGGGCTACTGCTAAAAAGGCATTTTAGTAGTTAAATAAATATAGGTGGAGGGCATGTATGTTTTGGACTTGCAAGACTGGAATTGTTTGGGGTGCTATGGAGGATATGGCCGGAGCATCCTATCCCCCCTCTTCCCAATTTTCTCCTTTATAAAGCAGAAGGAGAAGGAGAAAGGAAAACATGGGTCCATTATCTCAGAGGACCTCTCCCAGGGCCCAGTTCAGCTGAACTTCTTCACAAAAGAATTGCACCTCTACGCCAAGCTAAACTTTCCCATTGAAAATCAGAAGCATTCTTTTGAAAATTGGGAAAATTTCCATGTTTTGCTCTGTAGCAGACTCCCTTATAAAGCTAAAATCATTTCTTCCCAACAGTACAAGCAACTGAGAACATGATAGCTTACTCTCCATTTGCTTTTTGCAAAGTTCTTGCGAATCTGTGCACTGACGGACTCGTGAATATTTTTATTGAGGGCTGTGTCACCAGCAATCCTGAAAAAAGATAAATGAGACATTTGAAATGTTTGGTTCAGAATATTGTTTTACAATGCTCTCCTCTCTGTTCTTCACTCTACAAAGAATAGGGTGCAATCTAGTGCTCTTAAAATGAGTTGACATTTTGGCCATAGACTTCATTGAAAAATGGGCTGCAGCACTGATACTTTTCAGTGAAACACAGAAGAAAGTCCATCATTTCCCACTGGTGGAGCTCAACTAAGCCCTCCCTCTGCTGAACATGCGTGTGGTATAAATCCGAAGCAGGCCAGACCAGCTCCAGTCCCCAGGCATGTGTGCTCTGCTCCCAGGCCTGTTTGACATCTGCACTGGCCAGTGGCAAAATAACAACAATAAATCATCATAAATATAGCAGCATTATTACATGACAGGTCCCTACCCTGAGGAGTTTATAATCTATATTTTGACAGTGAGAGAAGGCAAGAGTGGAAACGAAGGGTGGAGAATGGAGAAATGGGAGAGGCAGGAGCAGGAAGAAGTATACAAGTGTGTAAACACAGATACAGACATTTGGGCTTTGTTTTAGATGGCAACAGGGAATAGGGAATAGCCATGTCCACCATTGCTACTTGCTGCTCATCAGAAGCTCCTCTCCCATTAATTGTGGTACCTTTAGCAGCTGCAGGATGGTGCAAATCAGTAGATCAGTCCAAAGCCCCACATCTGCATCCCTCCCAGTCACCCCTCCCTTAAAGCCAAAGGAAAATGCTGCAAGACCTTTCTTGAAATTCAATGTTTTTCTCTAGACATAACTTCTAAGCTTTAACTGGCTTGCTTGCTATTTTTTTCCTGCCTCAGGATATGCAGCTGTTTCTAAAAGCACTCAAGGTCTATTGTGTTGTGAATAGCCCCTAAGCAATGAACTAACACCACATAGTTTTAAATCAAATCTGATCGTGAGGTTTTTCATACCCAAAATCTTAGCAAAAAAGCACAGACTGTGCAAGACTCTGAACGAAGTGATGCCCTCTTAACAACATTCTCATTCCCATATCAATCACTTAATTACTACCAAGGGAAATATTAAAAGTCTTGTGCAGCAATGTACAAATCAATGAAATTTAAGAAGTTTGATGCAGCCATAATGGAACCCTAAAACAAGTAAACACTGGCTGAAACCAGTGGAAAAGAGCTGGGTGTGAAGGAAGCAGGTGGTGCCAGTCAGCAGGCAAGTGGCCAGAAACTTGCATTCAGTGCGATTCAGGAAGCAATCCTATACCATTTACCTGAGCGAGAATAAGCCCCATGGAGTGCAATGGGACTTGCACTGGGGCAGGCATGTATAGGACTGTGTTCACACTTCCTGTTAAGGGTGTTTATCATCGCCTGTGAGCAGGCTGCATTGAATTCAATGGGGCTCACTTTGGAGCAGAAAAATAGCATTGTGCCATTGTGCTGTTAATGTTTTGAGTCTTTTGTAAATCTCTTGCACTATTTGCCTGAAATGTGAGGTATAAATCATGGCATATATATCCAAAATAAAGTTATGGTAAAGCCTGTTCAGCTATGGCTTGATGACACGCACACACACGCGCGCACACACAAACACACAGAGAGCTAACTGTGATTGGTTCAGGGTCAGAGACCCGATTCCTTTTTCATCGCTGGGTCATTGACTTTAACCTATCCTGGCTGCCCAGGTGACAAATACAGGATTACCAGTAAATGGGGATCAAGAAAGTATTTGGTACTATTATCAATGCAGAGATAACTACAAAACTAGTGACACTAATTGGCATCTTTCCTGACAGTTTAACTAGGATGAATAAGCACAATAGATTTAACTGACCAGGAGGAATTCCCATCCACAATACGTAGTTGGGCAGCATGTTGATGCCTGTCTGGGAGACTGAGGAGGCAGCCACAGATTCAAGTATCAGAAGCAATCTTGCTGCTGACAAGTGAGCATCCCTCCTTCTGTCCGTACAGAAACATCAGCAGGACTCCTGAAATGTTCCACTACACCCATAGTGTGAAGTCAGTGCCATGGCAGGATGGGAATCAGCAATACTCTGAGAAGGGGGCAGTGGTGACTTGCACAGGGTGGGAGGGCTGGAGAAATGCCAGCGTAAGACAAAAGAAGCAATTGCCTATGAAATGCCCTGCTTAGGCTGAAATCCCAGATAAAGATTACCTGCATCCTTTGCATACTGATCTGTGTGTGTTTGTGTACATAAATGAGAGGGGAAGTAATTAATATTACTATTTTTTGTTTCGTTTTCGATATATCAGACATGGTTTACACATCATGTAATACCTGGGTACACACTATTTTTGCCTCCAAGTATGCACTAGCATACTAACAATGGTTTAATTAACACTGGGTAATTAAAGAGTGCAACTGGCTCTTGGGTTTACTGAGGAGTTACGTGCTTTGCTACCCATGTCTTGTCAGTTGGCTGCAGGTGAGAAGCAGTTTCAAGATGAGGGGCTGTTGATAGCTTTTCTCTTCCTCCGCCTTGTTTTTCCACTGTTCTCTAGCATAGATTGTAGGTGATACTGCAGCATCATAACCTTGGGTTATATGTAATAGTAATGGGAGTCATCTTGTGTTACTAATATGCTTTGCTTTCTAGGGATGATCCTTCCAATTCCAAACCTATATTGTTATGCAATCTCTTATCTTCCTGGTCTTGTGTGGTGTGTGTGTGTGTCTGCGTGCGTGTGTGCGCACACACACACACATGCATTGGGGGAGGATTCATTTTCCTGAGGATGGAACCCAATGTTACAAAAAATAATACGTTTGCCCCCCCCCATAGTAGCCATATGTTGAATCTCTCCCTCCTTCTCTACAACAACTTAGCTTGTATACTGATGTTGTCATGCTGTGCAGTTCCCTGATCTCACAAGCAGTAGTCTATGATGTGAAACAGCAATGGTGAAATGCACAAGACAACAATTTTAGGACACAGGATAAAATGCAATACCTATTGCTTGACAGGGGGCATCCTGGATTTGTTTCTGGGAGGGTTTAGCTTTGTTCCCAATATGCCTAGATATGGAACACTGGGCAAGTTCTCAATTCCACTGTTTTCAGAATCTGCTGTATATACTTATTGAAAGCCACTCTGGCCAAAGCCTCATTGGAAACAACCACCCAGATGATGGAAGCGCAAAGTTTGTGTAGCAGATAATGGTGCCGGAGCAGAACTCCTGAAACATATACACATCCAGTACCATCAGATTCCAAAATAAACAGAGCACTGGGAGAGGCCAGAGAAGAGTTTAAAGGAAGGTTATAAACATCACTTATTCTCCTCAGGGAGCCATTTCTCACTTTAAATAGGATTGCCTGGGAACCAACTCCTCTGTAAATCATCTTTTTCACAGAGTGACAATATAATCCTTTTACATAAACTGTTTTTAATGATGCAATTGTACTATTGGGCCTTGCTCTAACAAACAATTGAAGGACTCTGAAAGAAATTAAATGAGCCATGATTTGTCCCTATATTTTTTCCTAAGAGTCTTTGAATGAAATAGGTTTTTCCTCCACTCTCTGATCTTACAATTTTTTTTAAAAGAAAAATTATGGCTAGCCCTTGAGCTGATAATTCTGTGCATTCATCTTTTCCCTTTGAGTCATTAAAAACTGAACTCTGTGGTTTAGTACAGGATCAGGATTCTGCCTTGACAAGATGTACTTAATCAGGGTAATTGCTGTCATTTATTATCACAGATGTTGCATGAAAGAAAAAAATTGAAACACTTATCAGGCCCCAGAAAATTACTGCCTGTCTCTGTTTACCCCAAGTTCTATGTCAAAGCAATGTAGCTTGACCAGACCTTCTGCCCTGAGATGCACTAAAAGCCTTAAGAAAGAGGTTTGCTTGACAAATAATCCCTGCAGATGGGACCACAATCACCTGCCTCTTAGGTTAAACCAACCCATATAAATGTGTGGATTATTTCAAATAACATTGCCTGTTACAACAGGGCTTCCCCACTGGCCTGCTTTTGTGGCTCAGCATGGATCCTTTGCTTTTATATATGCCAGATTTGGAAAAACGTAGAAACGTAGGGTCTACACAGAGCTATAAGCAGGTGGTGAACTATTAGGGGTGTCAGGTTGCAACTTTAAGATCTCCCTCAACTTTTAACCTACTTGCCTGCCATCCCTCTTTCCCATCCTGTTATCTTTCTAATAAGACTTGCATGCTGTAATAATCAGGACTCCAGTTGTACTGCAAGGCATTGAAATAGTTTTCACTGAGTAGACAAATACTTTCCTTATGTACACATTTAGGTGCCAGGCGAAAACATTCCTCTTTGACCAGGTCTTTGGCTGATTAACATCCAATACCCTTTTAAATGTGTTGTGGAAGGGGGGATTATTGGTTTGGTTTTGTTCTTATTTTTATTATGTATTTTGTCTGTTGTGAACCACCTTGAGATCTATGGATGAAGTGTAGTATATAAATTGAAATGATGATGATGATGATATAGCACAGCCCAATGTGAGCTATTTTTTATTGAGTACTGGGGTGCCAGACTCACAGTATTTCACTGTAGGCTTCAAAATTGAAGGCTTAAGCACACTTAAATTGATATCTGTAGGACTTCTGTCAATGCATGGTATTGATTTCAACAAGACATAAGCACTAGTAACTCCAGAGCACTGTGTGCAAGAAGGGGGCATTACAATACTAACATGGTGATCAGTCTTTGTAACTGATGGCCTATATTCAAAGCCTGAATTATGGATAAAAGGTTGGGAGAAAAATGTTGTCAGGCCTTTAGCAACAGAATTCAATTGCTGATTGGGAATCAAATGGTTAAATGAAAAGAAAAATTGTGTTAGGAGCTCTTCAAATGTGTGTATTATATTTTATTCCAGTAACTAACAGAAATGATCATCTAGGCCAATAAGCTGTGTATGTTGGATAAAACATCTTGGAAAATTCTTTTCCATTCAAAAATATAAAAAGGTGACCTACTTTTCTGCTGGTAGGTATGTTCCTGATCATTTGATCTGTGCTTGAGATATCATTTTTATGACTTATTTAATTTCCTGAGGCCTGTGATGGAATGATGTCATTCAAATATACACTATTTCCTTCTCTTTGTGAAGTTTTTGACCAATGGTTAAAGGTTTCTCACACGTCCTTTTTGTTGGAAATGGTTCTGAACAGATGTGAAGAGCACTTCAATGCTAGATTCTGTGGCCTACAAACTTCCGATTCACGCTGACATTTTCCAGTTAGAATTCAGGGCCGTCCAGTGAAACTGAATGGTGGAGATTTGGGAGAGACAAATTGAAGAACAACTTCAAAGAGTCCATAGTTAAACTATGGGATTTCCTATGTGGTGCTGGCTGCCAACTTTAAAAAGAAAGTAGACAAGTTCAGACTACTGTGGATAGCTCTCTTCTACCCTCAGGATCAGAGGCAGGACACCTAGGAAGACCAGTTTCTGGGGAAGAAGAGCAGGAGAGGGCTCTTGCCCCATGTCCTGTAGGTTTCCCATGGGGACCTGGTTGGCCGCTGTGGAAACACGATGCTGGACTTGAAGGGCCCAGGGTCCGATTCAGTGCTGCTCTTCCTACGCTCTTGTTGCATTTCTGTTTTACACTGACAATATAGCAAAGTGAAGATTTGGTGGGACAATGGGATCACAGCCACTCACCTGCTTCCGTTGTAACAAATAGCACATGTGTGTACGTAGGTCCAGCATGCATTATCATGCGCACACCTGACCCTGATTTGAGGTTCGTTGGGCATGTGCACGTATGCATTAAGGATGGGGTAGGACGGCCATGACACTGAATATACCCCTCCCCTCTGAATTCATTGAACACAGCTGGCCATGTGTGAATAGTGATTTGCTCTTATTTTATTGGGAGTCAGGTTTCTGTTTTTCTCTGCTTTTGTTCTCCGTTGACACCTCCTCCTTGCCTGCAAAGTCTGAGTCTCAAACCTTTCTCTGTAATGTGATTGCAATCACAGCTCAATGCTGTTGACTGTTATGCCATTGCTGGCTATGATGCTAGGTGGGAGCCATTAAGCAAGGATTTTTCAAGGTAATTGCTCTCTTTTGTGCTTCCTTGGTATTTACCCCTTGAGTGAAGAGTTTGATAATCACTGATTAATGATGGAGACAAATGGTGTTGACAATTTCTGGACATGGCAATGAACTGAGTAACTGCTTACCAGGGATGTCGGGCTGCCTGCTCACAGGTATATCTTTTGTTTGGGTCTTTCTCCATCAAATTCCGAATAAAATCTTTGGCTGTTTTCAGAGAAGGAAGGAGGAAGTACAAGAAAAGCACACAGTGGTATTAAAGGCTCATCTTAATTTGCACATTGCAGACATCTAATTCTCTGAAACAATATGATGGTGTCCCACTGGGAGACATAACACTGGGAGATATGGGGTTAGGGTGCAGGTTCTGGTGGTAGATTAAAGTAAGGAGCATTTTATACACATATAAGGCGTTAAAGCAGTCATAAGTCAATCAAGTGAACGACCATACATAATGTAATTCAATTCTACATTTATGTGTCTCCTCAGACTGCCATTTTTATTCATAAAGCTACATCTTCCTTACCGAATTATTATTACTAGATTTCTCATACGTGATGGTAGCTGAATATTTTGGGGACCAGGAATTTGCTCATATAAAGCGTGAACTGCAAAAAGTCAACTTCCATCACAGTGAATGAATCATAGGCTAGGTCTATGCCTTCTAAAAAATGTCTATGACCAGGTCATATAAATTCTGCACCAAGAAATGCTAAATTCTGCAATCTGTATAAATTATTTTAAAATAAGCAAGTGTGGACGAGTCCTCTTATTCCCACATTATGCTTACAATGTGGGAGCTGGAGGAAAAGTGGAATACAAGAAGTGCCAGGATTCAGAAGAAGAGATGAGTACAGTGGTGCCTCGCAAGACGAAATTAATTCGTTCTGCGAGTTTTTTCGTCTTCCAGGTTTTTTCATCTTGCGAAGCACGGTTTCCCATAGGGTATTAACGGTTTTAAGAAAAAGGAAACAAACTTGCAAGACATTTTCATTTTTCGTCTTGCAAAGCAAGCCCATAGGGAAATTCGTCTTGCGAAGCAACTCAAAAAACGAAAAACTCTTTTGTCTTGCGAGGCATTCGTCTTGCGAGGTACCACTGTATGTACTGTTGGGAAGAGAGGGGAAGGCAGTATTTAAAACAATGTATGATGCAGAAAAAGTATGTTCACTAACAACAAAGGATACTGATCTGAATAAGTACCTAATTTGTGATTCTACTTGCTCCTTACCAGAGTCAGAGATATCATCCCAATATGGAGAGTCAAATTCATATTCTGCTTTAAGGATCTGCTCAAAAAGCTTGGAGTCATTTTCATCATAGAAGGGAGGATACCCACAGAGCCTAATACACACAATTTTTTAAAAAGCAGGACATTTTGAGTCACATGAGAACAAGTGATTGAAGTAGAACTTCAGTTTTTCACAATTAACTTTGGGCTTCCAAATGGAATGTCAGCCTACCCCCCCCCCCCCCCAGTATTTCACCATTTTGTGATTCACGGGCCACAATAATTTTGAGCTGTCTCAAGTGGGCCGTAGGAGTGGAAAGTTACACCATATGTGAAGCTCTGAATTAGGGCATCACTAATTCAGAACTGACTCTATTTTAAGTAAATATACACTTTTTAAGATCCCATAGAATAAGGGCCCAACCACACTTACCTTTCCTTGTGTTTGAGTGCCCCCCTTTCTTTGCTCCAGAGCTTTCCCCACAAAAACACACTCTTAAAAGCTGAAGCTGAGCCAGGGGTGCTGACATGCCCCCCTTTCCCCCGTCCTCTCCTCAGCATGCGGCCAGCAGGGGTGGGACTCATGGAGAGCAATCTTCGCCCTCGCTGGTCCCAGCCCCCTCCCAACTCCTGGATGGAGGCTGGGGTGCACTGGCAGTGGCGGGGGATGTCGGCCCCTCAATATTGGGGGGAGCTGGGCCCCCAATTCAAAATATTGAGGAGGCTAGAACCCCTTGCACCCCCTATGCCTGGTGCCAGTGATCTGAGCAGCCATCAATCTGTGGAAAACCCAAGTTTGCTGTGAAGGTTTGGGGCAAAAAACAAAAAACCACTTGGACAAGGAGCATTGACATAGCTGTCAACTTTTCCCTTTTCTTTTTTTTTTATAAGATATTTATTGAGATTTTCAAAATGTTACAAAATAAAAATAAAGAAAGAAGAAAATACAAAATAAAAATGGTTAACAAAGTAAACAAAGAGAGAAACGGCCCATTGCCAGATTTGAAAAGTCCAAACATCCCAGCATAGGGGGGTCAATCCAGCCCCCCATTTCCAAGCCAAACCAAACTTTTTCTTTCCAAATCTGGCTTTTTCCAAGTTCATTTGTCAAATCCGAAAGCTCATATTCCTGTTGGGCCTGTTCTGTCAGGACGCACTCCTGATTTAATTCCTGGGTGGGCTCCACATATTTTTCCACTGTCTGTTCAAAATTTCCCACTGCCTGTTCGAAATTTCTAGTTGAAGTCACCATCAAATTCATCTTCTCATGTAACTGTTCCAGTAGGGCATTTGTTTTATATAAAGCGCACAACAGAGCTTCTGAATACATTGTCCTGCAAGGTCAAATGTCTATTCCCACGATTGTAATCTGTAACAGCTGCCGGCTCCCTGGAATTAGTTACAGTTTCACAGTCTCCCTCTAGGGGGAAAACTTCTATTTGTTCTTGCAACAAAGTTTTCCTTTTTGAGATATTTTGTCAATATTTGTTCCTTTAAAATGTGAAGGGAAACAGTGGAATCACTATGTTTCTCTTCTTTAGCTATCTGTCAAAAACGTTTGTCTCTGGTCAATGAGCTTCAAACGTCAGTCCTGACACCCCGCTCCAGGATCAGGACGGTGGAAAGTTACTTTACTTTAAACTCACTTTAAACAGTCCGAAAAGATCCCCCTTCTTCTCCTGCTGTCGAAGGGGGGTTCCACAATTTTAAATGATGAAATCCAATCCTTTAAAGGCGATTTTCTGAGCTCTAGTTTAAGTTGTCTTTGCTTTATTCTGTCTACAAAAGAACGGAAGGCTGACTTCCTGTTTAGACCTTCCCGTTCAGTATCAAATTGAAAATAATTTTTTAAATCCAATTCCTTTCTGCTTGCAAGTCCTTATTTAAGGTCCAGTTGTTCAAAGTTTAAGTACTCACGGGTGCTTATTTTAGAGTCCAAATTGTCCCAGGAAAAAGGCAGCACTCTCCGGCAACGGCTATGCGGCTTCGCTCCACGGAAATAGCAGTTGACTCACAGCACCGCTCCACTTCCCCCTCTTCACTTCGGAGCCCGTTAATGGGTTCCTTTGCGAGTTGGGGGGGCGCTAAAGGTGCCCGCTGAGTCCCATGGTCACAGGCTTCATCCGCCTGTGGTTTTTAAAAGGGTCCCCGCTTCGCCGTAGCGGAGAAGACCCGTTTCACGCGGAGCTAGTCCCTCCAGTTCAGAGGGAGTCCGCCATTGCCGATGGCGCCACCCCGGAAGTCCAACTTTTCCCTTTTCTTGTGAGGAATCGTATTTGGAATAAGGGAATTTCCCTTTTAAAAAGGGAAACGTTGACAGCTATGAGCACTGAAGCTTTGCCCAGAAAGAGTGGGGCAAAAGGTACACGGGGATAAGCCCTAAATGAACAATACACAACTCTCTCTCTCCTACAGCAAATGCTAATATTTCCATTGAGAGTCAGCTCAAGAATTGCCATGTACAAAACAAAGTGACAGTCATTCTTCACAATATTTTTGCCAAGGGACCACTTAGTAAAAATCAGCCTTGACAGGATTTCTTGGGAGCTGTGATGCTTTCTCTGCTTGCCTTCAGCCTCCTCCCTCAGTTCTAGATAAAGGGCATTAATCGAAAAACATTAATCTGGAAGACAAGAAGACTGCTTCTCTGAGTTCCATTTTTCAAATAAGCATCACTTGTGTAGCACACTGATTTGAGATCTGTAACGAAATAGTTGCTGCTCAGCATGTTAAAAACCACGCCGTCCAGATTCCAGGGCAGTCCCCCCCAGGCAGAAGGGATGTGGTGGAGCTGGAGAAGAACCGGGCAAAGAAGGCAAAGGGGAAAGAAAAGGCTAGAGAGGCAAAACAGGGTGGGTGCTGCAAGGAGGGTGGGATCATATGGAGTATTCTGGAGGATGCCATGGTTTTTCAACACCACAAACCCATCATGGCTTTCTACCACTTTAACTGTCACCCCCCTAAGAATTGTAACTTGAAGAGATGCCCTAACTTCCCTAACTCCATAAACTATAATTTTCAGAATTCTTAGTGAAGAGGAAATGACTTTTAAATGACATGGTTTGAGCATTTCTCCCCCTCCCCAATGTTGCTTCCCTTCCTTGTTCCCCCCAAGGAGTGTTTCATTCATCCAACATGTGACATCTTCATGTAAGATCGTTGGGTGATTATCTCTCGATCCCCTGGCAGTTGTGTTGTGGGCTGGAGCAATCAATAGATCTGCTCTCAGTGTATAATTGAGGATGACAGTTTTCTGTCAATAATATTATGCAACCAACAACCAGATTTTTACTTGATCTTTGTAGCACTATAACCATATAATCACCACTTTCCCTTACAAAATTTGGCTGAGACAATAATCCAAGGTAGGCTATCACTTCAGACCAGCCTGCTGAAGCTTATAAGCAGACCTAAAGATAATCACCATTTCTCTGGTGCTTGCTCCAGCCACTAGTTTTCAGAGGTATATTACCAATTGGATAGTTTAGGTAATGGCCTCAGATTTTGGTAATAGATTAACTATGTGGTGGATTAATATTCACACATTGATGCTGGGGGGAAATATATATGACAAGCTCAAAATTTTTCTGTGTACTTTTGTATGTGAACAGAATAAACAACATAGTTTTGAGTAGGTAAGCCCCCAAGTGCAGAGATCTTGTAGAGCAGTAGTTCCCAGTTGGCAAAGTACTGTGGACCCCCAGTTTTTCAGAAGCCAAGCCATGGACCCCCTACTTTTGAAAATTTGGATATCTCTTTTTCTTATATGAATGGTGCCATGGCCCCCTGGGTGGGTTACGTGAACCCCCTGGGATCTGCAGGCTACCAACTGGGAACTCTTGTCATAGAGCATAACAGATCCCTCTCATCTTACTACTCTTGAGGTGCATACACAGAGTAGGTACTCTGCTAGCCTTCCCTTCTGTGTGGTCAAGGAGCACAGTTCACACGTCTTGAGTGAGTGGATGCAAGATGGCAAGATGCAAGGAACCACTGAGAAGGCGGTCCCTTCTCTGACACAGCCTGGCATATGATGGGTGCAGGGCAGGGAACAGGGCTCTGTCATACCTGTGGGAATCCCAGGATCCACACCCGCAATGGGCTGAATCTTCCTATTTTAAATATACAAATTGTAACAGGAAAAAAATCTGGGCCCTTCAATGTAGTTGCTTTAAAATAAAATAAAATAAATGTGACATATGGAATAACAGGAAGTTTCAAGCTGCTGAAAGCATACAATATGAATTTTCTGTTTTTTAAAAAGTCTGATCATAAAGCTGCTGAGAACTGGATATGATTAAAATGAAGCATTCAGGGCTGGCACTAAAGCAACCTTAGTATTTCTTATCACATCTTATTTTTTTTTTTTTTTAAATGATGTTTATTGAAATTTCAAAAAATACAAAGCTTACACAAAAACAAAAAATAAAAAATACAAAAGCTTACACAAAGAAATACAAAAAATAAAAAAATATGAGAAAATAGAAGATACAGAAGAAAAATAAAAGAAAACAGAACAAATTCATTATTTTCAGATCCTTAACTGTCATTACCTTCTTTCTTAGACCTCCTCCTCCTCCCTTCCTTTGTATTCTAGTTATTAATTATCCCAGCAAATCCTTTCCTTTCCATATTTCAAAAAAAATAAAACATAAAAGAAATTCTCAACTAATTTAATCCTATCTTTCTATAATAAAATAAACCTTAAAGTTTAAAATTTAAGTCTTAACTTTACCAGCTTCTTGTGTTCATAATGTTCTTTCATAATTCTTTATGCATCTTTACTAAAGCCAGGTAATTTCTTCCAACATTTTTCTATCATTCATTTTTCTATCATTCTATCATTCATCAACTTTATAAAACATTCTATTAGTTAAAAAAAAGAGAAAAAAGCATATAAACAAGTCCAATCTTTATCCAACGTCCCTTCCTCCTGGTTCCGGGATTTGTCAGTCCTTATTCCTCAATCTAACCCGGTGACCTTATGTCCGAGGCCCTCAGGTCACTTCCATGGCCCTTCCGCGGCTTTTCTTCATATTTGTGGCTGTAGTCACTTGCTCGTGATAACTCCAACTTAGTAGTGTTTTTAGCCCTTCTCATCAGATCAGACCCTTTTCCATATTCATCGCTGCATTCCATGTAGTATTTAAGAGCATGCTTCAAGGGCCCTCCGAAATTGTGGGCCCCCACAATTCCAAACATATCGCAGCCTGTTACTGTATTTAAAAAATCCAGATATCCCGACATAGGGAGGTCAATCCAGCCCCCCATTTCCAAACCACACCGAACTTTCCCTTCCCAGATCTGGTTTTTTCCAAGTTCCTTTGTCAAATCCGAAGGATCAAACTCCTGTTGGGACTGTTCTGTCAAGACACACTCCTGATTTAATGCCACAAACCCCTGTTCTGTCAAAACACACTCCTGGTTTGAGTCCTGGATAGACTCCACATATATTCCCACAGTCTGGTCAAAACCTTCCACTGCCTGTCTAAGATTTCCAGTCGAATTGGCCATCCGGTTCACCTTATCATGTAATTCTTCCAGTAGAGTATTTGTTTTATTAAGCAGGCACACCACAACTTCTGAAAACATTGTCACGCTTTCCCACGGTTATTTTGTAGTAACTGTCAAGTCCTTGGAATTAGTTACAGTTTCAAAGGCTCCCCCCTAGGGGGAAGACTTATATTTGTTTTTGCTACATTTCCAAAATACTTGAAATACTTTGTCCATATATATTCCTTTAAAATGCGAAAGGGAACAGTAAAGTCACAAAGATTCTCTTCTTTTAGCTATCTGTCACACATAGTTATCTTGATAAATTCACGCCAGTCCTGACTTCCCCGCTCCAGGATCAGGACGAAAATAACTTCCTTTTACTACTTCAAGTAGTCCAAAAAAATATTCCCAATTTAGAATGTTGGAATCCACTCTTTTAAAAGCGATTTTCAAAGCTCTAGTGTAAATTGCCTTTGCTTTGTTCTATTTACAAAAGAACGGAAGGGTGACTTCCTGTTTAGCCCTTCCCGCTCCGTACCAAATTCAATAGATTTTTTTTCTTTTTTCTTTTTATAGTCCAATTCTGTCCTTTTCACAAATCTTCATTTACTGTCCCATTTGTTCAAATTCTAAGTACTCACGGGTATTTGTTTTAAAGTCCGAATTGTCCAGGAAAAAAGGCAGTGCTCTCCGGCAACAGTTACGCGGCTTCACTCCACAAAAGAAGCAGACAACTCACAGCACAGCGCCACTTCCCCGCTCTGTTCCGGAGCCCGTTGCCGGGTTCCTTTGCAGATTGGGGGGGGGGGCGCAAACAGTGCCCGCCGAGTCCCAGAGTCACAGGCTTCACCCGCCTGTGATTTAAAGGGTCCCCGCTGCGCCGAAGCGGTGTTAGACCCAATTTCTGTGGAGCAGATTCCCTCCGAATTAGAGGGAATCCGCCATTGCCGTTGGCGCCACCTCCGGAAGTGTAACAGGAAAAAAATCTGGGCCCTTCAATGTAGTTGCTTTAAAATAAAATAAAATGAATGTGACATATGGAATAACAGGAAGTTTCAAGCTGCTGAAAGCATACAATATGAATTTTCTGTTTTTTAAAAAGTCTGATCATAAAGCTGCTGAGAACTGGATATGATTAAAATGAAGCATTCAGGGCTGGCAGTAAAGCAACCTTAGTATTTCTTATCACATCTTATTTGTTTGAGGTTTTTAACATTTTTTGAACTTGTAATCTACAATATACTCAACCGTGCATAAAAAAACAGCACTAAGCCAGAATTAGCTTCTTTCCCCATTGCTCTGTGTCCAGTTCTATCAGGGGACATATGGTATTTAATTTATTTATTTATTTATTTATTTATTTGTGAATATTACTCTGCAGCTTCTAATCAGTGAAAATGTCTGCTACAATACAATGATCATAATAAAAACATTAACATATCAGTTGCTTAAAAGCATAGCAGTGTGAGGCAACATCTTAAAATACTTCAGAGACTCAGGGCCAAATCTGATCAGATGGGATCTCTGACCAGAACTTCCACCTCAATGGGGTCACTTGGCTGTGGGACAGAATGGGAAGCAGGGCTAAGCCTTTCCTCCCGCACCATTTTCACAATGAAAATTGCCTCCCCCCTCAAGCTGCTGTTCATCCCATTCAGGAAAACTGATTTTTAGAAAAACGGAATGATACATGAGATCTGATCATGGGTCTGATTGAAAATGGTGGTCACTGAGCAAACAACCCACTATTAATTATTATTACGTGGCACACTGTGTGTGAAAGTATTTGAGATTAATAATGAAATCACTAGTGTAACCTCATTTGATACTACTTACAGAATATATGCAATAACTCCAATGGACCAACAGTCTACTGCTTTGCTGTAGGGTTTCTGGGCAAGAACTTCAGGAGCTGAAAGGAGGGAGAGGGAAGGAAAATCCATAAATGTCACAAAAGTCAATGAATGAGCCAAAATCCAAACACAGAACTCAACAGTTGTTCACTGAAGTTAACATACATTGCCCCTGCTCTATTCAATTGCCACTTAAATATAATCTTGGAATTATGAACCTCAGAAATGCCAGACATTATATATGTGAAGCATTCATCTAAGTTGCTGAGCATGTGGAACAAGGTCCACTCACATTTTGGGATTTTCTCAAATATCTTCCTCCAACAACTCCAAAATCTGCTCTGATGGGTTGCTGGAACCCGCAAAGAAGGTTAGGGGGGGGCACATGGGGAGAGACAACAGGGTAAAGCCATGTTGCATGAGTGGGCTTCATTCTCCACATGCATACCCCTATGTTGAATTCCACTCAACATGTGTGGGGGTGCCATCAATGTAGCCAACATGGCCCCCACCAGATGTTTCAGAATACAATTCACATCAGCCCCATCCAGCAAGGTCAATAGCCGCAACCTCTGAAGGGCACCACGTTATCCACCTCTGATAAACACAGTGTGCGTCACAGAAAAACCTAAGTGAAAAGTCAGCTTTCTGCCCCAAGGTGCTTTACGATCTAAATTAAGGTAGCTATGATACTATGAGTGTATCTACACTAATTACAGTACTGAGTTAAACTGGTTTAGTAGTAATTCCCTTTCCTCGGGGAACCTTAGGAGCTATAGTTCTGTGAAAGGATCAAGGAATCGCTAATATTTTTTTCAGCACCTTGACAAAAACTACAATTCAATATTTTTTTGAGGTAAGTCATGACAGTTAAACAATTACAAACTGATATAAGTTTGCAGTGCAGATAGATTTTTCTTGCTCAGAAATATGTGCAAATGGAAGCTGTTCTACAGTGTTGTTCTCATAATATCACAGAAAGGAACCCCCTAAAATCATGCTTCCCATTTTACATATAAAAACATTACAGAACTATCAGTTAATGATGAGGAATTGCAGTTTCATACGAGTTTCATCTTCTAGCATTGCACTAATACATGAACAGGCCACTTGCAGAGACGGTTATTTTTGAGAGTGAAGTCTCACATGAAGCTATGCATATGTGTTTGACAGACTGGTAAATTCAGGTCTCTTTATCTCATGTTGGATAGACAATCTGTCATTGGAACCTTCAAGACAATTTCTCTTACAGGCAAGCAGAAGTTGGACTGGAGGGCTCTTCAACTTGCATAGATCCACACATTATCCACTATCCACTCTGCTTTTCTATTCTCTGTGTTCTTTTGCTTCCACACTTGTATGATGTGCACAACCGGCTGAACTGCACTGAAATCAAACACTGGAAATGGTGCATTGGAAAATGCACTATCCTATGCATAGTTACTCAGCAGTCAGTCCCTCTTAAGTTTCCTTGCACTTGCTCTCTAGTGAGCATGTTTAGGATTGTTGCTTTATACCAGGTCAGACCACTCTAGCTTAGCACTGTCTACTCTGATTGACAGCAGCTCTCCAGAGAGTCCATCTTTTCCAGCCCTGCTTGGAGATGCCAGGGACTGACCTGAGATGCTCTACTGCACACAGAGCAGATGCTCTGCCTCGGAACTGCAGCCTTTCCCTTAATGCAGGTTTTTAGCTAAGGCATTAGTGGTGGACAGCCAAACAGGGTAGTAAGGAGAAGGGCTGCACATTTTAGAAATGTAAGATGAAATATGGTTGGTAGAAATTACTGTTATCACAGTGTCACTTTCTGCAAGCACTACTTCATATTGCAGCCAAGTAATATCATAGAATCGTAGAACTGAAGGGGAACCCGAGGGTCATCTAGTCCAACCCCCTGCAAAGCAGAAAACCTGCTCACAGCCATTCCTGGGTGGACTTGAACCACCAACCTTCTGGTTAACAGTCAGACACACTGACCCATTGTGCCACCATAATCACTTGGTTCCATTTTATGTTTTCATGTCCTCGGTCAGAAACATTTGAGAAATAAACTTTATATTTCTTATTTATGTATATATTTTGAGGCTTAGACAAGGAAGAAAATGCTTCCTTCTGCAAAGGAGTGGCAAAATCCTCTCCTCCAATCTCAAGCATTTCTGAGCCAACAGCTGACAGATGGATGAGGGGAGTTAGTCCTGTGCTCCACCGGCTAATGGATATGAGCCACTCCTGATTGTCACCTTCCTGGCATGAGCCCCACGTCCACCATTTGAAATGCTAAGATTTTAAAGAGTTTTTATTTTTAAACTGTGAATCATACTCATGAGCAGCATCTGACAGATCAGATCAGAGGATGGTAAATAAAAACAAGAAGGAGAAAAAAGGGGTGGAAGGCCATCAATTTCCTGCCAAGAAAAAACGAAACACAAAACTTTTGGAAACTTGAAAAAGACACGTTTCACAACAGCTTTGATTCACACTGATCACTAAGAAATCCTGACAGTTCTGCAGCAGTGTGCTGCCAAATGGAAGATTTGGGACAAGACAACAATCTAGTGCAGTGTGTCACCATGATAGGCTTCCTCTCCTGCAAAGGGATCTAAGAGAGACAGCTGTCACTGCCCCTCTAGCAAGCTGACTAATGATCTGCCTTGGCTGTCAGAAGCAGGGCTAGCTGTCTGTCACAAAGTGATAGGAATTAACGCCAAGCAAAAGTTGTCTACAAACTAAGGATTGGGGTAGGGAACTTGTGCCTTCCTGCATGCTGCCACTGCACATTTATGGCACTTATCTGTTATTGTTATTGTTGCTTCATATTGTGTCATCCATGAATGTTGTGTGAGATAACCACTCCTTGCCTCAACAGGCTTACAAATTGAGAGACAGAAACAAAGGAGACAAGAGAGAAAGGAGCGGAAAATGGAGTCAAACATCAGAAAAATTCCAAGGGAAGCAAAATGAGTTTTTCATAGGGCTTTCACGTATCTATTTTTGTTGTCAATAATACAGGGAGACTCAGTCAGCATCACTTCAACTCATCAGTTGACATGACTCCAAATAATCCTCTCAGCAGCTCCCTATTTCCACAAAACATTGTTTCCTTCTCACATCAACTACTGTTTTAGAAAATATAATGGGATTATTTTCTGAAAATAGAAGTAAAAAGCTCTCATCCTCCGTCACTTTTCAATCAAGAGAATGAAGTGGGGGAGGAGAGAGAGATGCTTGTTAGAGACATATTGTTTCTGATCAATGATCCCCAACACATTTTAATTAAGAAAGATAAGCAAGCAATATGAACTGTTCAAATGAGCTTTCTTAGCTCTCATGCAACTCATAGATTGAACTTCAGAAAGAAGGTTTCTAGTTGAATTTCACAAAACCAAACTAACTCCAAAATCTAATCTGGTACAAGCTGTACACTATTTCACAAAATAATATCACATGTGTTGGTATGATCCTTACACAGAATTTTGAGGAATATCAAATCTGCTCTATGTTTCAAGATTACCAAGAAAAACAGTTACCATGTGCACATGCATGTCTGTGTGCAGTCTTATGCCTGACAGATTGTACATTTGTGGTAAATTCCTAGCCAATTCCCAGAATTTGCCAGGAGGATGCATGTGACATGGTCCAAGACCATGTAACATTGGCTGAGCAGTTGCACTGGCATGTTCCAGGATGCCTAGTTCAAGATTCTTGGCTATGTCTCTGTCTCTCTCTCCCACCACAAGATTATTTGCCTCCTTTTTATTCTATTAATACCAGTTTTTGCCCTCTGAAGAGTTCTGTGAAATTAAGAAGTTTGTTCCATTTTTCAATTTTGATTGGTCCAGTGAAAGTACTATCACATGCCTATCTGACTTTCTTTAGCAGTTTTAAATAAATGGCAGGATAAAATCCTAACAGGCTTGAGCTAAGCATGCACTTCCTCTTTGTGTAGCCTTGACTAGGTGATATTTGGAACTCTTGGATCTGACATTGCTGGAGGACTTTTATAGTACTGTATGCACTCTACAACACTAAATGTAAATATAATACATGTAGGCACCCCAAATTCTATGACAACAAAAGCTGAATTTTGTGACCTTTATAAATAATGCACTGCTTGGGCCCATCCATCCTCCCATTTCTGCCATGATTTCAATGCACAGATCTGTGATTGTAGGCATGTTTATTTTCCTCCCACCATTTTTTCTGGGAAAACCTGCTGTTCACCCCTCAGTTGGGTTTTCCTCAGCTTGACATTACTTTGTTCTGATTCAACAATAGTGGGTTTTCTAAGGGAAAGCGGAAGGAAAAAACACCACTTGGGTCTGTGCCTACAAATCATGGACTGTGGCTAGAAACCGTGGCACAAGTGTGGCTGAGCCCTTTATTATGCAACGTTGCAGCCATGGCAAAACCCACTCATGAAGCCTTTTACACAAGTCCATAGCTCTCCTTGCCCATGGAAGCAAAGCCTAAGGATGAGTAACAGAACAGATGTACATCCCTCCTCTATTCATCCCTTCTCCATTTTATCCTCTCCCTCTCTTGGCTTTTAGACTGCAGGTTCTCCTTGGGGCAGGGACCGGTTTTCTCATTGTTATGCTGCACATTGATGGCACCACGCATGCAAGCAAATAATAAAAATGAGGACCATCAACCCGCCCCAAAAAGCAAACTGAGATTTTTAGGGTGCTGACTTCTGAGGCCAATATTATATCCTGACTACATTTCCTGAGCTCTCAAGGATTCAGGGAGCTTATTTGTAGCTAAGATCAGGGATAGCCTACATGTTCACACTCCAGAGTTTATGAACTCCCTCCCATCAGTCCCAGCCAGCATGGGCAATGGTTGAGAATGACGGGAGCTATAATTTAACATCTGGAGGGCAACACATTAGCTAGCCTTGACCCAGACAAAATCACAGGCCTTTTAAAGACAATTAACTACAAGTAGAGAAAAATTAATTGGAAACCTCAAAATAAATGCATCTCATATATTATAGATACAATATATATGACTTTTTATAGTTAATTCAAAATGTGATGCAGGATATATAAACTGTATATGCATCTTTGTAACTTTGTTCAAATGCTACAACTGAACTGGCAGATGCAAAGATGTGCCTTAGGAGATGGTAACTTCAAGTTTCAGACACCTCTCAAATCTAGCCAATTATCTTCAACATCTAAGAGTGAAACTAAATGGTACATTAGATGAGTGAACATTTAGATAAAAGCTGTAGGGGCAACAGGATTGGGACCAGAACATGTGGGGAAGGCTTTTCCCCAACCCTTTCCTCCTGTGTCATAAACCCAGAGCAAATCATCTCCTAGAAACTACTGTTGGTACCAGAGGCCTTTACAGCCTTGACCAGCCAAGGCCAAACGTTACCCATCAACCATGAATTGTGGCTTGCTAGGTGCCTGATACCCCTCTCCCTGTTTCTTTACTTCCAGGAAGGCAACAAAAGCAAAAGTCTTAAATAGGTTCCCTGAGGCAACAATATATGGCTGTTGGACTTGCACGTGGCTTGGTGACTTACCATAAACAATTGTTCTAGTCTGAACCAGTGCAGAAAATGCCAGGGATATCGGTGGAAAATTCACATGAAACTAGTCCTGAAAATTATGCTGTAGCATGCTTACCGACATATCCTGGGGTGCCACATGCTGTGGACATGACGTCGCCTTTACCTTCCATTTTTGACAGTCCAAAATCACTTATCATTATTTTAGATTCTTCATCTTGGCTGTAGTACAACAGGTTTTCAGGCTGCAGGGATATTAAGAAAACAAACCTGAGACATGAATATTGGGTTAAATAATGTATCTCTCTATTTCATATGCCATCCAGTTTCTTAATATAATAATTCTTTTAAATCTCTGCTTGCCAGATGTATGGTTTAGCATGAAAATGTCTTGTGACAACTTACTAAGACACAGGATGTAATTGAGTAGTGTGAGCAGATGCAACTGGGGATGAGGCTCTTGAACTCTTAGTCGTGTCTCTTGTAGTTTTTTTGTTTTGTTTTTTACCTTTAACAGCAATACAGAAGGTGGGATTTTTTTCAGGTGCTACTGATTTGAACAGTAGCTGATGATATTCCCCTCTCCATATAATTATAAAAGGTAGAGGAGCCTCATACTCGTTTGCATTTAAGTCATCCTAGGTAAGGTGGGCTGTCATCTTTTTCTGACCAGACTCCTTTGCTTCTAACAGCTGCAGTGAAGCAGACATTCAACAGAAGGCGTGTTCTCCACATCAAAGACTGTGGATTTCTGCCCATCACACAAGCATGAAAGATTCAGTAATTTGGTCGGAAAAAAGGCTAAAGTTTGGCGGCATTTGGTCATCTATTCACTTTCAAGTAAAGATGCACCTGCACCTCCTTTTTTACCTAATATGTTTCGGGAACATCTGGCACAGATTGCACCACATGGCAGGTGTGTGCGTGTTGCAGCCCTTCTGAGGCACAAACAGCAGCAATACTGCAATTGCAAGGAAGTTTCACAAAGAAATCAACCGAGGACTCCTATAGAGAAAACTTCTAGGTCTGGTTGAAAGGAAGCAAGTTCTTCATGTTACAACAGTGTCATACACAACATTGCCCCCCCCCCCTTTCAGGACCAGACTGAAGGCTGGGAACAACTGTAAGTGGTGAGTTGTGGCCAAACCTCTGGCTTCAAAAAGTACCCAGGTACACTTCACAAACACTGAATTCATCTCAAGATGGTTCTGTGCAGCCTCTTGAGACATCATACAGAGGCAGGGTTCAGTAGCAAGGTATAGAAACACAGACAAACTACTTGAGAGAAACATTTATACAGGCAGAAACACCCATGGAGGCAAAGGTATGGCTAATGAAGCAAAAATAATCTGTTGTATTCAATAAAATTGTATCCCTATATTCATTTGTGTTCAAGTGATTGAAAAGGATGCTGAGTACCTGAAATAATAAAAATGGGGACTGAAAGTGTTTGGTGGAGCAGAGGGGCTGTATTCTCTCTCTCTCTCCTGGTATGAAGTAAAGCCTCCCATTAAATTGCCAGGCAGTTATATTCATGCAAATCTGGCTTCAGATCAACATCAAACCCCCCAAAGGCTGATCTGCTATGAAGTGTGTAACCTGCTACCCATTCTTTTAATAATTCATTAACATCCAATGAAACATTTCCTTAACACAAACACTTTGGAGAATTTTGGTTTTCCTTCTGGGTCTGCTACATCACCACGGTTTGGGGTCCTTTTCTTTGGTCAGACACTGTGCAGCCTCTGTTTAATGAACTTGGTGTGTTCCTGGAAGCTACCTTGCAGGATTAGGCCTTGGAACATATTTCAGTTCATGCACAGAGAGGTGGCCAGCATTTCCCATAACATTAGGGAGAGAGTTACCAAGAAAGTGGTACAAATTCCTACTATAATTTTACATATTCCTTTTATAAACCCAATATATATTCCAGCCAGGAGATTCCAAGAAATGACAAGAAACAGATGGAATGATTTAATACTGCTGCATTCCCTGGTCAAAACCCAAAGCTGATGTAAAGAGTTGCACCACCATTTAAGGCGTCATCATCATATTATGATAGAATTCAAAACTTTGCCTTGCAGCCTAAGTCAGGCAGGCATTTCTAGCGGGTGGATTCAGGTGTCTGTGGATGCAGCCACAGACTTTTCAGAATTATTGGGTCGTTATATAAACTCCCAAGTCATTTGCAAATTAATTCCTTTTCATGCTCCTTCTTTGAGTCACATTTCATAGTTCTCTTTGGCATGTGCTGCTAATAAGCTTAAGCTGTTTAAAAAACATAGCAAGGAATTCCTTTAGGTACAAAGTGTAGAAGATTTAAAATAGCTTATCCAGACCATTGTCTGAATTACTTGAGTTTGCTCTTCAGAGCTTCTGTGTCAGGAATAATTCTTATAAGCTATTTCCTGCAAATCACATTATTTTAGGATAAGCCTGGGTTTGCAAAGAAGATACTAAGCAACTAATTCTTGAGCTGAATTGAACTAACAGTCTAACAAACAGGACATGTAAAATTACTAACAGCCCAACTTCTCCTCACACTCCTTTTATTCCCAGCAGGCATGAACTCCTGCCAATACAGTGTCCCAAATTTTATAGTACCAGCTGCTATGGCACAAACAGCTACAATCATAAATAACCATGGAAGGTCATGATGGAGGATGGGAAGGTTTCCCCATGAACATCCAGGGAAATGCTAAAAGTCTCTTAAAGTTGCCTGCATCTGCAGCCACAGAGGTATTGCTGATGAGACACGAGACCCATGTGCAAACAAGAGAGAGCCTTCTGCAGAGTTTCACATTATGTATGACACTGGGTCATGCTTAGTTCGCCCCAACCCGCTCCATAATATTATTTCATTCATTCAGCAGACGCATTATTGTATGCTTTAGCTCCCAAAGTGCTTACTTAAACATTTAAATTGCAGTTACACAAAAAACTAAAACAACAATACAAACTGAACAGCTAAGATTCCAGCATGAATCAAAACTGATTGGCTTAAAAGGTGTATTTTATTCTCCTGGCACCAAAAAGAAGCCAGATGCCAAATGAGCACCCCTGTAGTGGAAGGACCAAAGACATCATGGGTTGGATCCAGACGTCTGTTGATTTCAGTCCCATTGAAATCAATGGGGCAATTTAGTCATGACTGAAGTCCCACTGATTCAATGAATAGTACAAAGTGAAACTAATTTAATATGGATCCAAACCCCATGGAATTGCCAGCCACTAGTGCAGGGTGGTAGAAAGGGGGCAAATTGTATGATGGCATGGCACCATGCAGTGAATTTCATAAGATGGTTCTTTTTTGCCAACTAATTTTCATTAGTTTTCAAAAAAATTAACGAATTTACATCCAATTAATACAATTTAATACAAATTTAAAGTTGACTTCCCACCCTGTTTCTGCAGTGTTTCCCCTCCCTTCTTGCTGCATCATAGCACATACTTTGTTCTACTTCCCAATCCTTTACTTAAAATAGTTTAACATTTTATCATTATTTTTTCCTTTACCCTTTTCCATAAGTTGTTCATATTTCAGTTACTGCAAGTACTATTATTTAACTATAACATATTTTTGATAAATCCAGTCATAGAATCATAGAATGGTAGAGTTGGAAGGGACCCCGGGGTCATCTAGTCCAACCCCCTGCAATGAGGGAATCTCAGCTAAAGCATCCATGACAGATGACCATCCAACTTCTGCTTTAAAACCCCTAAGGAAATCACCACCTCTTGTGGGATTTGTTCCACTGCCAAACAGCTCTTACTGTCAGATAGTTTTTCTGAAAGTTGAGTTGGAATCTCCTGCCTTGTAACCTGAAGCCATTGGTTTGAGTCCTACCCTCCAGAGCAGGAGAAAACAAGCTTGTTCCCTCTTCCCTGTGACAACCCTTGAGATCTTTGAAGATGGCTATCCTATCTCCTCTCAGTCTCCTCTTTTCCAGACTAAACAGACCCAGCTCCAAATGAAGCAGTAAACATCCTTCAAACTTCACTAACACACGACAGGATTGTTCCTGAAACCTTTTTCAACACCATATCAATAAGGGTGCCTTTTAAACTTTTAACCAATTATCCGAAATAAAAGGGGATCGGTCACTCACGCAACCGGCGTCTGAGGCTTTTCTCTGGCATGGAGTCGTGCCTCCAGCAAAGATTTCCACCTTCATACGGTGTCCGCAGGTTCACATCATCCCCCCCAAACTCCCCAGATTAGCCTCCTCTCCCCCCTTCCCGCCAACCAGGCCTCCCCGGGGCGCCAGAGAGCCTCAGGGCAGCTACTTCCATGTCTGTGGCCAGAAATGGAAGTCTGAATTTCATCAGATGTTATTAGAGGATTGGGAAAACTAGACATGGTCTTGTTCTTTTTGGTGACAGCCTTTTGGAACACCTGATTCTACTCTCAAAGACATGGAAAACTTTGAAACAAGAAATTGAGAAAGAATAAGGCTTATAGTGTCAACAGCTGTTTCTGATGGTATAAAATAGATCTGTCCTGTTAGCAAATTACCTTACCTTGAGGTCTCTGTGAACAATGCCCATTCTGTGAAGATAATACACAGCATCTAACACCTGTCGTATCAGAGTGCTGGCATCTTTCTCAGTGTAAAATCCTTTCTCTACGATGCGGTCAAATAGTTCACCTCCAGACACACTGGAAAAAACCATAAGGCATGGTAATGTTAATATAGGTTAGACAAACCATGGCAGGAAAGTTAAAAGAAATAGAATCCTTTCTTTAGCCATTTCTTATGCATACATTCATGTTGATCTAGATTAGGATTATAAAACAGAGCTGAGAACTGGAATTTCCCCATTTACTAAAACGAATGACCTTTTCTATTATTCTTCCTTGTTTGTTCTACATTGGTTTCATATTGATTCTTTAACTGTGATTGCAGGGGGTTGGACTAGATGACCCTTTGGATTCCTTCCAGCCCTATAATTCTATGATTCTATGATTTCCTAGAAAATACAGTACATGCATTCAAATTGATGCTGATTTCTATCTATTACAATGGGGAAACAATGGGAATGAAAAGGTCAGAAGATAACAGCAAAATTCACACATACTGCTTCAAAATATGAAAAGTGTTTTGCATTAAAATGATTCATCTGAAATTTTTCACAACTGATACTACTAATAATGGATTGATATGTTCACCTGGTACTTAGAGAGAACTTAAATAATGTATTAAAAGTCCAAATCACATTTCAGCAAATCAAGGAAGATGCTCACATTTTTGCTTAAACTCACTGAAGATGGTGAATTAGAAACACAATGAAGGGATTGGGAAGAAGCAGAGATTGTAGATTTCTAGTTCCAGAAGAGAAGTTGTGTTTGAGGCTGGTTCATACATGATGGTATCTTTTCAAAGTCCATTTAGCCAGGCTTTTTGCTCTGTATGTGCTGTACAACATGAGCACACAGAGAAAAATACAACCATGTACAACCAGCAAACAACACAGAACACATGTGAACGCCATGTGAGTTCTTGCCTGAAAGTGCCTTCCATGTTTGAAATGTTTTTAATATATATTATTAGCCCTTAGCAGCGACATAGCTAGGGGTGTGTGCAAGGGGTGGATTGCCATTGACCTTTGGGGCAGAAAGCCGGAGCTCAAGGTTGCAAAGGCAGGGCGTTATGGGCTGCACTTGCAGGGTGCCAGAGCCACCGTGACCCGAAAAAGCAGTGCAGGTCTGGCGCACGCCTGGCACATCCCCCTCAGCTGCCCTCCAACTGGAGGGAAACTGAGAGGGACGCAGTTGCTCTGGTGGCAAGCCTGGCCCTTAGCTTTTGGTAGCAAAGGAGGAGAAGGAGGAGGAGGAGGAGGAGGAGGAGGAGGAGGAGGAGATGGAGGAGGAGGAGTGTGTTGTGGCACCTTGTGAACAGAATTCCTTATGAAGTCATAGACAGCATGCTAATTTGTCAGATATTTTATTTACTTTCTGACTGACAACGTGAATCAACACATTTACTTTGGCTAGCCAATGCCAGCTCCCCCTTCCTTACTATGTTTTGTCACTAGCTGTGTTTTCTTATTCACACAACTTGTCTTCCCCATTTTTACCAGGTTCTCCTCTAGCGACAGCTCTGGAAAAACTGAACTCTACCCGTAATGTTACCAAGGGATCAGGCTCTGCTGAGTTTTCCTTAGTTCCCTCCCTTGAGCCCTCAAGAAAAGCTCAAGAAAAGACCCTGCCCTCCACCAAATACTCACAGAAATGCAGCCAAAGGAGCAAGCCAAGCCAGAAATTGAAGGCACAGGGGGAAACTGGGTGTATTGCATAATGTGAAGAGATGCTTAGAGCAACTGGCATTCCTCATCTCCCAGGAGATTTTGCAGCATTAGTATTTCAAGAACAGGAGCAAATGAATCCCCACTCACTTCAGAGTGCCATCATTCAATGTGCTATTACTTGTGCAAGACAGTTATGTTACCTTTGGGCTTAGAATGTCCTTCACAGACCACAGAAGAAGCTAATAGTTGTGAACATGGTTACTCACCACCTGCCAATTGCTGCAGAGGAAGGACAATACTGTGCAAAGGTAACTAGAATGCAAGTGGCCTAATAGGAAACTTAAAATATGACTTTTCATTGTTCTGCAAGAAATAACGTAACACGATGAGGAGTTCTAGAAGTGTTTTAAATGAAGAACAGACTTGGGAGGTTGTGGACTGCTTCCTTGGAGGTTTTTAAGCAGAGATTGGATGGCCACCTGTCATGGATGCTTTAGTTGAGATTTCTGCATTGCAGAGGGTGGACTAGATGACCCTTGGGTCCCCACTACTTAAATCCACTTAATTAAAAGCTGCTTTTTACTCAATTTCTCTTCCAGAGTTCTGTTTTATCACTTTGCTGTTCATGGTTTTCTTTCGAAATACTGCATATAATTTTCACCTTCTTGAGAAAAGAATTGCAAACAAAACTCGATGCAGCAGCAGCAGCAGAAAGTCTCTTCCAACTCTATGATTCTATGATTCTATGAAAGTGGGTTTTCCTGAGGCACTTTCCTCTCAATCAATTAAGCTTCCCTGCAGGAAAGCCAGCAGGCAGAAGGCAATCCGTTTTGTATGTGAGGGATGTTGGTGAGCCTTTGTGATAAAAGACTGAGTGGAACAGGCAGGCCTTTGAAGCACCAATACAGTGGTACCTCGGGTTACAGATGCTTCAGGTTACAGACTCCACTAACCCAGAAATAGTACCTTGGGTTAAGAACAGTTTCAGGTTCTTAACCCAAGGTACCACTGTATGTGAAACTGTGGCACCAGACTCTCTCTGTGTAAGTAATTTGATACTGGATATAATTCTCTGAACCACAATAATGACTGATTAGTTGCTGAGTTGTCATATCTGGGGGCCAACTTTGCACACCTTGTGCTATTTATTTATTTATTTATTTAAATTAAATGCTGTACTCCACAAAGATTCAGGAGGGTAGAATGGAGAAATGTATATATATAAATATGGGTAGAATGGAGAAATATACATATTAAAATATTTATTTTGTTATACTCCAAAGATTCAGCATGGGTGATATAAAAGAAGTAAATTATTTCTGTTAACATCTGGCTAAACAGCTTGTAATTACTCCAAAATATGCTGGTGAAATGTTTGAGGATTACTTCTGTACATGTAGGATCTCTTCTGTTCACCATTTTTGTCTCAATATGGCAAGTGGTGTTGCCAGGTGATCTCTGAGACTGGACACCTATCTCTGTCTAGTCACATGTGATTTGTGAATTTGGTTGGTTTGACTAGTTCAGTAGTTGGTGTCTGCACTATTCTACTCTGTTCTGTATGCGTTTAATTGGTTTTGGTCATTACTTCCTAATCCAATTCCTATAACAAAAGCCAGAAATAGAATGCAGGTAAGAACCAGGGATATGCTACAATTAGCTAGAGGTTTGAGTTCCTGTTTGTGGGATGAAATGCTTCTGGCAGAATGATTTACCTTTACTTCACTACCGTGGTGTTATGACCAGCCACAGGGAGCTCAAGGTGAAGAAAATGGACTTGAATGCTCTTTCACTGAAGACAGGAAATGTGGTTTCCTGCCCAGTAAGAAATGGAAGAAAGCTTTTCTCTTTATTGCAGCAATAAGAGCATCTCCTTGTAGACAGTATCCGCCTTGCAGCTGTTGTTGCTATCAAATCTGAATGGACATTCACTTACCAAGCAGTCTGGATTTTTTTTTACCTTTGTGAGTTAAAACAGAATGTAATTAAGCTGAGAGTGATTACTTGAAGGAGGTTCAAGCTAGCAGTGACTCTGCTGCTATGCTAGTGACTGGAGTAATGTTTAAAAAGATAGTAACTTTGGATTTAGGGACGTGGGTGGCGCTGTGGGTTAAACCACAGAGCCTAGGACTTGCCGATCAGAATCCCAGCGTCTGCTAACCTAGCTAGCTCCTGCTAACCTAGCAGTTCGAAAGCACGTCAAAGTGCAAGTAGATGAATAGGTACCGCTCCGGCGGGAAGGTAAACGGCGTTTCCGTGTGCTGCTCTGGTTTGCCATGCTTAGTCATGCTGGCCACATGACCCGGAAGCTGTACGCCGGCTCCCTCGGCCAATAAAGCGAGATGAGAGCCGCAACCCCAGAGTCGGTCACGACTGGACCTAATGGTCAGGGGTCCCTTTACCCCTTTACCTTTACCTAACTTTGGATTGAGGTGAGCACATATCTTTTGGGCTCTGTGGATATTCAGTTTTCACAGACGTGGAGGAGCCCTGGGCAGAACAAGCTGCCACCGGCCGCCTTCCCCAAATCTAGTCTCTGGATACACCACAGGTATCGTCTAGGCAACAAGACCTGTTTCTCTCCTAAAGGCAGGCTGCACTCCAGAGAGTAGAAGAGAAGGGAATGCAGCTGCTGACTGATACCAAGATAATCTAGATATCAAATTGTATACGTCAACATCATTTAAAAATAAATAAATGTTACTGTCATCACTTCATCTGTCTGAAATTCCCTCCCAGAACTTCTTTCTGGTGCCACCACTCCTTTTCTTTCGAATTTTGCATAAAAAGCCTTTTTTACACAATGTCTTTGGCTTAATCTAGCATTCTTTACCTTCAAATGAAACCAAGTCTCAGTAGGTGTAACTGCATTTGGTCACAATCATTCCCCTTCTTTCCCCTTCTTCTTTCCCCTTCCTTTTGCTGTTTTCATCCCCTGCTTAAATGTAAATTGTAAGCTTCTCAGGGAAGGGTCCTGGCTTTTAAAACTGTGGTTTCTGTTTCCAGATCTACTGTGATTCAAACTGGGAGGCTGGGGGTGCTGTTGGCAGTGAGCCACTGGCTTGGGGGTGCCCGGGGGGGGTGTGTGTGAAGCAGAATGGCTTGTGCAGCACCCAGCACAACTCTCTCCCAGAGATAGCTCACTGGTGCCTCCAGACTAATCCGGGATAAAAATACTTCCAGGTTAAGGCTTCAGTGACCCGAATAACCTCTCACTTGGCATCTACTCTGTGTTTTTCCAAGCTTTGCTCCCTGTTATCATTCATTCTACCTAGAAGGTTGCCCAGTTGCAGCCACAAGAGTTGGCAGATTAAACCCAGAAGAGGCCTTCCTGAGCATCTATGAACGGCTGGTTACTTTCAGTCAAGGTCTTACAGTACCTTTAATTAGCAGAAGTGCTGAAATTGAACTTTCTTTATTTTATTTTATTTTACTGCATTCACTTTTAGAGTACAAATATTTGTTCTTGCTTTAAAAGGAAATATGTCATTCATCTGTCTTTGAAATTCAGCATGGGGGGGGGATCCCATTCCATATTTCTTCCCTGTTCATAGGGCAGCTTGGCATAATCCTTGTATATCCTTAAAATAATGTGAGACAAATGTAATGGAAAGCTGGCCAGTACGCATTCACTTCCTTTTGAAAGGTGGACAAGGAAAGCTGTTTCTACATTTTGTTAATGCAAAGGCACCTCTCTTGTCTCCAATTTCAAAGGTTTGTGGGATTTGAAACATGAGAACATACATTAGAACAGACTGAAGCCCAGCAGCAAATATCATCGTCGTCGTCCTTGGACTAGGAAATAAAATCACCAGCAGAAACACAAATATTATAATGGTACCAGGTGAGCATGACTTCAAAGATTTCCAAAATCTGCTAAGAAGAAGAAGAGGAGGAGGAGGAGGAGGAGAGAACAAGGATTCTTTAAATTGTTATTATTATTGCTGGGGATTGCTAAACAAAAGTATATGTGATTTTTATTTGTCTTGATATGGTTCTTCTTCAGTAGGGTCTGCACAGTACATGACCACAAGGTAAAATGTTCGATACTTTTAATAAATAATATCCCTATTGGTTGGACTCGATGGCCCTTGTGGTCTCTTCCAACTCTATGATTCTATGATTCTATGATTCCTATTTCCAACTACACTTTCCCCATCAGTCATAAAAAAGGTTGCCTGTTCACTGCAACACACTGTAGGTTTTCCTTATGCAGTTGTGCACTCATATAAACCACATGGAAGAATTTAGTTTCAGGATTGTCCTTTAAGTCATTTCAGCATTTCCTTTCAGCAATTTCCTCACAAAAAAGTCTGTAAGTGGAGAAGGTGCCCAGCAGGGCTACACAGCAAGAACCTGACCATTCTAGTGTGTTCTGTGTTTCCCATCCTCCCTGGAAAGCTTCTTGGAAGCTTTTAATGTTTGATGTATCACAGTATTTTAATATTCTTTTGGAAGCCGCCCAGATGGGCAGGGTATAAATAATAAATTATTATTATTATTATTATTATTATTATTATTATTATTATTATTTTGTGACCATTTCCTCTTCAGGGTGAGATGAGTGAGCCGGTGTAGTTCAGCAGATGGCTTGTAGGACTTGGGAGAGCAGAGTCCAAATTCCCACTACGCCACGGAACAGACTGGGTGTTCTTGGGCCATTCATGGTCTCTCAGCCTAACCTACCTCACAGGGTTGATGTGAGGATATAATGGGGGAAACCATGTACACCACCCTTGAGCTCCTTGGAGAAAAGGTGGAATATAAATGCAATAAGTAAATAAATGTTGCTGGACATGCCTGGGATTGGCTGGAAGCCAAATGCTTAATAGCATTGGCAAGTCTGAGGGGGACGACCAACACACATTCTACAATGTGGCGGCAGCAGTTTGGAGACCTATTTGCCACATCTCTTCCAAGCCACTTTCACCAGACGGGTGCGGCTGCCTTTACTTTCTGCTCTCCCCACACCCACTGCACTCCCTTAAGGCTAAGCATTCTCTGTCCCCAAAGCTATTTTTTTACGTCCATCATCATGCATGCTGCTTTACAGGAAAACAGGCTGAAATTCATCATGGAGCAATCAACAGAGGAAAGGGATAAACATGGAAGCAATACCATATGTGGTTATTCCAGTTACATGTGCTTATGCCTAGCAATGAGTCACGCCAGCACAGGGGGCTTTGGGGGGGGGGTGGCGTTGAGAAGAGCTGTTTGGCTGGAGAACAGACTCCCTTGGGAGGTGGTGGCCTCTCCTTCCTTGGAAGCTGTATGGTCTAGTTGAGATTCCTGCAGTGCAGGGGGTTGGACTAGATGACCCTTGGTGTACCTTTCAACTCTATAATTCTATGGGATTTGGAAGAAATACAAGGCAGTACCATACATGTGTTCTGAGAGAAAGATTAGTTCCTGAGGGAGCAGGAGACCTTCAGCGAGCACTGGATAGTAGATCCTGAGCAGCGAAGATCACAGGCAGCATGGATCCATCAAAGGCCTCATCCAGACTTCCCCTTGTCCTGTGCCAAAAAGCATGTGCCCAAGCAATTTTTGCCTTTGCCCTGCTGCTTCTAGTGCTCTTTAATGCTAAATCAGAGGAAACGTCAATCCAGAGAAAACCCAATTGACATTTGCTCCAATTCAGTGCTAAATCTCAAGATTCCCCAGGGCAATCGGAATTGTGGATGAGCCCTAAGTGCCCAGAGATAAGAGTGGCAAAGCCATTGAGGGCTTCTAAGGTGAGGACAGGGAGCATGTGCTGGATCTGGGAGTGGGAAGAGCAGGAATCTCTTGCAGGGGCTGAATCAGAACTTTCATAGCTTCAGAAATCAACTGCCTTCACACAGGAATTCCCTCATCTGATACTACTAGTTTGAAATTCTGATCTATCAATACAATGGACACAATACACTTTCCTAATATTTTTTGTTTTTGGGTTTATAACATTGATTGCCATTAGAATCTGACTTTAAAATCATATTGGTATTTCAATATTTGTATGGTAATTACAACAACGGGATCAGCAGTATTTTGTTTTTACAGATATGTAACTGGTGCTAGAATAAACAGAGATGCTAGTTCATTGTGAGAACATGTGTGCCCATCTGTGTTTATAGCGAGATCCACGTGCATTTCTTAGGCAAAGGGGACAACTTGCAGGAGTTATTTGTTGCAATTCAGTTAGGGAAGTTGCTTGGGGAGGGCAGCTAATGATGATTTATGAAGCGTTTGTAGAGATCACTGTGGCAATACATTGTGGAAAATGTAAGAGCATTTACAGATGGTAATGAAAATAGTCTGCTGCTCCTGCCATGTTATTTATGCTGCCCTGACTCTTAGTATCTAATTCTCCAGTCCCTACCATTATTCCTAAAGCAAGTATTAATCTATTTTAAATGCTGTTGCACCAAAGATGTCTGGTTTCTGTTTGGCCCTGGTATTCCCCATGCAACATTAAAAATGTCATCAGTCCGGTTTTACAGGCCAGGCTAAAGAAAGTACATGGCAAATGAGTATCTCTCCATTGATTGCATTAACAGTTTAAAAGCTGAATTAAGAGGAATCCTTTCTGGTTCAGTATCAAGATGTTAAGAAAACAGAAATGCAAAATGTTGCCTAATTCCCAACTAATGGTGAAATCCTTTGCAGTGTAATCCTGTGCATGCTGCATACACACCAGAAGTCTGAAGCACATCTGAAGCATGCACACCCGAATAATTCAGGGAACCTTAGCTTATAAGCTACGTGGCCCCATTAAAAGGGTTGACATTAAAGTCCTTGATGACCTGGGACCTTTCCTGATACCTACCTCCACAAGGCTTAAGATCTTCCAGTGAGTCTCTGCTCATGGTCCCACCAGCCAGAAGCCAGAGAGCCACCAGCCAGGCAAGCCGGTGACATGAGGCTGCATTCTCTGTGGTGCTACACTATCTTTGCACGCCCAACTGAGATGTGGCAGTCCTCCATTTTATATACATTTTGGCAACCTGGTGATGTTGATGCTGTTTGGGGTTTAGATTTGGTGTTACAATTTTGGGCAATGGATCTATGGTTTTATTTTGTTTTATTTTATATTGCATCCTGTGTTTTGAATGCTACCCTGTGCTCTGATCTGGAGGAAAGTGGGCTATTAAAACTATGAATGAATAAATGAACAAACTGTTACCACAGCTTTGCATAAAACATAATTTTGAATGTATCTTTAATGTTTTGATTAATTTATGACCCCAATTAATCCATCAATGCTTTTAGTATGGTTTTTAAGCACCAATGACTTTCCCCCCATCATTAGCCAAACTTTGTAAAATAACACCTTGGGGGTTAATGTGTTAAATTTACAAGTATGCAACTATGTTTAGGTTTTTTCTTTGGTCCCCTTTAAAAGACTGTTAAAAAGACTTGCTCCAAAAATGGTTTCAAGGGCTGGGGGTGGCGAATCAATTAACTTCACCGAAGTAGAGATTTAAAACAACAGGGAGCCATCTGGTGGCTTGATTCCCTTCCAATTAAAATCTGTCCATTGGGTTCCCAACTCATTGTACCTACATTGTGATGTTGCTAATAAATTTAACATTACAAAGCATAGCGAGGAAGGAATTAACTATTGTTTCACACACAGCATGAAAAGAAAATGCACAGAGTTAGAACTATGACTTCGCATAAGTTGGATTTTGTGGTCAGCTCCTAATTAAAGTTTGAAAGATTTCCCATGCAAGATGCTAAGCAGTTTGAAAGTGTTATGCATGTGTGCATCGAGATGCATGGTCAGCTGCTACTGGGCCTGGCGCAGGGGCTTCGCAATGGTTCCTTGCTTCCTACACAGGGAGGTGAAGTGCTAATCAGAAGAGGACATTTTGACTCAAGATTAATTTTAGTCATGGGAATTAGGCGATTGAAGAGCCATTTTTTGTGTGCTTGGCTGCTATAAAGTTCCCAGGGCACCTGCTGGAATGAGGCCACTTTATTCCTCTGTACTTCCAGCCTGCCTCTCGCCTACCTGTCAGCTCCAAGTATTCACCACCTCTTGCACCTGAGCACCTGACATGTTTGCATACCTGGGTCCTTATGAAAACTAGCACAACTAGAACCACTCCAAGGAAGATGTTATCTTGACTCCTAGATATTAAGAGTATGACAATCTTACGCAAGAGGGATGCTGCCTGAAAATACGAGACTAGCTTTCTCCATAACTGAGGTTGATGACTACATGAGAAATGAAGTCTGCCACAGTCTGTCACAGGCTGTCTTTTAGCACAGGAAGAGAATACAGCTCCTAGGATTTTTTCCCCAAGCGTCACCAAAAGGGCTTCGCATTTTGCTCTTTCCCCAGGTAAGTACATTCCATAACTATTTCTGTAACTCCCCAAAGAGACCATTACCTCTTTAGTGGGCATTTGCAAATCAGTGCATTCTTTTCATTCCATGTCACATAACTAGTCTTGACATACAGAAAATTACCGGTAACACTGGTGAGAAACCCAGTTCCATAACATACAGAACATTTGCTGCGTGCCATTCAGATAGAAGGCCATAAGTCACCCACAGACAGGTTAAATATCAAAGCAGGACATTTACAGGTATAAAGCCAACTACTGTTATTCATACTATTATTATTCTAATAAATTAAGGTGACATTTTAGAGCTTTAGTTGATATATGAAGTGATACGCCCCCATCTGCTCTTTTAATTAGTCCCATTCAAAAATGAAAAATGTATTTGTACTTCTCAACAGTTTCCCATAGGAGGAGCCAAAACACTGCTGTAATCATCTGTGCTTAGTATTTGAGATCTTTAAGGAGAAATCTACCTTGTGTCTAGTATTGTTGTTTTCAGCCACCAGCCATCAAATAATAGTTACGGTACAAGTTTAACTCCAAAATAAAGTGCTTCCCAATTTAGAAAAAATACTGTTTTCAGGAATTTTCCACACACACACACATATGGAAAGAAAGAGATATTTAGATTCCATCTGAAAACACAACTCTATGAATTGAAAACCAAATATCCTTGAACAATATGCTTGTGTGTCAGGTCTTCAATTTTTGAGTATGTTGTTAATGCAGTTTCCATTAATGTTGATTAAAGGTGATAAGAGTTTGCACAGGAAAACTCGCAGATAATGACAGAAGATATCAACAGAAGATCTTGTGATAAAAGAGACTCCGCAATTCTCCTTATGATTTTATCCATTTCCGCCAATACATTTTATTTTCCTTGCAGATAACTGAAGTTTGCATCCTTCGTATATTTTCAGCTTCTAGCTGTACATCTTGAAACTTTTAATCAGGTCTCCCCATGTTTACAGAAGTTCATCTGAGATCTTATCCACAGAGAGATCCATGTTCTATAGATTATGACTTGCTAAGTTAACATCTATTCAAAAATAATGTATAAACTGCACAACACAGAGATATGAATCTCTCTATTCATTAGAAATTCTTGGATATACTGTATTGCAATTTTTATTTTAAAGAGCAGATCATTGAATGTGAGACAGTTAACATTAACTACATGATAACAGCTTACCAGAGCTACTTCTGTGAAACAGAATTTAGCTATGTACTTACCTGTTTTCTCAGCATCTCATTTCTCTCTACCTTAATGTCTAATTAGCTTAAGACTAGTCAGCAGGCTGCCCAAGAAGAACATCTGACATTCTGACTATGGTGCTTCTGGACCAGGGCTCATGGACCACATGGGCCAGTGACACATTCAAAGCGTGTAAACTGTACAACGTAAAGAAGCCTGAGCACTCCAGCAATCACAGCGGTGCTGGGGCCACCTATGCAGGTGGAAAACGTGTTTAACAAGTTCCTGTATTCATAGATAGGCAGGCACACAACAGCATCCCCATGACGGTTAAGATGGAGGCCACAAATAGCACAAGGTATGCTGTGACCTAGGAACACTGTGAAAACAGTCAATACAGGAAGTAATAATTAGGTGGAAGTAACATTACATTAGGGAACCAGATCTTCATAATTTTAGGGTGGAAGCGAACACACTGCATTTGGGTTATATGAACTATCTTCTCCTCCCCCACCCCTGTGCCCCCAATTAAGCTCTAGGGAAAGTTGTTTTGCATAACTGTAGGAGAAGCTGCTGTGCAGAGAACTAATCGGCTGGGAACTGGTGAAGTAACTAACCCACTCTCCCCTTTCTCCCTGAAGGACTTTTTCAACCTTAAAAGCTAATAATTTAGTGGGTGTAAATTTAACTGGCCAAATGCACATATAGTGCTAGGGTGCAAAAGGCAGGCATCCCAACTGCAGCACGGGAAAAGTAAGACAAAGTGCTGAACCAGCCCATGATTCACTAGGCAATGCAAGTATTGCGTAAGTTGTGAAGGTAAAAGGAAGCCGAGCTTGAGTTGCAGAAGAAAAAATGCAGATGGTCTTGATCTGGATGGATGGTTGTACCTGAAGCTGCTACTTTGGATGAGATCACTGAGTCACAGAACAGCCTTACATCTCAGCTGTCAGTTGGAAGGATCTTAAAGGAGCCAAATCACTGCTCCAGTGCCTCTGAGTCCTTGCTAGGAATGTCTCCTGCCCTTGCAGTGGCTTTGAGCAGCTAGAGACAAAGCTTCAGGCTCTGCACAGAGAAGTCACAGTTACTGTGGGAGCAAAGTCAGATCCCTTTCCTTTTGCCCCATTGACCCCACACAGTTCTCTCTAGATGTGGAGAGAGAACAAGACACTCTCCACCCATCTGTTTAGCCACGGACACTCAATCCTTCCACTAGCAGCCACTGACTTTCCTTTCAATGGACACAGAAAGAGACCCTGCCACAGATCTGTTCTGACAGCTATTCATCCTTTCTGCTCCCAATGGGTTCTCTTTTCCCTTTCCTCTCCTTTCCTCTGTAACGCTACCTGTAGCCTGGAAGCCTGAGGGCAGAGCCAGTGTTATTTATAAATTTTGTACAGTGTCTAGCAATTTTAGTAATTTCACAAGCAAGCAAGCAACAGAGGTGTACCTTGAGCAAGCTCTGCATTTGGAAAATGTTTGTTATGCTCATGCAAACTTACACGTGGAAGAGGTTTCTGTACCCATGAATATGTGGGCAGATAACTACATCCTCTTGACTATTCAGATTGAGGCCACAAATGATTTGGATAAAGTTGCAGCAAGCTCAAGGTACATGGGGTACTCTTGCCAGCTTCTTCCTTTTAGAGGGTTAAAATACACTTGACCTTGACTGCGTAGTTCTGCTCTGAGAGTGTGGGGTGTTTTGATTTTGCACAAATTGCCAATACATTCCCCCCCTACCCACAAATTAAGATTGAAAAACTCATATGAGGGCTATGGCACTTTAGCTTATTGTCTCTCACTGTGGCCCCAATTGGGGTCAGATTGGGGACCCACAGTTGGAATTTATATGGCAAAAGATGAAGTCCAACTGAAAAGAATGGTGTGCTGTTGTTTCTTGCAATGCAATCCTGATCCACACTTGGGACTGCAGGGGGGGGGGAGAACCTGCACTCAAAGGCAGAGCTATGCAGTCATGTGTAGTTTGGCTCCTGAGAGTTGCTGTGGATTGTTGTTGGCCAATGAAGACAATGGAGTGTGCTTCTGGAGATGAAGTCAGACAGCTGCATTAGCAGCATTGAAGTGACCTCCCCAAGGCTCAGGCCTGGGCAGTGTGTGTGGAGGTCCTGGGCTGCCCAGATGGCAAGGCCCCCCTCTCAGCCTTGCTGATGTGGTCCAAAGAAAAGCAGAGGGAGACGTTTGGCAATCAGTTGTAGAAATACCTGGACTGTTAAGTTGGGGGTGAACATATCAGACAACACAGCGATTCTTCCAAAGCAGCTCTTTATTTGTAAGCTGGAACAGAACTGAACTGAGGAGCTCAGTCAGCCTGCTTATATAGAGCTCCACTAGAATGCAACAGTAACCATTTTCTGTAACTAGCCAATCACTGAACGTCACTTTCGATCCTTCATTTGCATACAAACTATCCAATCACTGAACGTCACTTTCGATCCTTCATTTGCATAACTATCTACAGTATCCCCCTACTGGCCCAGGGTGAGAACTTCAGTACATAACATGAACTGCCTCTCAGTCTCTAACTGAATTCAGCGCAGCTGAATCTCTACAAAGGCACACAGTGCCCTTCAGAATGAAATTGCACTTTCGTAACAATTTCACTGAAAACTTTTAGTGCACCAACATCATACAACTAATAATCAGGCACATTCATTCCCAGTTGGGAAAACTGCTGGTACCTTCAACAAATGCAGTGGATCTGTCAGCTGTGTTCTGGGGCTGGTTAATTAGAAGATAAATTGCATAAGGAGAAACAAATCTATGTCTCAGCTGTTTAATTATTAATATGCCTAATGAGAGAGAAACTGAAACTATAGGGGAAAGCAGGGAGCCGCTCTAAACCTTTCAGGGATGAAAAAGTAAGTTAATAGGAATCCTACAGTGTGCTAATTTAGTTGGCTATTAAATTGTTAGCCTAAATAGCTCCTGGCTACTTAGCTACTCAACAAATATATATTTCTTTTTAACTTCTAACATACTATACTATATTATATTGATGTATACATTTAAGGTAACAAATTTAAATATAAGCAAAAGCTAGTTAACCTATGTGTAAAATCAGGTACAGCGAAGTTTTCCAAATGTCAGGAGCTTCTCAGAACAGAATCAAAACAAGACATAGCGGGTAATTCCTAATCATTTGGCAGACCAACTCTATGTTACAGAGATGTCTGAAAATGTAACACGAAGGCTGGCAATATTAACCGCCCCTTGCAGATGACCCTAGTGTCTGGAGACAGTCAGATCATATATCCACAGCAGTGACCAGGGGAGAAATGACCGCTGGGAGGAGCACAGAGAGGAGAAACGCCCTGGTGCACCTGCAGCAGCACAACGGGACACCTTCCCTGCCCCAGCTGCAACAAAAGAGGTGTCTCCTATATTGGTCTCTACGGCCACAGCAGGCGCTGATCATCTCCAGTGGTCTGACTTCACCCCAAAAGGCACACTCTTCCATTGTCTTCTGAGACAGACAGACAGACAGATGCCAAGTAGTAACTTTACGTGTTAAATCACGCAGGGCATTTCTATACTATGTTAACATCCAGGCTGCAACCCTGTACACACTTCCCTTGTTGAAATGCCTATCCAATGCAATAAGATTTACTTCTGTGTAGCCATGCAAAGGACTGCACAATCACTTTTTGGGAAGCCCTAGAAATTGTTATTCTATTCAGGATGGACTAAGGATCTCTAACAGGATCCTTTGGGGGAAGCCATGACTACAGGTAGACATGTTGAGAATGTGGATAGAACGTTTGAGAACACCTGATTTACCAAATTACTATGGCTGTTCCAGTCCCTTTGAAAGGACTGGGCAGAAAAACATATACACCATTTGGGCCATTCATCCTTATAATGCAATCCTTACAGATTGTTCTGCTCCCTTGTCCCCCACTGTTCTAAGCCTTGCCATGGCTATCTTTATTTATGTTAGCAAGAGATTACCTCTAGATGAGCCAGCCCTCCAATGGTGGTTGTTTGAATCACCATGGGATTCCATCATTTCTGGGGGTTGGACTAGATGACCCTTGGGGTCCCTTCCAACTATGATTCCATGCTGAATTACCCGGAGGAGCATGGCACTCAGACCTCCTTTACTAAACCACTTACATCATGCAGATTAGCTGGTTATGACTTGCACAACCACGAGCCACAAGGCTTGTTGAAAGACATGTGAAAGGGTAACATGAGGGTTACTACACAAATGTCTTTGAAAGAAGCCCCAAATATGCTTAAAATCTGGAAGCAGCTTCAGATTTCAGAGGAACTGTCTCAGACCATTTTGGACATGACCATCCCATGTGGTCAACTGAACATGAGACAGCACCAGGCCTGCAAGAGGCAGTTGGGAAATTGTGCAATCTATAGCAGAGGAAACAGCTTCCATGTGTAATATCCATTTTCAGACATGACAACCCTGTACCACCAGATAAATGCTAAAGTGACAATCTTCTATTGGAGACTCAGTATACTGAAACAAAACACTGCAGGTATGCCGTATAACATATTATGTCAGAAGCACACAACCCACAGAACTTTGATGACACCATTAAACTGCCTATTAATACTCAGTCTCTGCCAAGTTATGTTTACTTTGAGACAGATCACTTAACAGTCTTCACAGCTGGAGGTTCATTTTGACAGATTGCACTTTCAGTATTAGAATTGTCACTTGCACATGCTATGTGTGACATGTGTTTTAATGTTTTTTCTTAATGTTAAAAGAGTTTCAGGCTTTTCATTCAGTGTGGGCTTTCCCGCCACCCTCCCCATCAAAAAGCACCTGGGCCTCACAGCTACCCCACAAGCTCTGAGTCACAACTATGTAAGACCCTCATCTTAGTGATTTCTTCCAACGCATTCTCCTCCTCTTTCCCCCTGCCTTAGAATGGCCCTTCAGACTTAGGTTGACGTTGCATTAACACCTACTTATCAGCTGCTAGAATTTGCCCCAGACTGACAACTTAACAGTTCAAAATGACATTAAGTTAGCTGAGAAAACCCACTACTGATGGTAACTGCTCAAAGCTGCATGGTAAGCTATATATACATTTTTTATTTCAAAGGGTACAGTTGTATACTTTATGTTGTACACCCACTTAAATGATAATGTTTTGGTGGAAATGCGTTGCTATTTAGCAATGTATGCATTATCATAAAATACACCACATTGCCTGTACCAATCAAAGTTTTGAAAATGTTTCTTGCAGCTACACAGAGCTACAAAAGCACATGCACTTCAAACATTAGCTTTAATGCAGGGTGGCTAACCTGTGGCCTTCCAGGTGTTACTGGACTACAGTTCCATCACACTTAACCACTGGCGATGCTGCCTGGGAATGATGCAAGTTGGAGTCTAACAACATCTGGACGGCCGCATGTTATCTACTTCTCCATTAACGGATAGAAGAAAAGGTCATTAATGTATGAAGCATGTCAACAACAGTTGTGACCTCAGCAACCTCTTTGACAATGGCATTCAGTCAGTATCATCTATCTAGGTCACTTTGCAGCCCCAGCCCCTGCCCCTGCCCGACCAATCCTACATACAGAAAATGGGATGAATTCCCCACAGACCTCTCTGACAATGTTAAGTTACCAGAATCCAGCCTGAGAGCCGATGCAGTGATCCTTGGGCTGCAGAGTCTGGTTCAACTCACTAACCACCCAATGTTTGTTGTCCCAAATCAAGAAGGCAGAAAGCATCATCTGAGGCCATTGCAGACCATCGATTCAAGCCAATCCACTGCTCCTTTAAATTTTTTGAAGCATATTCTCATCTTATTTATTTATATTCCCCTTTTCCCCAACAGGGATTCAAGGCGGCTTGCAGCACATGGCTATGGCTTTGGCAATGATAAAGCCCTGTTTGCAGAAATAAGGATTCAGCTGAGTTTGAGACTTCAGTCCACTTTCTGACCAGCTCTTAACTGCCGTCTGCCATTTCCTTGGGGAATCCTCCTATCATCTTTAAGCCTGGCTCAAAGTGAGGAATAGGCAAGCACACTCATTTCCCCCAATTTCTTTTTAGGGTGCATTCATCGAAAGATCTCAGGGCGCTTCACAGAATAAAATGCAAAATAAAACACAAGTAACTAATTAAACCAAAACAACAAAACAATAACCCCCCAACACATTTAAAAGGCTGTAGGATATTAATTATTAAATTTGTTTTCTATTCATTACTTTTTCATTTTGTTTTTCGTTTCTGTTGTTTCTACATTGATTACAACATCTTTTGGTGCCTATAACTGAGTGCTTCATCCAAATGGCATGAGATTTCCAGTTCTTCTATGCCCCTAAGATCTGCCAAGTGTTAAGACAGATTGAACAAAAGTTTCCCATTTTACAAGCAATAAAGGAAGGGGACGGTGACATTCCTGTAAGCTTCCCATCGCTTTGTGCTTCCAGTTGGACAGTTTTCATGTCCTTACAGAATGTTTACTATATGTATCGGTTTTTATCAATTTGCTAAACAATGCAATGCAATGCCTCTTGTCAGTTTCAGGAATCTCTCCTATGTGAAACAAATGTTTCTCTATGTTCATTCATTTATTACAGGAATGAATAGGGGTGTAATGGTTTCTGCCCCCCCCCAAAAAAAATTGTTTTGGAAACAGATGCGACCCCACACTGGACAAGCAAACACTGTATGCCTTACGTGTGTATCTTTCTGCAGAGTTCAAAATATGAATTTTCATTCCTATCTTAATGGGATTATATCTGAAAAAGTAAGCAATTGCCATTCTGAACAGTAGGGCAAAGGGTGGCTGGCTTTTTAATACAGGAAAAAAATGGACCATACATAATGCATATTTCTGAAAGCTGGCATGCAAGGTTGGCTGCCTTAAGTCAGTAGCTCATTTTTGAAACTACCTCCTGCATCTAAAAGGATGGAACTGCAATCTGGGAATAGAAATCATGCGGAAATAATGAACAAATTGAAAGGAAGAGTTCATTAAGATTGCTCACTGCATTTAGGTTCAGCGCAAAAGAATCTGTTTGCCTGATGAAGAAAAAGAGCTGGAAAAAAAGCAGAGATTGCTGTGCTAGGTATAAAGATGCCACAAAGGCTTATAATAACAATGGTGTCTATTTTCAAACTCAGAAAGTGAGGGAGTCAAGGAAAAACTCAGCGCTTTGGGTGATTTAGCTTATAAATTCCACCATCTGCTTCTTCCATGTTGTCATTCTCTTTGTAAATCCAAACATGTGTCTTTAGAAATACATGTTGTTGTTGTTTAGTCGTGTCTGCCTCTTTGTGACCCCCTGGACCAGAGCACGCCAGGCACTTCTGTCTTCCACTGCCTCCCGCAGTTGGGTCAAACTCATGCTGGTAGCTTCGAGAACATTGTCCAACCATCTCGTCCTCTGTCGTCCCCTTCTCCTTGTGCCCTCCATCTTTCCCAACATCAGGGTCTTTTCCAGGGAGTCTTCTCTTCTCATGAGGTGGCCAAAGTCTTGGAGCCTCAGCTTCAGGATCTGTCCTTCCAGTGAGCACTCAGGGCTGATTTCCTTCAGAATGGAGAGGTTTGATCTTCTTGCAATCCATGGGACTCTCAAGAGTCTCCTCCAGCACCATAATTCAAAAGCATCAATTCTTCGGCGATCAGCCTTCTTTATGGTCCAGCTCTCACTTCCATACATCACCACTGGGAAAACCATAGCTTTAACTCTACGGACCTTTGTTGGCAAGGTGATGTCTCTGCTTTTTAAGATGCTGTCTAGGTTCGTCATTGCTTTTCTCCCAAGAAGCAGGGGTCTTTTAATTTCATGACTGCTGTCACTATCTACAGTGATCATGGAGCCCAAGGAAGCAAAATCTCTCACTGCCTCCATTTCTTCCCCTTCTATTTGCCAGGAGGTGATGGGCCCAGTGGCCATGATCTTGGGGTTTTTTATGTTGAGCTTCAGACCATATTTTGCACTCTCCTCTTTCACCCTCATTAAAAGGTTCTTTAATTCCTCCTCACTTTCTGCCATCAAGTTTGTGTCATCAGCATATCTGAGTTAAATCAACAGGGAGACAATATACAGCTTTGTCCTACTCCTTTCCCAATTTTGAACCAATCAGTTATTCCATATCCAGTTCTAACTGTAGCTTCTTGTCCCACATAGAGATTTATCAGGAGACAGATGAGGTGATCAGGCACTCCCATTTCTTTAAGAACTTGCCATAGTTTGCTGTGGTCGACATAGTTAAAGGCTTTTGCATAGTCAATGAAGCAGAAGTAGATGTTTTTCTGGAACTCTCTAGCTTTCTCCATAATCCAGCACTTGTTTGCAATTTGGTCTCTGGCTCCTCTGCCCCTTCGAAATCCCGCTTGCACTTCTGGGAGTTCTCGGTCCACATACTGCTTGAGCCTACCTTGTAGAATTTTAAGCATAACCTTGCTAGCGTGTGAAATGAGTGCAGTTGTGCGGTAGTTGGAGCATTCTTTGGCACTGCCCTTCTTTGGGATTGGGATCTAGACTGATCTTCTCCAATCCTCTGGCCACTGCTGAGTTTTCCAAATTTGCTGGCATATTGAGTGTAGCACCTTAACAGCGTCATCTTTTAAAATTTTAAATAGTTCAGCTGGAATATCATCTCTTCCACTGGCCTTGTTATTAGCAGTGCTTTCTAAGGCCCATTTGACTTCACTCTCCAGGATGTCTGGCTCAAGGTCAGCAGCCACACTACCTGGGGTATAAGAGACATCCATATCTTTCTGGTATAATTCCTCTGTGTATTCTTGCCACCTCTTCTTGATGTCTTCTGCTTCTGTTAGGTCCTTACCACTTTTGTCCTTTATGATGGTAATCTTTGTACCATAAATTGTATCTCCAATTTTCTTGAACAGATCTCTGGTTCTTCCCATTGTTTTCCTCTATTTCTTTGCATTGCTCATTTAAGAAGGCCTTCTTGTCTCTCCTTGCTATTTTTTGGAAATCTGCATTCAATTTCCTGCATCTTTCACTATCTCCCTCGCATTTTGCTTGCCTTCTCTCCCCCGCTATTTGTAAGGCCTCGTTGGACAGCCACTTTGCTTTCTTGCATTTCCTTTTCATTGGGATGGTTTTCATTGCTGCCTCCTGTATAATGTTGTGAGCCTCCATCCATAGTTCTTCAGGCACTCTGTCCACCAAATCTAAATCCTTAAACCTGTCCCTCACTTCCACTGTGTATTCATAAGGGATTTGATTTAGATTGTATCTTACAGTGGTTTTTCCTACTTTCTTCAGTTTAAACTTGAATTTTGCTATAAGAAGCTGATGATCTGAGCCACAGTCAGCTCCAGGTCTTGTTTTTGCTGACTGTATAGCGCTTCTCCATCTTTGGCTGGAGAGAATATAATCAATCGATTTCGATGCTGCCCATCTGGTGATGTCCATGTGTAGAGTCGTCTCTTGTGTTGTTGGAAAAGAGTGTTTGTGATGACCAGCTTGTTCTCTTGGCAGAACTCTATTAGCCTTTGCCCTGCTTCGTTTTGAACTCCAAGGCCAAACTTGCCAGTTGTTCCTTTTATCTCTTGATTCCCTACTTTAGCATTCCAATCCCCTATAATGAGAAGAACATCCTTCTTTGGTGTCATTTCTATAAGGTGTTGTAAGTCTTCATAGAATTGGTCAATTTCAGTTTCTTCAGCACCAGTAGTTGGTGCATAAACTTGGATTACTGTGATGTTAAAAGGTCTGCCTTGGATTCGTATTGAGATCATTCTATCATTTTTGAGATTGCATCCCAGTACAGCTTTCGCCACTCTTTTGTGGACTATGAGGGCCACTCCATTTCTTTTACGGGTTTCTTGCCCACAGTAGTAGATATGATGGTCATCCGAACTGAATTCGCCCATTCCCGTCCATTTTAGTTCACTGATGCCCAGGATGTCAATATTTATTCTTGCCATCTCACTTTTGACCACATCCAACTTACCCAGGTTCATGGTTCTTACATTCCAGGTTCCTATGCAATATTTTTCTTTACAGCATTGGACTTTCCTTTCGCTTCCAGGCATATCCGCAACTGAGCGACCTTTCGGCTTTGGCCCAGCCCCTTCATCAGCTCTGGATCTACTTGTACTTGCCCTCTGCTCTTTCTCAGTAGCATGTTGGACGCCTTCAGACCTGAGGGGCTCATTTTCTTGGCAGGGATACTGGAGTGGCTTGCCAGTTCCTGCTCCAGGTGGATCACGTTTGGTCAAAACTTTCCACTAAGACCTGTCCATCTTGGGTGGCCCTGCACGGCATAGCTCATAGTTTCTCTGAGTTATTCAAGCCCCTTCGCCACAGCAAGGCAATCCATGAAGGGGTAGAAATACATAGTCAAGTAATTAAAGGGATCTTAGATGTCTACTGAAATGATGCCAAGAGCCAATGAAGATGTGAGTGATATGTGTTATATTCACATCTAGGAGTTTTTAGGGGGGAAATAATGAAGAGTTTTGGGTTACAGTCCTATGCTCATTTACTTCTGTGTAAACATGCATAGGATTCTGCTGCACATCCTTAGTGCTGCTTTCTACAGACCATAGACATCTACATTACAGAGAGCATGAGTTCTTTAGAATTTAATTGAATCTGCAGAGCTCCCCCTCAGCACAATCAACATTTTGCCTTCTACTTCATTCAGCTGAACAGCACTTAGTTTCCAGGTTTTTTTACTAACTGTCAGGGGTTCAGGGAGAGAGGCACAGGGTAGGCAGGAGATGGAGAGCGAGGGGGAGGAATTCCAAGCCAGCGAGGAAGAGGATGACAATGACTCAAGAGATTCCATGAGTCTTTCCAGCGAATCAGAGGATTCCCAGAAGGGGGTGCCGGTGGTCAAGGCCAGGGGAGCCCCAGGGGGGAAGTGTCAGGAGCAGGGTGCTAGCGGAAGATCCCAAAGTGGCAGCTGGGCGTCAGGACCAGCCTCCCCACCAGAGTGCAGCGAAGGGGGTGGAGTTTCCAGTGTGTCAGAGGAAGCAGCTCCAGCAGCAGAGAAAGGAGGGGGTCAGAGCAAGCCGCCCTCCCGGAAGGGGAGGGAGCAGTGAAGGGAGTAGTGTAACTGTCAAAAGGAAAGTTAGAGGTTTGGCGCGCGCGCCTAGTTCAAATGTAGAGGCGCGCGGAAGTGCAGGGAGCCCGGAGGAGGGGCCAGGTCCCAAAGCCCGCAGGAGGGGGGAAGAGCAGTCTGGGGATTCCGCATCAGAGGAATCCAGGAGGGGCGAAACCCCAGTGGGCAGAAGGACCCTGCGGAAAAGGAAGGAGAGAAAGAGGTGGAGCAGCGCAAGTCTCTTAAATTGGTGCAGGGGAGGAACTGACTCAGAGGGGACTTCGGCGGTCTAGCGTAAAGACGTAAGGCTGCGCGCCTAGGATGTCAAGCAAACCATGAACTGCAATAAACACTTTTGTATATAAGAAGACAGAGGCGTTGGTCTTTTGTGAGCTAAGACTTGAGGCAGCCTTGACAGTAAGTCCCCTCTCACAACAAAAAAACCGCAAAATTTTTTTTTGCACAGCTCACGAAGTTTGGCAGCAATGACTACTGAGGAGCAGATAGCGTCCCTGCAAACCGCAGTCACCGAGCTCTCCACTGCTGTCGTGGTTTCTCAGAAGACAGTTGCTGAAGCAGAAGCGCGATGCCAGGATCTGCAAGCCAGGTGGGATCGGGCGTGCAGAGAGGGGTTCCCGGGGTCCAGATCAGAGGGAATCGGACTCGGACGGAGGGGGCAATTTAGTAGCCCACTTCGATGGGAACCTGAAGCATTATCCCAATTTCAGAGCAGACGTCGTATACGCACTGCATTTACTTCGAAAAGACTTCAAAGATGAGGAGGAAAAAGTGGGGTTTATCGTGTCTCATCTGCATGGGGAAGCAAGAAACTGGTTACGCAATTTGTGGCGCGAAGATGGTCTTGCACGCAGGGACTCTGATGAATTTCTCAAAGCCATGGACGCTTGCTTCCAATCTACTGTTGACGTTGATGTGGCACGCCAGGAGATGCATGGATTGCGGCAGGGCAAGGCTACAGTGCGTCAGTACCATTCTCGCTTTTTTGCATTGCTGAATGTGCTGGGCTGGGAAAAGGACTCCCTGGCAGTGAGGGACTTGTTTTGGGAAGGGCTTCATGGCTCAGTGAAAGATGAGCTGGCCCGGGAGACAGACCTCAAACCCTAGCAGAAGTCGTGCAGAGGGCACTCACGATAGGGGTGCGCCAAGAAGAACGCCCTTGGCACAGGGAGGAGGGGCGTCACGTCCGCCCACCAGCTAGAGCGCCTCCTTTTCCTTCCAGGGACTTGGAACGTTCAAGCCTTTCGCCTGTGCTGGCAGCGGGGGAAGAACTGATGGAACTGGGTGGTGCAAAGGCTCAGACAGCTGCCGGAGCCTCAGCGTCAGGAGCAGTCAAAGCGAAGCCTCCTAGAGGGACCAGGAAGTGTTACATCTGTGACAGTGCACGGCACATGGCTAAAGAGTGTCCCCAGAGGCTCCAGAAGCACACTGCAGCCTTAGCAACAGTAACAGGGGAAGCTTTCCAAGGGGAGCAGTTTCAGGGAAACGAGAATGCCTGGTTGGAGGGAGAGACGCTGGGGCTCCGCCAGGCAAGTCAGTGAAGCAGTCCCCAGCGCTTTTGCAGCCTACAGACCCCTTACCACCTAAGCCAGTGGTGCAGCTCACTGCTACTCTCCAGCTGCCTAATGGACTCACCCTGGAAGTCCCCATTACGATTGACTCAGGGAGCAACGCAGACTTCGTGGGGGTGCAGTTCGTCAAGCAGCATCGCATAGCCTTACTACCAGCCACGCTGCCTCTGAATGTGGTCACTGTAGATGGCAGGAAGTTGCTGGGTGGGCAAGTGGTACAACAGACGCCACCCATGCTGCTGAAAATTGGAAATCATCGCGAGGTCATCAGTTTCAATGTCACCCAACTGTCAGACACGCCCATAGTGTTAGGCATGAGTTGGCTGGATAGACACAGCCCATCCTTGGCGTGGTACCAGCGGCAGCTCACCTTTGGCTCGTCCTACTGTGCACAACATTGCATCCAGATCGGCCAGGACCAGGAGGACCAGGAGGAAGGGCAACAGCTGCATCTAGGCATGGTGCAGGCAGTGCCCCACAAGTACAAGGGGTTTTTGGAGGTCTTCTGCGAGAAGGAAGCTGACCAATTACCACCCCACCGGCCCTACGACTGTGCAATTGACCTCTTACCAGGGGCGACGCTGCCGACTGCGAAGCTGTATTCCATGTCTGAAGATGAGATGCAGGAGCTCAGGGAGTTCATAGATCACAATTTGAAGCGGGGATTCATCCGAGAATCCAAGGCAGTGGGGGGCAGTCCTGTGTTTTTCGTGAAGAAGAAGGACACGCCCCAAAAACGGCTCATTGTGGACTATAGGGCCATAAACTCGATGACAAAACCCAAGGCTTTCCCCATGCCCAAGATTGACGACCTGCTCGCGACGGTAAGGAAGGGGAGGATCTTCACCAAGTTGGATCTACGCGGAGCCTACAATCTCATACGCATGAGGGAAGGTGACGAGTGGAAGACGGCCATGTTCACGCCGCTGGGCACCTATGAATACAGAGTTATGCCGTTTGGTCTCCAAGGTGGCTCCCACTGCTTTCAAGCATTCATGCACCACGTGCTAGCAGGACTCCTCTACAAGAAGTGCGTATGTTTTCTCGACGATATTCTGATCTTCTCGGAATCGCAGGAGACTCACGAAAGAGACGTAAAGGAGGTCCTGCAGAGGCTACGGGAGCACAGACTCTACGCCAAGCTGGAGAAGTGCCAGTTCGACGTGACGGAGGTGGATTTCCTGGGCTACCGGCTGTCCGACAAGGGATTAGCCATGGACAGCGCCAAGGTCCGCGCGGTGTTGGACTGGAATAGCCCGCGCAATCGGAAGGAGGTCCAGAGGTTCGTCGGCTTCGCCAACTTTTACCGCAAGTTCATCAGGGGTTTCGCGAAAGAGACGGCAGCTATCACGGACACCCTCAGTTCCAAGAAGAAAAAGTTCACCTGGACGGACCAGGCGGAGCAGTCCTTCAGGAGACTTAAGAGTCTCTTCGCGTCCGAAGACCAGCTGCTACACGTGAATCCCGGCAGGCCCATGCGGGTTGAGACTGACGCATCTGACAGAGCAGTGGGGGCCGTCCTCTTGCAGGAAGATTCGCAAGAGAACTGGAGGCCCTGCGCTTTCTATTCCCGGAAGCTCAGCAAGTCGGAACAGAACTACACCATCTGGGACAGGGAGTTGTTGGCCATCCACGCGGCTTTCAAGGCGTGGCGGCACTTCCTCATCGGAGCCAAGCACACCGTGCAGGTCCGCACGGACCACAAGAACCTAGAGTATTGGCGCACGGCGAAGCTCCAGAGCCAGAGGCACATGAGATGGGCGGAGTTCTTTGCTGATTTCGATTTCCGGATAGAGTATATCCCGGGAGACAACAACGTCATAGCGGATGCGCTCTCCAGGAAACCGCAGTATCTTGAGGAAGCGGCACCAGTGGCAGCCAGGCACATTTTTGCACCGCAAGCGTGGGCGTGCGCTTCTGCCGCCGTGGACCTGGACGCGGTACGACGCGCGTTACAGACGGATCCGTTTGCACAATCCAAGATGGAGGAGGTGCGAAGAGGGACAGCAAAGGACGGCGAATTCCAGATACGCGACGGCCTGCTGACCCGCAAAGGTGCTCTCTACGTCCCGGGAGACGATCTCCGAGCGAAGGTTTTACAGCAGTTACACGACGCCCCAAGCGCGGGTCACTTCGGCAAGGAGAAGACGGCGGACTTAGTAGCCAGGGACTTTTGGTGGCCCCAGATGCGGGGAGAAGTCGCGGATTACGTCGCCAGGTGTGACACTTGTCAGAGGTCCAAGCCAGTGCACAAGAAGCCAGCGGGATTGCTGGAACCGTTGGAGACGCCACTGCAGCCGTGGGAAAGGGTGGCGCTGGACTTTGTCACTGATCTGCCCAGTTCGCGGGGCAAGACGGCGGTGCTTGTGGTTGTAGATCTGTTCACCAAGATGGCGCATTTCATTCCTTGCGCGAAGGTGGCAACAGCGGAGCAGACCGCCAGGCTATTCATAGACCACGTGTTCCGGGTGCACGGCTTACCACGGTCCATTTTGTCCGACCGGGGTCGCCAATTCATTTCCAGTTTCTGGCAGAAGCTCCTGGGCATCCTGAATGTCAAGATCAACTTAGCGTCGGCGAGACACCCGCAAACCAACGGCCAAGCGGAGAGGGTCAACGCCATCATGCAGCAGTACCTGCGCTGTTACGCCAATCAGAAGCCGGCAACTTGGGTGGACTACTTACCGATGGCCGAGTTTGCCTACAACAACACGAAGCACGCGTCAACGGGGTGACACCGTTCTTCGCCAACAATGGGCGACATCCCAGAACATTCCCGGCGTTGGAGACAACGACACAGGGGGAGTCGCAGGGAGCGGAACATTTAGCAGCAGAATTGCAGGAGGTCCACGAGGAGCTACGACGGCACTTGGAACTGGCTAAACACGCCTACAAAGTGCAGGCAGACAGGCACAGGAGGGCAGGAGAAGACATCCAGGTGGGGGACTGGGTATGGTTAGCAGCCCAGGCGGTGCCGGCCAAGTCGTTAGCTAAGAAGAAGCTAGGACACAAACAGCTAGGGCCATACCAAGTTGAGGGCAGGATCAATCCCGTAGCTTTCGGTTGACCCTCCCAGAGGATTCCCGAATGCACCCGGTCTTTCATAGGTCGGTGCTTACACCCTACAAGGCCCCACACCGATTTCAGGAGCCAGGGACGGCACCAGACCCACGTAGGAAGTCACCAGGGGGAAGTCACCGAGGACCCCGACACTCAACGAGGCCACGGAAATTCTGGACTCGAGATGGGGGGAGGAGGGAGTGGAATACCTCCTCGCCAGGGAAGGTACCCCGGCCAGCGCCAACAGTTGGGTGCCAGATTATGCTCTGGAGGAACCTTTTCTTAAGGACGAGTTCCATGCACTCTTCCCACACAGGCCCATGCCAGAGGAGTATTTTGACGACTGGCTTTTTCCCCCCACCCTTTCAGGCAGCACCTGCCGGGGCTTCTCCTCCGCAGAGGAGACCACGCCGCAATCGAGCCCTCCAAGGGGATCGTGCTCGGGGTAGACACGGACCGCTCTTATTGGTGGGACGATCAACCAGAAGTGGGGTGGCGAAGGGGGCCTTGGCAAGCAGCTTCGCCTGAAGTAACAGGGGAGGGAAGGGTTTGGAGGTGTTGGGGAGGACCCTGGTTTCGAGCACTCCTACACTGAACTGGAAGCAGAGGAGATCGACGTCGACGAACTGTATCCAGCATCTACCCCGCTACAACGAAGCTCCCGGAACCTGCGCCCGAGCAGCGGGAGGGGGAGGGGGGGCTTCGAGGGGGGGATGGATGTCAGGGGTTCAGGGAGAGAGGCACAGGGTAGGCAGGAGATGGAGAGCGAGGGGAGGAATTCCAAGCCAGCGAGGAAGAGGATGACAATGACTCAAGAGATTCCATGAGTCTTTCCAGCGAATCAGAGGATTCCCAGAAGGGGGCGCCGGTGGTCAAGGCCAGGGAGCCCCAGGGGGGAAGTGTCAGGAGCAGGGTGCTAGCGGAAGATCCCAAAGTGGCAGCTGGGCGTCAGGACCAGCCTCCCCACCAGAGTGCAGCGAAGGGGGTGGAGTTTCCAGTGTGTCAGAGGAAGCAGCTCCAGCAGCAGAGAAAGGAGGGGGTCAGAGCAAGCCGCCCTCCCGGAAGGGGAGGGAGCAGTGAAGGGAGTAGTGTAACTGTCAAAAGGAAAGTTAGAGGTTTGGCGCGCGCGCCTAGTTCAAATGTAGAGGCGCGCGGAAGTGCAGGGAGCCCGGAGGAGGGGCCAGGTCCCAAAGCCCGCAGGAGGGGGGGAAGAGCAGTCTGGGGATTCCGCATCAGAGGAATCCAGGAGGGGCGAAACCCCAGTGGGCAGAAGGACCCTGCGGAAAAGGAAGGAGAGAAAGAGGTGGAGCAGCGCAAGTCTCTTAAATTGGTGCAGGGGAGGAACTGACTCAGAGGGGACTTCGGCGGTCTAGCGTAAAAGACGTAAGGCTGCGCGCCTAGGATGTCAAGCAAACCATGAACTGCAATAAACACTTTTGTATATAAGAAGACAGAGGCGTTGGTCTTTTGTGAGCTAAGACTTGAGGCAGCCTTGACACTAACTCAAACATTTATTTACTTTATTAGTTAGTTGTTTTTGTGGTGGTGGGAACATAAGAAATTAACATACTGCTTGGATTCAAGAGCAGATACTTTAGCAGCAAAGCAATCCGAATTGTGTGTGCCTCCATTTAGATCTTGTCAAGGCCTAACAGACCTGCAAGAAGCTGTAGGACTTGAAGTGGCGGTGTGTGTGGGGGGGATGTTCAGGAAATATATCATATCAGCATGGTAATCCAGGGGAAATGTCCATGGAATATATTCACAGCTCTGTAAAGTGGCTGAATAATCTCACTCAAATCATCTGGCAAAGCTCCTAGAACCTCCCATGCCCTTCATGCTTATCAGACTCAAATCTTTTATAAGATTCCCATATTATAAAAATGTGCCCCTGTGCTCAATCTCTATCTGCTTTATAATCAATGTCTTCAAGATACAAATAGGATATGCAACTTTGCAAGTGCTCTCTTAAGTGGAAACCAAAGTGACAGAAATGAGGTTGTTGACAGAGAGCACGCATGAGTGCTGCTGTGTACTTTATGTCATGCTTGCCACAAAGTGGCATATACTCTGGCATCGTGTTTCTTGCAGCAAGCAAATGAAATGTAAATGACAGACACTGCTGCAAAGCTGGGTAACCATGAGCCAACTGCACTTTTCATGGGGGAAACATGGGTGTAACACTGCTGTTCTTGGGACAAACATGGAACGGCTCTGATCTTACTTTTTCAGGGATGTAGCAGAGCTTGCAACAGACCTCTTTCCATTCATTCTGTGAGCTTTGGCAGTGCTGCCACAACCACACACATTAATACTAAATTATAGCTAGGCAGGAAAGGACTCGATTATGTAGGAGCAGGCAAGTCCTACATGTTCTAAAAGGTGCTTCCATCTTCAGATTAAAATAAATTATCATATCTATTCATCGCTGTGTAAAACCCAACATGTGCTATTTTGTGCTTTGCACATGGCTTCTTGAAACCATTAACCGGACATAAATGCCATCCAAATGATTTAATATATTAAAATACCCTAACAATTGGGTAGAGGAAAGTAAATTTAACGTTATTTGGCATGTGGGCTACACTCAGCTCTGCCCTATGCTGGAATGGAAATATTGTAATTACGTTGCAAATTACCCAGTGCTGTGGGCATAAGAAAGAAGCTCTGGTGGTATTTTGTGACCCCGGAGAGTCCCATTGGGGTTTCCCCCATCTAGGGCTACTTTCTAAGTGAAATTGACAGCCTTGCGTACATGAAAATGATGAGACGTAAAGAGACAGTTTTCATATTACTTGAAGCTAAGTTGGTGCTAATACATGCAGCTGGTTTCTTATCTCCAGAAAGAATTAATTGCCATGGTGCCAAAAATACAAGGAAGAAAATGGTCTTAATGAAGCTCCAAAACAGAACAATGTGTTCCAGTTGTAACATCCTATGAAGAATGAAGTACTAAAACAAAACCCAGCTAAAGTTGTACTCTCCATTTCATCCTTTTCATTAAGGTGAATTCCTACAACAGCTCCACGAGGCAGATCTATGTTTTATCCTTAAATTTTAGGAGGTGGGACTGAGACTGAAATAAATGTATTTGTTTTCAATTAACATTCCTATCTTGCTTTCCTGGACTCAGTAGGGAGGCGCCCAGTATACCTCAAAACAAATCTAAACAATCAAACTACCTCTCCCCACCTAAATCACCACCCCTCCCAACCGTACAAAGCAAATGAACATGAAAAGCACCCTTCTGGATCAGGCCAAATCCAGCACGCCATTCTCACAGAGGCAAACCAGATGGCTATGGGAAGCCCGTTTGTAAAACCTGAGCACTTCCAGCTAAAGAGGCAGAACTTCCTTCTCTCACCTGCCCCAATTTCCCCAATCAAACTTTTGGCCAGCGTGTGCCAACCTGCTGTCCTCCAGATGTTGTGAACTCACCTCTTATCAGCCCCAGCCAGCAGAGCTCTGGAGGGCACCAGGTTGGTTGCTTTACACTGTATGCTCCTTGGGGCTGACGCTTCCTTGCTCACCTCTTGGTTACAGGTAAATTGATGGTGCTATAATATTGCAAATGTCTCTTACCATAGAAGGAAAGTAAAAGATTTGTGCTGGCTATCAAGGCCCCCCTCCTCCCATGTTTTGGTCATCAAGTGGCAGCTTATAATATTCCATGTTCAGAACTGTGATGGTAGAGTATTCTATTTCCTAAGTGCAAGACTAAAGCACCTATTGTTGAGATATGACTCTTCTAACCGTCCTGTACCATTTACTGCACTGTATGGTCTGCGGCTTTTACTATTGTCTCCAAGATATTAGTCAGTTCTAGCAGTTGTAAAATAGCAGCTGCATGCAACCATGAATGGATGGAGACAGAATACTGAGTACCCAGATTCACAGCAAGTAAAGTTAGACAAGTATAAACACATTTATTGAAAGTCTGTAAAATAATTACAGCAGAACACTGCAAATAAAGATTCCACATGAGCACTCAAAGGTATAAATCAAATTCCTGCTGTCTTGTATGGCAAAATAACTCATACAGAGGAATGTAGAAATTTCTTTGACACCTTTATAGTGTGGAAATTAGGTTTATGGGCAATAGCCAACAAAGCCATACTCAGAGCAAACCCACTGAAATTTGTGTACATAGGTTTATTGCTTTTAATGCACCTGCTCCGAGTAGGACTTATTTGGCTCTCAGCCTATGTACGTATGTACGTATGATAAATATTTTCATACTGCCCTTCCATTAAAAAAAAAATCCCAAGGTGAGTCAACTTACATAAAAGAAAATACAAAAACAATTAAAATGTAAATATTACAAATTAGAACAAATGCAGGAACCCCCAGGCTGCAAGATGCTAAAAACAACCAGCTAGACAAAAAAAATGTCCAAAAAAAATTATTCGCCAGGCACTGAAAGGACAAGAGAGCAGGTGCCTGGTAGACAGGTGCCTTCCATGACTGGGGGCTCTCCCTAACAGTCCCTGCTTTACCTCAGGTAGTCCACAGGCTGCTCCTCCAAGTATACTGATCTTTGGCCTTGAATGGCTTTGAAGGCCCTAGATTGTGAAGGACTTTAAAACCAGAACTGTACATTGGGCCTAGGCAGGAAGTTAGCATGGCCACTGGATTGCCCTGCTGGTTACAGCATGGTGCTGTCAACACCAAAGTTGCAGGTTCGATTCCTATATGGGACAACTGCATTGCAGGGAATTGGACTAGATGATGCTCAGGATCCCTTCCAACTCTATGATTCCAACTGGTGTATAAAACTATGTAGCTACGCAAGAACACGAATGAATCATTCCCCAAATATTATATTGATTGTCTTTGAATCTTCCCGCCATCCTCTCCTGCCACACCAGAGTGGTGTGCAACAATGTCTGAAAACCAGTGGTCTACAGCCCAATTCCGCCTATGGCTGCGTACCCACCATACTTTAAAGCACATTCAATGCACATTCCCCCCCTCAAAACTTCATGGCTGTTGTAGTTTGGTAGGGGTTTCTGGGAATTGTAACTCTGTGAGAGGTGAACTACAGTACCCAGAATTCTCTGAGGGGGGGGGAGTATTGAGAATGTGCTTTAAAGGTAGTGTGCAAGTGGCCTATATCTCTTGTCCTCTGTTTCTCTACCCAGTCAACCAAATTACAGTCATCTTGCTGACAACTAAAACATCTTTAGGGGTATAATGTGTGGTGCAACAACAATATGAAAGAAGGAATTAATTTCCAAGTTAGGTTGTTTATTTGTAAAAAACTTGTTCTGTAACATCTGCGCACTATCTTTTTAAAGTGCCTCCAAAAGGTTCAATGACAGAAAACCATGCTTTTGGGGAGTCGGATGATAAAATGACAATGTAAGTCAGTTAAAGATAGGTTAGCTATTTTACTGACAGAGGCAGAAAGAGAGAAAACCCAGCCCCACCACCATCACAATAAACAACATCTGGCAGACAGCTTCATAAGCCGAAAGGCAGCATGACAAGAAAGCTGTTTGTCAAAACGGTCACTCTGTGGCAAGCAACATCAGCCAAGGATTTCTTAAAGATGATTCCCTCAGTCACCACAGAGAAATGCAGATAGGAACAGATCGGCATGTAGGCAATGCTCTTTCTTTAAATCTTCGGTGACACCTCAGCCACATCTGCTCTCTTCCTCTCGCCATTCCCCTCTGGCTTGCACTACCACTTACTACATTTTATAACAAAGTCGCAGCCAGTCCCATCGCACCTGCAGCCACTCAGAGCAGCAGGAGATCTCACAGCAGATACAGGACTGATGCCCAAAATGGTGGTCTACTTCTCTCCCTCTTTCCATCCAATTTCTAGTGAAGTTTACTACATGGCTTGATGTTGTGACATTGTTATGCAATTTTTGGTAATTACACGCAATATTTTATGCACGCCCATAAGAGATGCATGTAAATAAATGCATAATCCCAATATCCCCTTTCTGTCTTCAAATAAAATTACATTCACCCAAAATAGCTCCTCTAAACATAGAGCAAGACCCCTCCAGAATTTCCTGTGTTCTGATATTTAGGCATTGAGCTGCCATACAATTAACTCCTGTGGTTTAGGTGGTTATCTCACAGATGCAATCATTTTGTCCATATGCTTTTGTAAAGAGTAATGAACTGCAGTGTTTGCCTATTTCTCAGCTCATGGTTCTGATCTTAGTAAACACCAAAGAAAGGCTGGAAGCAAGTCTCCATGTTACTTAGGGTCATTTCACACATTATGCACGGACCAATCAAGTAGGTCAATCCTGCCTACCTGTGAAAATTACCTCTATGGTGCCTGTACAGTATTTGCAAACATGTATGATGCAGTCACATTTACATTTTTAAGTGCACTCTTATCATTTGAGGTGAACACCCAAAAATGTCATGCATAAAGCAGCCTTTATAATCCAAAACCCAAAATCAAGAGCCACGTTTTTCACATCTTTAAGCTGCCAATGTTTAAACTGTGGAAATAAATAACTTTAGTTCTTTTGATGGGCAGCATTCTACATGGGGCTGTCCTTGGAAACTACAATTGGTCCAAAATGCCAGTGCTCAGGTAAGCAAGGAGCCAAGATGAACAGTTACTTTCTGGACACCTCCCTGCCACACACCCCACTGGTCCCACTTTCAGCGCTTCTTGGGTGCTCTTGCCTGTCTAAAATGTGTCCTTGAATTCTGATAATGCCTCTTGCTTGTGTGGATAGAGGAGGGTGTGTGCGTGTGCGTGTGAAACTAGCCTGTTGTGGCACCACCTGACATCAGGCAATTGGCTCACCTAGGGTAGGGAGATTAAGATTTGGCCTACTGGCCAGAAAAAAACTTGCCCATCCCTGCCTTAGATAATGGAGGGACGCAAAGCGACTGTGATGTAAATCACGGTGTATGGGTTACATTGAAGCACATGTGACCACAGGTGATCCTTCAAGTAAACTGGGCCCAAGAACTTAAAGGTCTGGAAATGAACTGGGAGCCAAGGCGATGGCAAAGCAGTGGTGATCATGATGACTTGTGCCAGTTAGCAATCTTGCCCCTGTATCCTGAACTAAAATAATTTTCTAAACTGTATTCAAAGACAGCCCATGTCTAACTCATTACAATATGAAGAGACAAGCACATTTCAGTACAGTGGTACCTCGGGTTAAGTACTTAATTCGTTCCGGAGGTCCGTACTTAACCTGAAACTGTTCTTAACCTGAAGCACCACTTTAGCAATGGGGCCTCCTGCTGCTGCTGCACTGCCGGAGCACGATTTCTGTTCTCATCCTGAAGCAAAGTTCTTAACCTGAAGCACTATTTCTGGGTTAGCGGAGTCTGTAACCTGAAGCGTATGTAACCTGAAGCGTATGTAACCCAAGGTACCACTGTACTGCTTTACTGGTAAGTCTTTACAAATACATTTTTAATATTTTTCTTTTAGTTGTTACTTTGTATATGTCTAGAATCTTTCCTGTTTTTCAGTAGCTAACCAGTTTGGGGGCTCCCAACACATCAAAATGAAACAAAGGGAGGAAAATGAAACAAGCATATGAAAAACGAGGCTAGCTATTTTTTAGCCTTTAAAAAATGTGACTCCATTTTTCATATTACCAGATCACCCCATCCCTAAATTGCAGGATAGTTGTGCGCTCCTTCCTGACCCTCCCTCTCCCCCCGCTCTCCAGCGTTGGAATGTATAGATTCACTAACCACAATCCAATGTGGACTCAGTGAAATCAAGGGGCTTAAACACACTGCTCCTTGTGCGCCTGTGGCCTCTGCAGCCTATGAGACATTCCCAGAGTACATGAGTAGTGAGCTGCAGCGCATAATTTGCATTGAAACCCAGAAAACAAATGATTCCTCATAAGCAAATCCTATAATTGAGGCAAAAGTCACAATGATTTTTGGTGGAACATTACTTTTCTTCCAATCTGTAAAGTACTCGGACAATAGGGAGAACTCAGAGGAAGGAACAAAATGCCTCGTCTATCATTTGCCTTCACTCTCAGCAGGTAGCTGTTGCTTCGTTCGTAATGTTATACACTGTGTCAACATTATGAACACAGCAGTGTGTTTCTTAGCCTAGTATGCATCATTTGCATTTAGGGGGGAGGAAAAAACACAGAATTATAACAGTGTGGGGGAAATGCTATCCTAAATCTTCTATGGTGCTTTTGCTGGGTTATCTTTTCATTATGTGGTCTGAGTTTTTTCTTGACATAAGCTTCATGGGGAGTTGGAGCTGAGTGTGTGCTATCCACCTCCTTGTAAAAACAAGACTTGATTTTAACCTTCAAAAATTGCTCTCTTGGAAGGATCCTTGTTATTAAAACTGAACATGAAGAATTGCTTTAATAACATGATTTTGATAAAACTACACGTTTTGATACAGCTATAAAAAGAATAGCAACATGTCTTGTTGTTATTGTCAGCGTCACACTATATAGCTAAAGCATCTGATAGGATGAAACCTAATGTGTTTTGTGTAGAAAAGCCAGGACCCTAAAGGAGAGTGTCCTTCCAGGAGTCAGAAAAGAATGCATTTTGCTTATGAACATAGCTCTCCCATACAATGTGTGCTCTGCGTGATTGTAGTTCCTAGTAGTCCCAGTCTAGATGACGGCTCTCTTGCTATAGGGCTGGGAAAGACAGTGCAATATCAGGAGGTCAGGAGCAAGCCAGCAGTAAATCACATGGGGTAAGTGAAGTTAATTCTTTATAAGAAAAGTGGATTTGCACAGGGGTGCCAGGCCTAATGAGCACAGCAGTTCTTCTTTGGTAGGCCTTGCTCCTATGAGGCAGTTGCGAAGACTGAAGGTCCCCGCCTCCCACTGTTGCCTATGTCTCCTCTCCAGGGCAGAGACTGTGCCTGTGTTCCTGTCCTTGCTCCTCCTGCTTCATGCCTTTCCTGGCCTTGGAAAGCAGGGCAGAGGGGAGCTGGTCATAGCAGGAGGGAGAGACACCTGTGCCTCTTCACCTGCCTGACCCATCTCTGCCTCTTGGCCGCCTTCATCCTCCTCCCCGGCTTCAGCTTCTGCCTCTGAGTCTGGACTTCTCTCTGCCACAGACTCTCCCTTCTCACTAAGCCCTGTTACCTCTTCAGCTTCTGACACTTCCTCCCTCTGACCACTCATGGTTGTCCCACCACCACTCCCCGGGTTCTGGGCCTTCTTTCCCTCAGGGTTCCCCAGCTGGTTCCTCCCGCCATTTGGCTGCGTCCAACTGGTCCATGACATCAGATCAGGCTTGAGTGGCATTGTGTTGCTAGTGAGCAACTTTCTCTTAGCAACTGGGTGGGGGCAAGAGTTCAGTGGCAGAAGCATACACTTTTACACGCATGAAGTCCCTTTCTGAAAGTCAATCAACTACAATAAAAGGTTTTTGATAACAGATGCTGGTAAAGCTTCTGATACCTTGGAGAGCGGCTACAAGTCAAAGTCAGCAGCATTGGGCTAGATGGGCCAATGTTCTGACTCAGTACAAGACAGGAACATAGTATGAATGGATGGAGCTTGGGCCACAGAAACCCACTGGACTTTGCACTCATCAAACCCCAGTGGCTTTTGTACCAGCTGCACTGGCTCCCAGTGGAGTACAGGATCAGGTTTAAGGTGCTGGTTTTAACCTTTAAAGCCCTATACAGCCTAGGACCCTCGTACCTACGGGACCGCCTCTCCTTATGGTCTTCAAACAAAAACATCTTGAAGGTCCCGGGCCACAGGGAGGTTAGGCTGGCCTCAACCAGAGCCAGGGCTTTTTCGGCTGTGGCTCCGATCTGGTGGAACGCTCTGTCCCAAGAGACTAGGGCCCTGTGGGACTTGACATCTTTCCTCAGGGCCTGCAAGACAGAGCTGTTCCACCAGGCCTTTGGCCAAGGCACAGTCTGACCCTCTCCTTCTGTAATCCTCATAGAACTCTAACCCAATAGTTGCCATTAATTTGATTTGAACTGATTTTATAATGAACTGATTTTAGAATGTTGTATTATTTTACTGTCGTTAGCCACTCTGAGCCCGGCTTTGACTGGAGAGGGCAGGATATAAACAAAATTTTATTATTTTTTATTATTTTGTGAGACTTCCAACATTCGGGTGGGAGACAGTTCTGTCAAAACTGCTGCCAGCTGAATCTATGCACCGTTCAACCCACACTAAGCTTTCCTTGTGTGATCCTGAGTGCACATGGACCAAGGGGTGGTGGTGGAGGAGACGTGCTGGGCCTGAAGCACCATGAGAGCCCTCCCCACCCTTCCTCTTGCAGGTTAGGTGGGGTTCATTGGAAGAGACTTCCCTGCCTCCTCCCAAAATACTGGAGTAAGCACTGCAAGCAGAGACCATATGCGGGGGAAACTATGTGAAACAAGCCTAAGTATAAAGGGATTAAGATCTTCATTCAAACCCACCCCCAGCAAATAGACAGTAGCTTTGTGTTATATGCCCTGCATTTTGAATCAAATTTGCAGGCACCTATCTAAAAACAAGTGGAATCTTAAATATAAGTGAAAAATTTCATGTTTGCTTTGTGCAGCATGGAAATAGCAAATAAAATTCATGAGCTACAACAAAGCAAAGGAACCGTAATGGCAAATTGGGCAGTGAGGCAATAAAGTAGGTATCCAGCTCTAGCATCATATGACTTTTGTGTCAACAGGTCATAGTTTCCAAGGAAACAAGAAATTACACATGAATACTTTGTCCTAGATTGAATTGAGGAAATGGTGCATGTTTAATTGATTATAGTTATTAGGCTGACAGCAGCATTTCCTAAATGAGAACTTTTGAGGAGGTTTCAGAGTACAGACTATGCTTCAGTTCCAGGAATTTCTTAGCTCTGGGTATGTGAAAGAGGTAGTTATTGTATATGGCAATACCATATCTGGCAATACCTGATCAAATTTGCAGATGACACCAAACTGGGAGGGGTGGCTAACACCCCAGAGGACAGGATCACACTTCAAAACGACCTTGACAGATTAGAGAACTGGGCCAAAACAAACAAGATGAATTTTAACAGGGAGAAATGTAAAGTATTGCACTTCGGCAAAAAAAATGAGAGGCACAAATACAAGATGGGAGACACCTGGCTTGAGAGCAGTACATGTGACAAGGATCTAGGCGTCTTGGTTGACCACAAACTTGACATGAGCCAACAGTGTGACGCGGCAGCTCAAAAAGCCAATGCAATTCTGGGCTGCATCAATAGGACTATAGCATCTAGATCAAGGGAAGTAATAGTGCCACTGTATTCTGCTCTGGTCAGACCTCGCCTGGAGTACTGTGTCCAGTTCTGGGCACCACAGTTCAAGAAGGACACTGACAAACTGGAACGTGTCCAGAGGAGGGCAACCAAAATGGTCAAAGGCCTGGAAACGATGCCTTATGAGGAACGGCTAAGGGAGCTGGGCATGTTTAGCCTGGAGAAGAGGAGGTTAAGGGGTGATATGATAGCCATGTTCAAATATATAAAAGGATGTCACATAGAGGAGGGCGAAAGGTTGTTTTCTGCTGCTCCAGAGAAGCGGACACGGAGCAATGGATCTAAACTACAAGAAAGAAGATTCCACCTAAACATTAGGAAGAACTTCCTGACAGTAAGAGCTGTTTGACAGTGGAATTTGCTGCCAAGGAGTGTGTGGTGGAGTCTCCTTCTTTGGAGGTCTTTAAGCAGAGGCTTGACAACCATATGTCAGGAGTGCTCTGATGGTGTTTCCTGCTTGGCAGGGGGTTGGACTCGATGGCCCTTGTGGTCTCTTCCAACTCTATGATTCTATGATTCTACCTCGGGTTACAGGCGCTTCAGGTTACAGGTGCTTCAGGTTCCAGACTCCGCTAACCCAGAAATAGTGCCTTGGGTTAAGAACTTTGCTTCAGGATGAGAACAGAAATCGCATGGCGGCAGCGGGAGGCCCCATTAGCTAAAGTGGTACCTCAGGTTTAGAACAGTTTCAGGTTAAGAACAGACCTCCGGAACGAATTAAGTTCTTAACCCGAGGTACCACTGTAGAGTCGAAAGAAGTGATGTGGAATAAAACAGGCACCAACTTTATTTGATGTTGTGATACTGAACTTTAAGAACCACTTCAGCCAATGACTGAGGTGATTCCCTTAAGGCCCAAGGCCTGGCCTGGCTGTCTCGGGGTGAGCTCAGCACTCAGCTGTCCTGAGCAGGACCAGCTTGCCCACATCTCTTCAAGTGAGCTCAGTGCCAATCAGGTGCGGAAGCTGCCCAGAAACTGATACCATAGCAGGAGCCCAGCCCATCCCTAAGTCCCCAACAGCCTAGTGACTGCCCTAACCTCTCCAGCTGCCTCTGAATGCAGGGGCTACCTCCCAAACAACCTGTCTTATCTGTATGGCTCCTCCTTGCCCACTGGCCACCTGCCAAGTTGTGACAAAAAGGATGCAAATTGACAGCCAGAGCCCAAGGAAATCAACAGATAAATAAACAACTATTGCCTAATCAAAGGCCAACCAGACCACACCCTGTAAAAAGATCTTCCCAGCCCCAAGGCCCTGCCATTACCATCAGGCCATGAAGCTCTGTTTGTGTGGTGGGGGGGCTGGTTGCCTATTCAAACTGATGCTGGAGAAAGGGAAGGATTAGCTTCAGAGAGCCCACTTCCTGTCTCTTGCAAGGGATTACCGCTCTTGTCATTGTGGTATCGTGGCCTAACACAAGCACACCACACAGGCCATTGGGGGAAGATTATTTAAAAATATAATTCACAACACAAGGAAACTAACAGCTAGGTGAAATATAATTTTCAATTCACTGGCAACAACTGTGCAGGGAGTTCCAACTCTTTAGGGATATCCACTCCAGGTAGCACCAGAGAAGGCACAAGAAGCAAGAATTCTATCACTCCAAAAGCTAAGGAAGGTTCATCTAAGGAAGTTAAACTTGGATGAGTATGTAATTGTTTAGTGAATTTAACTTTATTCCCCAGATCAAGGAAATTATAGTGGAGGTGTAGTGATTTCTAAAATGCATAGCTGTCAACTTACAGATTTGAAAATAAGGGACCAGCAGCCTTGAAAACAAGGGACCAGCAGCCAAAATAAGGGACTGCAGCCTCACCTGTTCCAGGCACTCCAGTCTTCCTGTCCTCCTGCAGTCTGGTCAAACTCAGGCTGGGTAGCTTTGAAAACACTGTCCAACCAACTTTGTAACCAGAGGTTCAACTGAATAGAATCTGAACCACATGCACCACAAGGCCTATGCAGTCTCAACTTAAGAGGGCTCCCCGGCCTGGCTTTGCACTGCAAAGTTTGCAGCAGCACGTGCAACAAAATGGCGTCCAGCATTCAAAAAACCCCTCAGCTTGCATTAACTAGCCACACACAAGGCATGCAAGCTCCACCCCCCAGTCGTTCTTAGACTTCTTATTGGGTGAGCAACACAGCCAATCAACACAGTTGGAGCCTCCCTCCTCCCTGGCCGGCAGGGAGGGAGGGAGAGGAGCTGCTTCCTTTGAAATTTAAGGGACATCATTTAAGGGACATTTAAGGGACATCCATCAATAAGGGACAGCAGCGGGACATGGCGCTGGAATAAGGGCCTGTCCCTTCAAATAAGGGACACTTGACAGCTATGAAAATGTCATTTGTTTATTAATTAAATGTATATCCCACTCTTCCTCCTAAAGGAGCCCAGGGCAGCAAACAAGAAGTAATACAGCAATAAAAACATATTTAGAACATTGCAAGAGACACCATAAGATTTCAACATGCTCCTAATACTAGCACAATTTGCACACTTGACCTGATTTCCTGGAATTTGATGTCCTCCTTCTATTTCTGTTTGGTTAACAGAAACAAAAGCAGTATAAGCAATACTTACAGTTGCATGACCAGATACAAGTGGTTTGGACTCTCATAGATGTCTTCCAGGGCAACAATATTTTCATGCTTGATCCTGAAGGTTACATAAAAAGCAACATCACAAGGTAAGTTAAGCGCCCAAGAGAAATCTGTTCACATAATGAGAATAATGCCCAGATTGCCATAAACCATCAAGAGTCTTTATGGTCTCAGGATAATTCAATTAAAATGAAGTCTGAGTAGACTAGAGCCTCTTCCTGTCACGACAGATGCACATTTGGAGGAGTTAAATGTTGTGAACGGCCCTTTGGATAAGGGCAGTTTACTTAAGCTGGGATAAAGTGCATTTCCCCTTTGTTGCAAGTGTGCACATCCACACCAAACTCCAGACAAATTCAACAGCACAATTACATGATGCATGATGGCAGCAATGGCTTGGCGGGGGGGGGGGACCCAGTGCATCCTCCTGGTTGCAATAGCACTTCACGGAGTGGCACAGGGCTGGGGCAGTCACTGCCACCCCCTGGTCCTCTCCTTTCCTCTCCCCCCCCCGCTTCCATCTCCTCTCACAAACCACTGCTCCATCATCGTGGGTGAAGCTACAACAGAGCTGGCTGTGATCCAGCCTTTGCTGCAAGATTGTCACTTTAATTATCCTGAGCATCATAACGCTGTGATCCTATCTCTTTGCTCATTTTCTATGCGCAGGGTTCCAAGCTTTAGCTTATTCATGAGTAACAAGGGCTGTTTTTTCAAGCAAGGCAAAAATATAGAAGTATGATCAAGCCCAAATCAAACATTTTTATCAGCGGGAAAGTTATTGTTAACCAGCTCTTGCAGAAATCTTAAAAATATTTAGCTTTAGCTGGCTATATGCCTATTTTTATACTTCATATGTCTGTGCTGTGGAAATATATTCAATCGGAATTAATGGGAAACAATACAACCAAGGCGGCAAGCCAGTGTGGTGTAGTTGTTTTGTCAGAGGAGGATCTAGGAGCCCAGGTTTCAAAGCCCCATTCAGAGCTATATCAGAGAGTTGTTGCGAGGATTAAACGAGGAGGAAAGCGTGTGTGCCACCTTGAGCTCATTGGAGAAAAAGCTGGAGTATACATGCAATAAACAAACAAAAAAAGAAATTAAATAAATTTAGAAACAGGCTAGAAACATTCATAGAAGATATGAATGACAACATCTAATTGGTCAGTGGATGGAAAATATGGCAGGCAACAGAATTAGAATCTTGTGCTTCTGCTGGCTGGTATTGGCCAGTGTCAGAAATAACATATAGGATTGTACAGAATATAATATTATATAACACAGCAGTTTGCATATGTCACTTTGTAAACATGAAGTAACCATTCTTTGCAGCATACAAATGTGTGGAGGAAATTAAACACTTCTTTTAAAATGTCATTTAAATGAACTTGCAAATGGTCTCATTATCTTAATAAAGAAACCACATTTTAAAACATTTTAACAGCTTGAACAAACATACAGGTAACCACTAGAACAGATCCACATGGTTCAGAAGTCCTTGGTGTTTAGGTGATGACTTTTTAAAAGAGAGAAACCACAAACCACCATCTAATTAGCTCCTCAAACGCAAATCCTCTCTGGGATTACTGTTTAAGCAATTCCAAACAATTTCCAATGTGCACAATTAATTTGCATTAACCCCAAAGCGAGAAACCATTTAGCTGTAAACAACAGAATGTTAATTAAGACAAACTGGAGAAATTGAGTAAGAGAGAGATACTGAACAATTAAGTGTAAAAAGCTAAAACATGCCAATTCCACTGTAAATAATAGACATAATCAGATAATAGGGAATTCCTAAAGTTTGGTTGGCCTTCTGTAACTAGTGAGCTGAACACTAAGGATAACCTGAAATGTCAGGTTAACCTGAAAACTGCTTTAATTTCATGCTTGGCGTCAGCACACTGCTGGATTACCCAATAGGCAGACTAAGCACATGCTTAGGGCAGCTCTGAATTTCTGAATCTGACAACTGATTATTTTTTTTTTTTTTAAGCATTAGTCATCATAGGGAAAACCATATTTTAGCAACGACCAGATATTGAAATATCTTTATAATACTTTCTGGGAAGCATGTGCAGAGGAAACAAGTGCAATTCTGGAGTCCTACTCAAAGATTGTGGATGCATTAGAAAGTGTAGCTGTAGAAAATAGAATGAAATTTTACAACACCTTCTCTGCAGAAGTCAAGCTCTCTCTCTCTCAAAAAAAAAAAAGGAAAGGAAAGGAAAAACTGGATTTGAAAACACGTGCAGACCTCTGTCAATCATTAGCAGACCACTAACGCCAGTGGTTTTCAACATTCTTGAGTCCACGACTCCCTTGACCAATCACGTTCTTTCTGCAGCTCCCCTGTGGGAGCCACTTCCACTGGGTTCCATTACAGGACATGTGTAAGTGGGGATTCCCCCGCTCTGCTGCCGCCCCACCCCCTTCCCCCCACCCCCTTCTGCCCTGCCCCTTTCTAGCAGTGCTTTTGATGCATGTATAAGTAGGAGGCAGTGAGAGATTTTGCTTCCTTGGGCTCCATGATCACTGTAGATAGTGACAGCAGTCATGAAATTAAAAGACGCCTGCTTCTTGGGAGAAAAGCAATGACAAACCTAGACAGCATCTTAAAAAGCAGAGACATCACCTTGCCAACAAAGGTCCGTAGAGTTAAAGCTATGGTTTTCCCAGTGGTGATGTACGGAAGTGAGAGCTGGACCATAAAGAGGGCTAATTGCCGAAGAATGGATGCTTTTGAATTCTGGTGCTGGAGGAGACTCTTGAGAGTCCCATGGACTGCAGGAAGATCAAACCTCTCCATTTTGAAGGAAATCCGCCCTGAGTGCTCACTGGAAGGACAGATCCTGAAGCTGAGGCTCCAAGACTTTGGCCACCTCATGAGAAGAGAAGACTCCCTGGAAAAGACCCTGATGCTGGGAAAGATGGAGGGCACAAGGAGAAGGGGATGACAGAAGACGAGATGGTGGGACAGTGTTCTCGAAGCTACGAACATGAGTTTGACCAAACTGTGGGAGGCAGTGGAAGACAGGAGTGCCTGGCCTGCTCTGGTCCAGGGGGTCACGAAGAGTCGGACATGACTAAACGACTAAACAACAACAACCAGGGCCTTGCAGAGCCAGGCAGAGGCCCAGCCCAGGTAGATAATGTGCCCCCCTTTTTACCCTGGGGATAACTGAAGTCTTATAAATAAGTATATAAATAATTTTAACAAAAGGTATGCTGACAAATAATTTTATTTCAAGGCTTGAAACGTATCTGCATATAAAGACAAAATGGAAAATATAGATATACAATAGTGCTTTTTAAAAATACATAGGGAAAAGGATTATTTTAAGTATTTACATTTAAAAATGCTGTGAATATGCTGGCCGAGGCCCCCTTTGGAATCGGAGGCCCGGGCCAAGTGGCCCATATGGCCCCCACTCTGTCTGGGCCTGACAACAACAGTAAGTGGGACCGCACATGTTAACGGGAACCCAAGCAACGCCACGGCTCTGCAGGACCAAACTGGCACATTCCTCATGGCAGCACATGGGGGTGGAGAGGGCAAAACAAGATTAAGATTAGAAGCAGAAATATGTTGTTATTGTGGGGAAGGAAAGCAAGAAACACACCGCATAGGACACACAGGCAGACACGGTCCTTTCTGCAACATTCTCCCTGGCTCCATAAAGCTGGGTGAGTGTTGAGGGGGTTGCCTGGGGGGGGGGGAGTAGAGCAGAAGAGGGGGGAGGGAAACACAGAAGACACTCCCCACTTTCAGGGTTATTTTTACATCCCCCATCAAGCTGCTTTGCTATTTTCATCCATTTCTCAATCCCTCCATGTAAAACTAAGGAAGTTATTGAAGCTGGGAAGGATTTTTGTTTGTGTGGGGGGGCAAAGATTTTAAGAAGATAAACAGTCTTGCAAAAGTGTTTTCCTACCTTTTTTTTTTTTTGCTGTTTTATTTCAGGTGTCTTTTGTGGCCTTTTGAAAAATGGAAGCAATTAACCACTCCAAAAAGAAAGTATCAAAAATAAAATGACATCAGAAATTGCTCGCTTACCTGAACATTAACTGCGCCGCCGGAGCACGATTTCTGTTCTCAGCCTGAAGCAAAGTTCTTAACCTGAAGCACTATTTCTGGGTTAGCAGAGTCTGTAACCTGAAGCGTCTGTAACCTGAAGCGTATGTAACCCGAGGTACCACTGTATACAGAAGCAGGCAGGCTTTGCCAAGTCAGATTTGCTGAACTTATTCAGAACATTGCAATCAGAAAATCTAGAAATAAGATTTTAATTTCAGGTAAGCACAGTAACAGAAGTGCATAATATGCTCACAGCATTCTTTAAGGCCCCAAGAAATAATACTGTGCGAAAGCAAGCCACAATTAGCTCCCAGTAAAAAAAAAAAAAAATGGATGCCCCAACTTCAGCTCTGCAATACTTTGATTGCATTCATTATTTACTCTACGTTTACAGTGGTACCTCAGGTTACATATGCTTCAGGTTACATATGCTTCAGGTTACAGACTCCGCTAACGCAGAAATAGTGCTTCAGGTTAAGAACTTTGCTTCAGGATGAGAACAGAAATCCTGCTCCGGCGGCGCAGCGGCAGTGGGAGGCCCCATTAGCTAAAGTGGTGCTTCAGGTTAAGAACAGTTTCAGGTTAAGAACGGACCTCCGGAACGAATTAAGTATGATGATCCATTACGTAAGACAAAGCAGGTGTCCTGCTCCCTCAGACGATTCTGCCCTTTCTCCCTTGTTCTCAGCCTCTCACAATACTAAAATGATGTTTATCCATCTCTTCTTTCAAATGTAGCTGTTATGCTACATTATTCCAATGTGGTATATATTTTTACATTGCTTTTATGATGTTTGTTTACAATGCATTGATATTAGTTTGGCTATATTTTAAGCTGTTTTATGGAGGCATTTGCCTTATTTATTTATTTAATAATGAACATGACGTTATGTAAAACAACAAAGCATTTATCATGTGAAATAATCAGAGTTATAACCAGCAGGACAGTATTAACTCTTTTGGCAATTAGGCTCACTTTGGTGGAAGCAGGTGTTATTTGACGGCAATGAAGCAGACGTATATTTTAAAGAAAGGAGAATGGTGGCCTTACTTGAACCTTTGAGATCTAGATTCTGTTCATGAGAAGTAGGAAGGAGTGGCAGTGAAGAAAGTAAAGAATTTGAACCATCAGCCTTCTGATCAGCAAGCCCAAGACGCTCAGTGGTTTACCTAGCAAAGAATTAATTACCCATCCTATCAGTGACTTTTTCAGCTATTGGTCAAAAATGCAGAACACGGTTCTGGAGCTTTGCTATATTTTATGCATCTAAGTCACACTTGTAATTCACGCATAGTGACTCATTTTTTCCTAACCGTTGCATCTCATTAGTTTAAGGTATTGAGAATGAAAGGTAGTTATTAAAGGAAGCCCAAAATAAACCAGTGCTGCACTCTGCACTGGAACTGGTGCGCAGAGGGTCCTTTGATAAAATCATCTCCCCCTTTGGTGAGCCAAGAAATCATGCTATAACTAAGAATGGCTGTTGTATTAATAAACAATGTGATTTCTATCTCTCTCTTAATGAAATAAGAGAGGCTGATGGATCGTTGGACATGCAAGATGTTCATCATCAACTGACTGCAAAGACAAAGACATGTTAACAATACCCTGCAAGGGCTGCATGGCAAGGTTAAGGATGGAGTTAAAAGGTGGCAAATATTTCAGGGTCACTGACAACAGGTTTTTGGTTTAAAAAATAATAATTAGCAGACTTCCCCCAGAAAGGATAAATCTGGATTAAATGATGGGAAGAGGTACGGGCTGGCATTTTGATACAACATTTGTGTGCAAGAGGAGCACCCGTCCCACAATGTCCTCCACAGACTCATTGTCAGTGGTGATACCAGTCCTCAAGAGCCATTTAGTACTTGCTCTTCCCTCATCAAAATGCTCAGGGAGATGAGGAATGGAAGCAAGGGTGCATCTAAATAAGAAATGTTGTGGTAATGGGAAACTTCAGCTACCCTCTTGAGGACTGGCTGCATACACGTTCCCCTGCCTCTCTCATATCACTAGAATTTGTGGACACGCAGTGAAGCTGAATGTGGGAAGATTCAGAAATCCAGAGCAGATTTATTTATTTTTTAAAAAATATTTATTAAAGGTTTAGAGATTACAGAAAGAAAGAAAAAAGAAAGAAAAAATAAACAATGCAAATCAACACTGTACATAAAAAAAGGAAAAACATAAGACACAATACATCAAAACAAAAACAAAAGCAAAAACAATTAAAAACACATCCAATATTTCCATATCTTTGTCTTTCATTAACTTGTTTCATCGACCTCCTTGCACCTCCCTTTTTTGTGTTCTAGTTATTAATTGTTTCAGCAAATCCTTTCCATCTTTCACTATTTTCTATCATATAATTATCATAATTTATTTTAACCTTATCTTACCATTAATACCCTAAAACTTATTTGTACTTAACTCCTTATAACATTTCTACTAAAGCCGTGTAATTTCATTCCAACATTTTTCTAACACTCATTAATTTTACAATGTTTCTATAAATAAATTTTTAAAACTTTTTTCCAATCTTCTTCCACCGTCTCTTCTCCCTGGTCTTGGATTCTGCCAGTCCTTTCTATCAATCCATATGGTCCATCAACCTGGTGATCTTCTGTCCGAGGCTCTTAACTCTTTTCCATGTCCCTTCTACAGATCTTCTTCATATTTATACATACATACTTTATCTTCTGCTGATCTTATTCTTAATTTCCTTCCTTTAACATTGAGGAGTAGATCTCGGGGAAGCTCCAACCTAACAATGTCTTTATTCCTTCTCGACTGGTCAGCCCATTCTCCATAGTCAAAACTAGAGTCCAAAAGATATTTCAGGACGTGTTTCAATTGGCTTTCTCTAAATTCAAACATAAAAGGCAAGAGCTTATATTCATCAAATTGTCTCTGTAAGACTGAGGCTCTCTCCACTTGTATTACTTGAGATTCTAAAATAACTTTCTCCCTCGTCTTCTCCACAACTTGCCATGTCGAAGTAGATTCCTGGATCAGTTCCTGAGTAGTTTCTGTATAGATATTCACTTCTTGTCCCAAATCAGTCATTTTTTGTCCCAAATTATCAATTTTAATAGTCATCACATCCATCTTCTCATGAAGCTGTTCCAGTAAAGCACTTATCTTGCAAAATGCAATCACTAAGGCTTCTTCTGTCGACATTCTTGTCCAAGGCCAATCTCTGATTCTCACGGTCTCTCTGCAGCTGGAAAATTCCCCAGCTCCATTTCTGCAACAGTTTCAAAATCTCCCTCTAGAGGAAACAATTTCTATTTGTATCCGTCCTTTTAAACGCAGATCCAGCAACAAAGTTAGTTTCAATCTTTCAGTTACTTTTGCTCCTTTTTAAGTGCAAAAGGAAGCAATAGAAACAATATATTTTTCTTATTTAACTATCTGTCAACATACGTTTTATTCACAGTCAATGGACTTTCCCAAAACGTCAAACGTACTGACAGCCCGTTCCCAGGTTCAAAACGGTGGTAATTTATCTTTCTTCACTCTCTCTCCTGCAGGCTTAGGCAATCTAAAATTTCCCTCCTCTTCTCCTGCTTCCAAGGGGGGTTTAGAAATTTTAACTGATGGAAATTTAGTCCTTTACAAAAGGCTCTCCAAGACTTTAGCTTGCAGTGTCTTTGCTCTATCTATTTACAAAAGAGGAAGGCGGACTTCCTGTTTGAAACCTTCCCGTTTCGGTGCTGAATTAAGATGTTTAAAGGTCCAATTTTCCGTTCTACTCACGGGTAGTTGTTTAAAGTCCAATTGTCCACAGGAAAAAAGTCAGCGCTCTCCGGCAACGGCAAAGCGGCTTCACTCCGTTAAAGAAGCAGTCGATTCAAAGCACCGCGCCACTCACCCCACATCGCTCCGGAACCCCGAAACCGGGTTTCCCCACAAGTGGGGGGGGCGCAAAAGGTGCCAGCCGAATCCCACGCCCACAGGCTTCTCCCGCCTGTGGTTTTTGGTGGGTCTCCGCCTTCGCCATGGCGGCCAGACCCTGATTCCACGGAGCGGGTTCCTCCCGATCAGAGGAATTCCGCCATTGCCGGAGGCGCTAACCCGGAAGTCCCCAGAAATCCAGAGCAGATTTAGGGGGCACAGAAGCAGGGGCGAAGGAAGGCCAACCAGCACCCGGGGCGGGGGGTTGGGGGGTGGCAGAGAGATCCCACTGCTGTCCATGTGGCGCTCGAGTGCCACCTCCGGCACACCGCAGAGGGGAGGGGGGTTCAATAAAATCAGTTTGCCAAGTTTTCACATTTGTGGAATCTTTTATTTCAGCATCGGTAAAAGATATTCATAGCAAAAGCAAAAACAAAAAAGCAAAAGACCCATTCCTCTCCATCAGAGAGAGGGTTTGAGGGCGCGAAGAAAGAAACACAATTAGCACTGGCCCAATCAGGCATGTGACCAATATAAATGTGATCCGTTTTATTGCTCTGGTGAAAAATGAAGGTGCAGAACTATGATTTACATATTCAGTACAGAATTTGAGGGAAGTAGATTTGTAGATTTGAAGCTATCATTCATTATTTTGACATATATAAACAAACTTCTAAGATAATAATGAAAGAGATTTTAGATTTGGCAACATTGCATTTTTTGGCACAAGCTGTTAAAATACTCTTAAATTAAGCAAATCCTTCACCAATCTAATTGTGACTCAGCGCATTTTATTTCACCTGCTACATTTGGGAGGGGTTTTCGTTTATCCAGCTTTGACTGTGGATTTCTCTCCCTTCGTGAGTTGGCTTTTATTAAATATTCTCCACCACTTTTATACAGAATACTATTTCTGGCCACCTGACACAAGCCCCTGTAATGAAGGCTGCTAATCTCCAAAGTTCTTATTTTGTTCCAGCTCTCTGTAATTGTGGCTTGTCAAGAAATGTCTTTAAATTTCCATTTGTGAGCATTTGCTCAGGGGAGTTAGAGGGGTCTGTGCAGTGGACCCTGAAATATTAGGCACACGGGCTAAATGGAAAAAGAAAACTGCTCTTGCTGAGATGACAAATTGGCTGAAATCTGTGATTAAGGCAACTGGAGGCTTACCAAATCACTGTCTCCAGGCACCGTCTCCTTTTGATTCTGCTTCTTAACTCATTTTTTGCACACTGACAACTAGGATTCATATTATAAAAAGTGCAGAAATGCCTTTAGCCAGAACCAGCCAATGCTTTTACCCTACTGTTCTGCTGCAACCCAAGGTTGCAGTGTGGAGTGCCTCTGTTCACTGTTCCAGTTTGTCATCCCTCAACAACCAGCATTGAGGGTGGTAGTTCCAACTTATTTGTTTGACTTCTCTAAATCTTGGGGTTTCCTTGAGCCTGAGTGAAGCTGCCCGTGAAATACTGCCTAAAGTGGGATCTGAAGCCCATTTGGAGGTTCCTCCTCAGGCAAAACATCAATGATTTTGAGGGAAACCGAAAGATGTTGGTAGCCCAGTGAGAGGTTTAATGAAAAGGCTTCTCCAAGAACTTGAATTCTTCAGGTTTCATGTTGCTGTGGAAACAAAGGCACCAAATACAACTGCAAGAGATGTAGTACATCCACTGGAAACTATTACTGCCTTTGAACACATTAAAAACATAAAACAACAGTCCAGCCTGAGGAAATTTTAAAACATTTTTAACTGATAGGTCAGAGGTCCTTCCTCCGCAAGCCTTTCTATTGCGCAGAGTAAAATCTTATTATGAATGTAAAATGTTTCCCCCACCCCTTTCTCTCTCTCTCTCTCTCTCTCTCTCTCTCTCTCTCTCTCTCTCTCGTGTTTGTAGTACAAATCTGACACAGTATACAAAACTTTCAAACAAGAAGGCTAAGGGGCCTGGAGATCAGAACAAAGGCGAACTGCCCAAGAGGAAGAAACACGTCTGGCAGGATGACCAGGGCTGGATCTACACTGACCTGTTTAATGTTATTTTCCCCTATTAGAAATGCTATTCTAAAACATCACAGGGCATAATTGTTAATTAAAACATTTTACCTTGTTTTTTCCCCATCAAATGTAAGTCATACCTAGTCACACCATTTTCCAAAATGCTGTTTCTTTCCCTGCTGGTCACTGGTTGCTCTGCTCTGCCCTCGGGTTTCACGTTTTAATTCTTCTTCCCTCCCTGTCCTTTGTCATCTGTGCATGTCAGTCTTTCACCTCCCCTCAAATATCATGGTGTGTGTGTGTGTGTGTGTGTGTGTGTGTGTGGAGTTTGAATGCCGTAACAAAAAAGGTAAAATGCTACATAGGGACATATGAGCAGTGTTCCACTGATACAGCAACATAAAACGATTAAAAAGTAACTGATATAAAAGACAAGGTAATAACACATTATGAACGTAAAAAGTAGGACATCGTGTGTCCGTCTAGATCCGCCCCAGATGAGTGCAAATCTCCATAAACAATACTAAGGAACAAGTGAAAAAGAGCAACGGACAAATCCCCTTCTGAAGTGGACCTTTTCACAGCACAGATGGTGGAAATGTGCATTGAATGTTTCCCCATTTTAAGAAACGCACTCTGCACATGGAAACACAGTATGCTGGAGCTTAGCCTTCTCCTCGGCCTCCTAGCTTTCCTAGTTATTTCAATGGGGAAGCATTCAAGCATGCAATAATTGTTCTACCATATTTTGGAAGTGATGCAGTCAATGTAGAATTGCGGCACCTTGTGCTTTTCCTGCACATTTGAATTGGCTCAATGGCTATGGCGAATCTCCTGGAACCAATGACTGTAATTAAAACATGGCAGGATGAGAGAGGAATGTGTGAAGTGTTGCTGGGTTTTTTTAAAAAAAATCCATACTACATCACATGACATAATTTTGATTGATTCAATTTCAGGAGATATTATGGTTTGGGCAATCCTTTCCCCGGCACTATAAAAGAAAAAGCAGCAGCAGTAATTCAAAATGACTTGAATCACGCTCAAAATGAGGTATAAACTAATAATCACATCCGCTGGGACAAGATTCCCAAGAGGAATTTCAAAGATTTCCCCCCAGTGTTTATTTGTTAGCTATTATGTCTACAAGGTGATATTTATTCTCTCAGACCTTTATGCACACTGGCATTTCAGCTGAGAGTATAAGATTATGAGATTGTAATTTCAGTCACAAATATTGTTATTAAAACGCTGGATATACCTTTGGGAGATGCATATGAGGAATAAAGAGATAAACATTTGGATCCGGAGGCTTTAGCGCATGCCTGTACAAGAGGAGTGGGGAACCTCAACCCCTCAGGCCTCTCTATCAGACACTCAGACCTCTCAGTCCAGCCCTTGAGCTCTTCCCAGGCCCGTCTCATGCCATGTTCCTCAGTGGCCCTGGTCCACCTGTTCCTCGAGTGCTTCTACCTGGCTGGAATATGTCCTTGACCTGTGATAATGCCTCTTACTTGCCAGGATGGAGAGATGTATCTGTAGCAATATCTGAATTCTGCATGGCTTGAATATAGCCCAAGAATCACATCTGTTGACCATCCATTTTTACCTCTGGCCATGCCTACCACTGATATATAATCCCTGGAAGGATGAGACCTAGGCCACAGTATTCTTCTTGAAATCACAATTTTTGTAAACTGGGCCCTAGATGACTCAGTGATGGAATGGTCAAAGCTCAATTGAAGGCAGAATTGAAGCCTTAAAAGTGCAACGTGGCCTGGATGGCGCAGAGTATCTATTTGTGAAATACAGTGGTGCCTCGCAAGACGAAAAGAATCCGTTCTGTGAGTCTCTTCGTCTAGCGGTTTTTTCGTCTTGCGAAGCAAGCCCATTGACGGATTAGCGGATTAGCGCTATTAGCGCTATTAGCGGCTTTTAGCGGCTTTTAGCGGCTTATCAGCTTATCGGATAAGCAGATAAGCGGCTTAACGGCTTAGAAAAAGGGGGGGGGAAGGGAAAAATACCCGCAGGAACTCGCAAGACATTTTCGTCTTGCGAAGCAAGCCCATAGGAGCTTCGTTTTGCGAAGCACCTCCAAAACGGAAAACTCTTTCTTTTAGCAAGTTTTCCGTCTTGCGAGGCATTCGTCTTGCGGGGCACCACTGTATATACATCCATTTCTACAGACATGTTTAAGATGCCAACCCACAGCCCTGCAAGAAAATAAAATGAAAAGAACTATGAAATCAAAGAGGGAGAAAACTTGCTTAGGTGGCACATGAGTAATGATTCCGGATAAATAAAAAGAGTGCTAAGAAAAATAATCCCATGCTATCAAAGGTGGCTAGGTACAACAGCCAGGTTATTAGATGATACACTAGGAAACATTTTTCTTCTGTCATCTTCTGGTTTGGGTGTGGCACCCAATGCAATTATTTGTTTCTGCATCCCTACATGTGAAATAAATCAATCAAGAAATAATTAGAGGTGTGTTTGTTTTGAGTATGCAAAGCAGAACACAACCTTGTTCCTAGGCTACCTGTTTCTGTTAAACCAGCACAAAGCTATACCTGACTTTTCAAAGGCAAATAAACAAGATAACAAATATTCAACATATTCTATAGTCTGTGGCTATAGAGAGGTAAAATTAGACAGGGCATCCCAACTAGAGGACTGTCCCTATTTTGTACTTTCCACAATGAAAAAGTTTTGCGTTGGCTGAGTATCTGAAGCTGCCTTGTAGCCTTAAACTACTGATCCCCTAGCCCAGCCTTGTCCAACCAGGTGCCCTCCCTCCAGCTGATGTTGGACTCCAACTCCCATCAGCCCCAGTCAGCAGGGCCAATGGTCGTGGGGTGATGGGAGCTGCAGTCCAGAACATCTGGAGGGCACCAGGTTGGGGTCCTTGTTGTCATGAGAAAAGCTGAAACAGGATTTTGGAGTGAAAGTCCACTTAAAAGAAGTGTTCTGTCTCTTTTGACATAACACTTCCTCCGTGAATCTCTGATTGATTGAGGAAGGTTAATCATGAAGTTCTGCATCTGCTGTCTGATGCCTAACTGGCACCATGTCCTAGGAATAATAATAATAATAATAATAATTTTTTAAAAAATTATTTATACCCCACCCTTCCCGGTTTAAAAACCAGGCTCAGGGCAGCTAACAGCAAATATAAAACATTGATTAAAATGTGACTTAAAAACAGCATAAAACAGCATAAAGTAGAACATAAAATGCAGCATCAATATCAATAAAATTCAAAAAGCCATTCTGGAAGCCATTCTGGCCATGTCTCTCCTGAAAGGCAAGTGGGGAAGGTGTCTTGTTTCACACACTGAGGAAGCTCTTCCGCTCCTGAGACTTACAGATGCTTTTTGATACAGGGCTCTGAGTTTAATATTGTACAGTCATATTTTTGGAGCTTATTTCTAATGAAAAAGTAGTATGTAAAAATGAGCCCACAGATATTCACCACCACAGAAAGGATTTCCTTGATAACAAATCTATCACAGTATTTTCCCCCCTCCATGGAAATAGTGCACACATTCAGTAGAGTAACACCGGATGAGAACTCACATGTATAACTTGTTTATCTTCCAAACAACCTTGTAATTCACTGTATATAAAAACTGTATACAAATGCTGCATTTAGTTTTGGAACTCTTCCAACAGACCCAAGAAATTGCACTAAGGAAAATGTGGAGTTTTAAAACATTAACTAACTATCAAAATGCTGACAACATCTTCTCACACAAAAAGGCAAGAATAAGCCCCAAATACCTGCACCTCCCCTCCTCAGGAGGAGGATGGGGAATTCCCAACATAGAATCATATTACATCACCAAGCAAGTACGCTACATTCTAGAAGACGAGACAAAACAATGGGTACACCTGGAGAGAGACACAATTGAAAATACCCCCACCACTAGGGGCGCATTGGAAGATGGCCGACAATACCATCTCTCTGACCCACACGGGGTAATTAAGAGGCTGTTATGGGAGTAGGCAGCCTCCCTTGTTGCCCCAAGGAAATGGGGAACACTGTCCTTGCCTGCTGTGCCCATAAATCACCCCCTAATTTGAAAGAAGGGGGTGAGGGCCCTAGGCAGAATGCCCCCGTGTGGACCTCGGCTCTCCTGGACGCTGTCTCTGATCGCGCACTAGCTGCAGCAATTTGGAATAATTAATTACAAAAGAAGCAAATGCACATATTTCAAGTGAAGAAGGGGAGTGAAGTCTGCTAATTTAAGTGACCTCTGAGAAAGAAGACGACGGGCTGGAGAAACAGGAATATTTTACGATGAAGATACACCAAAGGCTGGGTATGTTGACAACGGGACTGAATGGGGGGGGGGACCTTTCTTACTTTCCTTCTATGTGATTTACAAGAACCCCTCCTCATTAGAACCGTCGGTTGAACTGACCCAAGCAGGATGATTAAGGTTTGTGTGGAGATAAACTTTAACCAAAAGTATGCTTTATGGAGACCGAGAAGCAATAAGAGCTTTTGGAATGGCGCAGCAATTAATTCGGAGTCGCCATCTTGCCAAAGGATTTATAGCCGGGAGGAGGAACGGACTCATTTTCAGACTGCATTCCTGGTGAATCTCCTCAGAGGTTTTGAGAAAGGAGGCAGATTGGTGAAGATTAATGACACTAAGACTGTTTTGATGTATGGAAGTGATGTTATATGGAAAACATCTGGATATGGCTACTGGATAAAAAAAATAATATCCACGCAGGATTACAAACTGTTCTAACCAGCTTGCGGAGACTATCAGAGGTCACAAAGGGAAAGGAAAAATAAATGAAAATAACAACAGGAGATGTGGAAAAACAACAATAAGAAAGGACTGGATAGTACTGTGAACATCATAAGGTTAGATTTGTGGACATTAAAACAGCAGTAAGAAGCAAGAAGTTGATTGGATCTCCTTCGGAACTTGAAATATGGGTACCCCCAACAAAAATTTAAAATTCGGCTGTGTAATTTGGAATTTATGTAATTTGGTTTGATTTGATGTGATTGGTCGGTTAATAAAAAATTATTCTTAAAAAAAGAAAAGAAAATACCCCCACCACAGGATACCCATTCCTCCCAAACAAAGGGAAATCCCCACATCACTAAACAGGTTAACACAGACCATGCTTAAAGAATGGAAGAAAGAAGCAGGCAAACTGTCCCCAACCCCATCCCCACTAAACCCCCTGGCTCACCACCCACTATGCCATCACACAGCACAAAACTTCCAGGTAAAAACCTGACAAGCCAAAGGCTTATCCCACCTAGCAGACTTCTACAAAAATAGCAAACCCACATTGACACAAGAAATACAAGACAAACAAGGGACACCCAAATGCCCTGGCTAACACACTGCCAATTACATGCCTTCTTAAACAATCCACTAGTAAAACCAGCAGCAACCATGCCCTTGACAACCTTCGGAAACCTCCTCCTCAGCACAGAGGGACACAGCAAGGGGGTGGCATCCACAATATACAAAATACTGCTCCAAAACCCCACAAACCCCCTTGACGTAATCAAAAAACAATGGGAGGACGCCATAGGCTATGAAATAAACCCCACCCAATGGACTAGAATGTGGTCTAAATCCCCCTCTTTTCTTCCTAACCTAACACTGTATGCAACACTAACATCTCACAACAAATGAAACTGATCTGTAGAAAACACAACTTGAAAAAAGGGACAATGCACGTATTTTTGTAAACTAAGAAATCTTTAAGAATAATAATAATAATAAATCTAAGAGAGAGAAAAAACAACAATCAAAACATTTGTGAAATATGGACTCCAGTGACAATTTCTATTCCTCTTGTGGCTGTTCATAGTCATTATATTAACTTAATGGAAATGAAGCTATTGAACTTAAAGAACAAATAATTGTCAAATTATGAATTGAGTAAACCTTTTTATAATAAATAACAATTATTTACTTTTAGAGAGAAAGGTACTCTTGAATTCTGTATTTTGAAAGGTTTTAATGTATTCCAGTGCATTTTTTTTAATGCTTTGTATATATCTGCTCATGTTTTTTTGGTATGTTTATAGCAAAACATTTTTAAAAAATAAATAAATCAAATAACCAAATGTATGTGTGAATAACTTCATAAATGAAATGTTTGATCACTGAGTCCCCAAACTGTGTTGTAGTTTAACCAGTAGAAAACCGATGTGCAGACCTTCACCATGAACTCATATTGATAGGAGGCATGTGTGAAGCTGAAAGGTAAAATCTTCAAATAAGTACATGGGCAAGACTGAGTCTGCATATGCAAGAGGCTTTTGCTTCAAACTGCTTTTTTGCTTCAAACTGAGGTGGAGAGGCTGCCCCTCAAGCAGAGATCATGTGCAGAACAGGGGACACTCATGGCAATGAACTTGTGTTTCCACAGCACAGTGTGTCACCACAACTTGGCCACAACCAGACGCAGCATCTCTATACATGTTACAGAAGAGTATTAAAATTATTCGTTTACAGAATTTTTGGGATCCCAATTCTTCAAGGACCACCTCTTCCCAAATGAACTGACCCAGACCCTGTGATTGTCATCTGAGGCCCTTCTCTGGAGGGCATTCTGGTGAGTTTTCTAGGTAAATAATGGAGGCATGTTTAACAGAGTATATTGATAAGTCAGCCTTCTCTGAAAGAGATGGAAATGCACAGAGAAAATCAAAGGTAAGATCTGGTCTTGTGGTCTTTAGGCAACAGATGTCAATGTTAGCATTCCTACCGTGCAATGTCAATATTGAACAGCTCCAGACTTTCATTAATTAGAAACAACAGAAGCAAAGTTACCAAAATCAAAGAATCCACGGCTCAGTAGTACTCATGGGCTTTTTAGTCAAGCAGCCTTTATCATGATTAAAGTTCAAAATAGTTCAAAGATAAATATATTTTAATACAGTTTGTTGTGCAAGTGAGAACAGCAAAACAGAAAATCTTCAAAATTTATGAAAAGTTCTTTTGATCTGTCTCAATAATATTTTAATTCACATTTCCCCTTAGAAGAGTAAAATAAAGGCTGGTATTCTAATCACACTTACCTGGAAGTAAGCGCATTGGGCAACAGTGAGAATTTTATTGCCTGCTGCTCAACATAGTGAGGGCACAGAGAGCTGCTTAAATTGCATTTCCTACATGCACCTTCCGAACCTTTGGATTTCTGAATCACCACCTCTTATAATGCCATGATGTTGCAGTTTCAAAGGTTGCAACCATATAAACATTTGAGAATGATCTGTGTTAATTATCTTAGGAAATATATAACTGAAACTTTGAAACAATAATATGGCAAGCCACGAAGTTTACCAGGTTTTGGGAAGGATGCAAGGGGGCTCTGGGAGTGTCCCAGAGGCTGGTGAGGAAGATGTTTCCTCAAGCGTCTGGGAACGTTGGGGGGGGCAGCATGGAAGCCCAGAAAGCAGTCCTCCACCGTGCCGTTTGGGGGGTTCCTGACTTTGCCTGCTTTTGCACACGGACCCCTGGAACCAAACCCTGCCTAAACTGCAGGTTACCTGTAACACAAAACTAAAACTGACTGAACTGAACTGGGAAGAATAATTGTGTTGTGAAGAAAGTGGTATGGTATAAAAGAAGTACACAGTGTCATAAATTGAATATAGATTATTTTTCAGGTCACACAGAGCAGACTGAAAGCTGAGGAATAAGCATGAAACATCAGCCCCTGTTGCCCTCCTAATGACAGTGGAGTCAGAATGGGCTCAAACTGGGCCCAAACTGGGCACAGAATGAACATGGTGTTTTATGAGTTTAGGAGGAACTAGTTCCATTTCCCAATTCCTATCACAAACCTAACTGGATGAAGTGAGGTGAAGAGGCTGCCCCACAGGCAGAGATGATGTGCAGAACAGGGGACACTCATGGCAATGAACTTGTGTTTCCACAGCACAGTCTGTCACCACAACTTGGCCACAACCAGACGCAGCATCTCTATACATGTTACTGAAGAGTATTAATATTATTCGTTTACAGAATTTTTGGGATCCCCTTTCTTCAAGGACCACCTCTTCACAAATGAACTGACCCAGACCCTGTGATTGTCATCTGAGGCCCTCCTCTGGAGGGTGGCAACAGGAGAATAGGCCTTTCCAGTGGTGGCTCCCCACTCGTGGAATGCTCTCCCCAGGCAGCCAGGAAAAACATTCCTCTTCTGCCAGGCTTTTTGCTTTTGCTTATCTGTGGCCTCCTTCAGTGGGCGGATGTTTAAATCCTGCCTTTTAAAAATATGCAGGTGTTTTAGGTTTTTTCACTGTTTTGTTTTATGCTGGTTTTAAGGTATGTGCTATTAATTTACTGCTGTAAGTTGGGAACATGATAGAAACTGATCACCCACAACAGGAGTGTGGTAAAATGTACTTCCAGACCACCATCTGAATAAGAGAGTTGCCGCATCTTGCAAACCATCCCTAGTCCACAGAATGGGAAAAGAAGACCTAAGATAAATACAGAGAGAGAGACAGGGAGAGAGAGAGAGAGATTTTCTTACTCTGTAAATATCTTGCACAATATAATTTGTTCAGACATGTGGAAGTACCTCCAAAACACTGTGAAGGTCAATGAGATACCTGTGGAGCCTGAAAACAGCTTGATCAGCATGAGAGGAAGAAGAAAAGAGCCCTGCTTTTAAGTGGACTTTCACATCCAAAATCCTGTTTCAGCTTTTCTCATGACAACAGGGATCTCTGGTGGAGAATGCCCACTGTGTGTGGCACTCGGAATGAATCATTCTGTCCCCACCAAACGATGATGGAGGGAAGGGAAAGCCTGAGAGTGTTTTGCAGCATCACACACACACACCCCCTCTGTAAGTTTCAGGGTGAGCTTTAAAGGTCAGTTTCTTTGTGAGGAGAGAGTACTGGCACCCTGAAGTGTATAATAATAATAATAATAATAATAATAATAATAATAATAGTTATTAGTAATAATATGCCACCCATCTGATTGGGTTGCCCCAGCCACTCTGGGCAGCTTCCAGCTCCTTATGCAAGCCAAGGAAATTTTCCCCAGCTAACTCTCCCCTTCCCTGCTCAATTAATTTCTGTTCCCACCCAGTCACAAAATCCAGGTTATGACACAAATTCCATCTGCAACGTCTTTAGTGCAGCTGACGTGTGAGGAAGCCTGGCAGTTGCCTGAGAGCTTCCTTTCCACTTTCTGAGGATGCTCTTCAACTGCCCAGCTGGGCTCGAAGTGTGCGCTCCTACATTTTCTCATGCTGCAGCTTTGGTTTTTTCTCAGAGTGCATTTCCTCCTTCTTGGAACTCTCTTCAATAGCCTTCTCAGCATACAGGGCTTAATCGGAGTCAGGGCCTGCCAGTTTTAAATGTCAAGGTGACAGTCTACAATAACTATAGCTGTGAGCAAATGCAGAGTTCATTTCTTCCACCAAGGAACAAGTATTAAGAATCACTTTCTGTCCTACCTCTAAGGCACATGGGGTTATTGCGTTTTATCCTTGTATCAACACTGTGAAGTAGATGAGGTAGAGAGAACTGATGGTTGCCCCAAGGTCACTTGTGGAAATAGTCTCCAAGAGCTTCCAGTCTGGAAACTAAGTGACTCAGAAGTTGCCAGACACAAGCTATGGTTTCTTGGTGGTTTTATTGGTCTCAGTCCCAGGTCTTTCATTTAAGAAATTAGGGGCTACTTGGAAGAAAGGAGAGGGAGATGATGGATACAAAGGAATGCACCAGTGGGAACAACTTTTGAAAATTTCATCTAAAAGCAGGGATTTAGAAGGTGATGCTTTTACCATTACTTTATCTCTGCTTCAGGAAAAGCTCGCCTGCGAAGTTTCAAGTTGCTAGGAAAGGCACTGATGGAGGGCAACTAGAAAAAAAAGTATTGTTTTATTAGTAGCATTAGTGATGTGAGGTGAAAAATTTCCCAGTGCTTTATTTTTTCAGACATCTTCCCTTTTCATAAGTTAATTAGTAACAATGAACAGGTGCCAACTGCAAATACAGTAGTAGGAAAGTGAGGCAGATTCAATATTGTGAACTAAATACAAGTAAAATAAAAAGAGTAAAATGAATTTGCTAAATTAGGTAACTCTTGAGCATCGGGGGGGGGGATCCACTCAAATTGGGTTTTTCTGCCCAGTTTAAAATTCCCAGAAAACACACATCACTGGCTGGCATACCTGAATCTCTCTCCTTTTTGTTTCTAACCACCTGGATTTTGGGGGAAGGGCACCCTTTCACACCAATTGTAAGAAATACAGGAGGTCAGTCCTGCTTCTCAAATCTATGGTGCAGCCACACTCAGAGTATTGTGTATGGTTCTGGTGGCTGTGCCACAAAAAGAATACGGCAGCACTGAAAAGATTAAGAAAGGACAACAAAAACGATTGGGGGAGTGAAGCAAATCTCAGGTGATGAAAGGCTACAACGTTGTGGCTCTTTTTAGCTTAGAAAAAAGTGAGTAAGTGAAGACAAGACAGAGGTCTATAAATTATGCATTGTGCCAAGTCAGTGGACAGAAAGAAATCTTTCTCCCTCTCTCAAAATACTAGAATCCAGAATCATCAAATGAAGCTGAAAGTATCTCTTCACACAACAGGTTGCTAAACAATGGAATTTGCTATCACAAGATGTAACGATGGTTGGAAACGTAGGCAGAGGATTAGACAAATCCATGGAAGGTAAGGCTAGCGGACCTGATGGCTATGCACTACCTCCAGTATCAGAGGAAGGATACTTTGGTACAGCAGTGGCTTGGGAACAAATGGGAGCAAGTGGTGTTGCACTCAAGTCCTGCTTGTGGGCAACTGATCACCAGCTGTGGTAACAGAATGCTGGACTAGATCATCATTCGGTCTGAGACAATGTGGCTCCTTGTATTCTCCTTCCAAAGTGGAATTTTGTTGTTCTTGTAGTAGAAGCTGCATACCGTAAGTGAATAGGCCGTTTTCATGCTGGTCTTCATCACTAGAATAACCCAAAACTACCGGGTTCTACTTTGAGTTGCATAATACAAAAACAAAAGATCATCTCTCTGTTCACCCTATCAAAATTTTTGCTTTTATTAGTTTATTTATGTTGAAGATCCTTCCTTCCTTCCTTCCTTCCTTCCTTCCTTCCTTCCTTCCTTCCTTCCTATTCTCTTCCCTTTCTTGCCAGATGACAATGCACAAGATTAAAGCAACATAATTGCAAATAAAAAGCAAACTATCGTATTTTTCGTCCCATAGGACGCTCCGCCCCATAGGACGCACCTAGTTTTTTGGGGGGGAAATAAAGGAAAAAAAATTCCCATTTATTTCCCCCCCCCAAACCAGGTCGGGGAAACCGAACCAGGTCGAGGAACAGCGGGATGGCGGCGCTGCGCCTCCCTGCTGTCCCCCGAGCTTGTGGGGCTGGCCGGTGTCTGTCCGGCGCGCGGGGCGCTCTGCTTCAGGGCGCCCCTTGCGCCGGGCGGCAGGGTGCTATCCGCAGCGTGGGGAGCCCTGTGGGGAACTCCTGCAGGGCTCCCCACACTGCGGATGTCTGCCCGGCGCGCGAGGCGCTCTGTTTCAGGGCGCTTCACGTGCCGGGCAGCAGGCTCCCCACACTGCGGATGTCTGCCCGGTGCGAGGGGTGCTCTGCTTCAGGGCGCCCTTCGCGCCGGGCGGCAGGCTGCTATCCGCAGCCTAGACAGCCCTGCAGGAACTCCCGCAGGGCTGCCTAGGCTGCGGATGTGTTCCCGAAGCGCCGGGCGCTCTGCTTTCAGCGCGCCTGGCGCTCCGGGAAGCAGGCTGCTATCCGCTGCCTAGGCTGCGGGTGTCTTCCTGAAGCCTGGAGAGCGAGGGGGTCGGTGCGCACCGACCCCTCTCGCTCTCCAAGCTTCAGCGAAAGCCTGCATTCGCCCCATAGGACGCACCCAGATTTCCCCTTCATTTTTGGAGGGGGGAAAGTGCGTCCTATAGGGCGAAAAATACGGTAAATAGAGCAGCAACAAAAAAAATGAGCCATAAAATTCAGCAAGAATTAAAAGTTACAAAAATCTAACCAGCTTTCTAGCAGCAATAATTTAAGTGTCTTACAAGTAGCAATAAAACACTATAAAGCAACATCTGTAAAAAGAGGCACTCGGATCACCAATAAAAGAACAAAACTGAAAACCATGCAATTGATCAAGTTGGCAACAAAACTCTGTAAAGATTTAGATAGGATTCACATTTCCAACCATGTTTGCATCTCTGCCTTTAGATAAATATGTCAGAAGTGTAGCTACCTGCAAAGCTCTTCACACAACAGAAAGTATGAATTCCTGCAATGCACAAGGCAGAGCAAAGAATTATAAATAGTAAATTTGATACAGTAAAGCAAGACAAGGCTACAATAAAGTAAAGTATGGAGGCTGGATTAGAAATAAGGTTTTTGTTTTGAACTTCAGCTCACATTGGGCTGCCACCCATCTTGGTAAACGCCCAGTTGAAAGAACATGCTCAGTCTTACTTGCTGAACAACAATTGTGCCTTTTTGACACTAGATGGTAACACACACGAAACATTCAGAAAAGGACGGTGAGTCTTGGTGGAGGAAACAACTTCACATGTGTCTGGTCTCAAAAAGGTGTTTGAAAGGCACAGATGAAGGCATGCCCTCCTAAGCGAATGCTATAGGAATGCTATAAGCATAGTTTGCCTAAACACATGAATTCATAGCTACATAGAGGCCTTCAAAAATGTAAAGAAGAAAAGGTAATTTCTTGTGTTGATACCAGGCTCAGTTCATCTCCATTTTAGTTTGAAAACCATCTCTTGACTCTTCTCCCACCCCCAGTAAGTTTCACCTTCATTATATATAATTTCCTGATCAATAATAATATCAATTAAACTAAATAGTTAAATGTTGAGCTTGTCTTGCTAAATACCATATTTGTCGCTCTATAAGACGCACCAGTCCACAAGACGCACCTAATTTTTGGAGGAGGAAAACAAGAAAAAAAATATTCTGAATCTCAGAAGCCAGAACAGCAAGAGGGATCGCTGTGCAGTGAAAGCAGCAATCGCTCTTGCTGTTCTGGCTTCTGGGATAGCTGCACAGCCTGCATTCACTCCATAAGACGCACACACATTTCCCCTTACTTTTTAGGAGGGGAAAAGTGAGTCTTATAGAGCAAAAAATACAGTAAATAAAAACACCCACAATACTGTGCTCGTTGCCTACATACTGTTCAATCTTTGTTACTGATTCCTTTTTTAATTCAGAAATCTGGAGCCTGGAATGGCCATCCAATTACCTGCTGATGGTTGACACAATTCCATACTGATGCTTAATGGTATTTTTAACTTTCACTTTATGCTGACTGGGAGCTATATAGATCAGACTTCGCCAACATGTTGGAACAATGTTTCCATCTACCATTAAATCTTAAAATGTTAGAATGGTTCATCTCTATAGTCAGTTCCTTAGAACGTTTTTAATTTAGACTCCAGGGCTTAAATGTCTTAAGTGATACATCCTAAGAAGTGTACCAAGGGCTGCTGTTGGGAATGTTGTCAAATGGGCTAAGACAGAAAATGGCTTCTTTCTGACATTTGTAAGGTGCCATTCCCTGGAGGTGGCCTGGGGTGGGTGGGGCTTCCTGCCTCTTACCCAGAGAGGGAGGGGCAGGGCAAGGGCAGCTGAATGTGGTGCAGGAGCAGTGGGGGAGCCAGGCTGATGCTCCTGCCCCCACCTCCGCACCACGCTGAACTCCCCACACCTTCCCGCTCTCCCTCTTGGTAAGCAGAAGGGACACCCGCCATCAGGAGCCGCCTGCCTTTGCATCCCATCGACGGCTGCTGTCAGCTGCAGAGTGGCATCTGAAGAGCCGGGTGGAGGGGGGTGGTGGTGGTTTGCAAGACGGCTCCAGTGTCTGAGCAACTTTATGTGGCTCCCACTGGTCCTGCCAAATGCTAATCAGGGTTTAAGTAAACTCATACTGCTCATACTTTCATTTGGAAGGAAAAGAAGCACCTTCCATGTATATGTCATATAAATGTTGGTATCCTGCCCATTCTGGAAAGGTGAAATGCCACGACCAAATGTGCAGCTGACGCCCACAACATTTCCAACAGGCTGCTTTAGTATTTTCTCTGGGTACCAGGAAGGGGATGTGCAAGAATCCCACTTGAGAAATGTCACTATACTTACGATTTAGATCATTCCAACATTTCTCAAATGTTTCTTCCAAGCAGGAGTCCTCAAAGTGAGTTGGGGGTTCATATATTTTTGTCTGGGAGACACAGCAGCTCTACCCCACCCCTTTGGGCTCTGAATATTATTAGTTGTATAGGCATCAACCATAATTCAAATGAGAGTGAAATAAAAGGTTAAGAGTGCTTAACTTTCAGCTGAATTGTAGTCATTGTTGTCCAGGTGAAATTTGCAACCGTTGTAACAATCCAATTACAGATCAGTACTTAAGCAGTTTGTTCAACAGTGAAGCTGGAGGCAACGACGACACAACGTCAGCTTCTTATAACTTGGAACTCTAAACTCAATCTGACAGCTGCACCCTAACACTAGTAAGTTACTTGGCAACGTCAAACATTCAACCAATGTTTCCTCACTCACCATCATTCTGAGAAACAAATTCCATGGAAGTTGTTTTGCTCATTTCCCTTAGGGGAAAAACACTCCCACACCAGCCTGGCAAAGAAACGGGTAAACCCTTTTTCGCCAGAGAGAGAGAGAGAGAGAGAGAGAGAGAGAGAGAGAGAGAGAGATGGTGATCCTCCTTGTTTGACAAAGTAGTTGCCAGTTATTTATAAAATGAATGGGACTCTCCTTCCCTTCAAAGAAGCATAGATAGGAACCTCTCTTCGGTGAATACAGTAGATGTTGTCATGGAGACATAAAGCTTGTGAGATGTTCATACACATATGGAATGCTACATAACATTTAGTCAGAGAATTCAAAAGGTATGCAAAAATCATAGAATGCACAAATCTTGGTCAGTAAACTACCTAGCTAATGTAAAGGAAAAGGTAAATGACCCCTGGAAGATTAAGTCAAGTCAAATTCAACTATGGGGTCCGGTACCCATCTTGCTTTTCATCTTACACTATGGAAAAATTGCAAAAGAAATGGAAAGCCTTGCATTCTAGGAGATTTGGTCAGCTTCCTGTTTCTATTTAATGATCCCGTGTACTGTATAAAGCATATGGGAACTTCATTCCACAATGCAAAGAAAATAGATATGCAGTGCACTACCACCCATACAGGGACGCAGGTGGCGCTGTGGTCTAAACCACTGAGCCTAGAGCTTGCCAATTGGAAGGTCGGCGGTTCGAATCCCCGCGAAGGGGTGAGCTCCCGTTGCTCGGTCCCAGTTCCTGCCAACCTAGTAGTTCAAAAGTGCAAGCAGATAAATAGGTACCGCTCCAACAGGAAGGTAAACGGCATTTCCGTGCGCTGCCCTGGTTTCATCAGAAGCGGCTTAGTCATGCTGGCCACATGACCCGGGAAAACTGCGGACAAATGTCGGCTTCCTCGGCCAGTAAAGCAAGATGAGCGCCACAACCCCAGAGTGGTTCACAACTGGACTTAACTGTCAGGGGTCCTTTACCTTTACCTTACCACCCATACACAAAACACCCATATAAGTCTTTCAGGCAACTAGAGCTAATGAAAGATTCTATTTGTTTCAAATACACAGTACATTCCAATTCTCTCCACTCCTCTTAGTGGAGAGAAAGGAGTCTACACATGTATCCGAGACTCATAGAAAGCCAAAAACTATCCCTGGAATGCAATTGACTGCGCAGGCTCTGCAATCCAGCCAAGTTTTAGCAAGCTTCCAGGTAAGCCATTAGTCAATACAACAGTCTCAGAGTTTCTTGACAAGGAGTTTTATATAATCATCAGTGTGCTTGTAAATGGCATAATTATAGACTGTAAACAGTTTCAGGATTCCTTTGTCCACAGCTGACCCAAACAAAACAATCTGTGACTAGCCAAGATGTATTGTGGTCCATCAAGTGCAATGACAACCTTCCTCTCATTGCAGCCACAGGGAAGCAGCAAAACCAGGAGTTTTTGTCAATCACTTCTTGTGTCTTGGCTCCCACTTGTACTGAAACTTTCAGCTCAATTATTATTAAAGGCTTTATTGCAAAAATCACTACAGCACCCCAACACAGATCAGGTTACACCATTCAGAAATCACAGCAGAGCTCTAGAATACATGGCTAGGCAGAAGCTAAACCATTGTCCCAATACTTGACATGTTTCCAAGCTTCCTTTTCAAAGAGCAGGGCAGGCACAGTCATTTGTATGATGGTCTTCCTAAGCGGATGGCGCTGTGGTCTAAACCACTGAGCCTCTTGGGCTTGCTGATCGGAAGGTTGGCAGTTCGAATCCCTGCGATGGGGTGAACTCCCACTGCTCTGTCCCAGCTCCTGCCAACCAGTTTGAAAGCATGCCAGTGCAAGTAGATAAATAGATACCGCTGTGGCAGGAAGGTAAACAACATTTCTGTGTGCTCTGGCAATTGTCTGTGCGCCAGAAGCGGTTTAGACATGCTGGCCACATGACTCGGAAAGCTGTCTGTGGACAAATGCCGGCTCCCTCGGCCTGAAAGCGAGATGAGCGCCACAACCCCATAGTCGCCTTTCAGGGGTCCTTTACCTTTACCTTTTACCTTCCTAAGCCACAGGACTGGACAAGCAAGCGGGAACACCTAGGAGTGGGCAGAGTCTGCTGGGCTTGCTTGTGCATTCTTGGCAAGGGAGGCAAACATATAATAGGGGCAGGGAACCTGTGGCCCTCCAGATCATCCCTGACCATTGGCTCTAGTGGGCTGGGGCTGAGGGAACAGGAGGCCACAGATTCTCCATCCCAGGTACACAGGGTTCACTGTGATAAGGACTCCCAATCACACGAAGAAGCCTTACCCGTGCACAGTTATTATGCATGGGGATTCTTATTTGATTTAATTTTAATGTTCTGTTGAAAGCCGCCCAGAGCGGCTGGGGAAACCCAGCCAGATGGGTGGGGTATAAATAAAAAAATATTAAATTATTATTATTATTATTTGAAATATCAGGGTTTGGATATCAGCCTGATATTATCAGGTACACACAATCTCTCTCCCAAAATAAATAGAAGTATGGATTTGAACCCTTGGATCTTGCTTGTGATAATATTTAAACAAACACATACACATTACAATAATTGATTTATATTTTCAGTAACCCACATTAAGTTGGGAAGTAAATGACCCTATTCATTGTTAAGTTAATAGGAGAAAAGATCAGTATAGCAAGGCATTGCACAAAGCCTTGTGACTGATAGGCATAGTGGGCTCCAACTGCTTCCTTCCTATTTGAGCGTTTAGTATTTGCATACACACTTCTCAGGTCTCCACAATATTAAGTATCATGTATATCTCTGTTGTCTTAAACATGGTTTATTTATTACTCCTGTCTAGTTTCATATTGGACTAAAAGAGCCTGAAGCGGCTTTCTATTACTTTATCTGATGAATGTCCCTTTTAATTTCAACAGATTCACTTCAGTTTCTCTGTGGAAACAGGTGAAACTGGATTATTTATGGTGTAATAAGATTCAGAAAAGTGATACAGGGTGGGGGCTGTCCAACTCTATTAAGAATTAAAAATGCACAAAGGCTTAAAATTAATAACAGAAATACCTTGTGGATCCAATATATTGAGCTAAGGCATCTTACAACAAATTAATGCATGCAAATTAAAAACACCAAAGAAAACAACTGGAAAACAATACAAAAAGACAATAGCCTAGATCTACCATCACATTCCCAGAATCAGAGCAAATGGAAACCCCAGTTGCCATCTGTTGTACTTCAGCTTTAAAGAGCAGGTTTTCACGAGGAAACCTCCAGGGCGGAAAAAAGAGCGCTTTAAAGCACAGACCTGTTCCTGGAAAGCAGAGTGTGAAAGGTAGGTGTGGACAAGCCCTTAGAGAATGCCATCCTGGGAAATCCCCCTTATCGACTGATGCTCTGACTGCACCAGCGCATATCTGTAGCACAGAACACATGGAGCGGCTGCACACTCAACATCTTACCACTGACTCAAGCTGCACTGCAAATTATGTAGCGCTCTTGCTCACAGATGAGCATGCAACCAGAGGATGCATGCATTCAGCCCTAGATACAGATCGGCTGCTTCAAAGTTTTTCTCCCCATCTCCATTGTAGGGCATAGCATCTCATATTTTCCATTTAAGTAACCGACCTACTTAAATTACAATAGCACAGATTCTGATCTGAAATTAGAGACTCGAGGCTCAGTGAAATGTATGTTACAAATGCCTGCCAGCATTCAGCACTGTATGCAGTCACATACTCCTAGAATAATAAAAATCTAATCATTCACATTATCCAGGCAGGAGTTAAAGAGTTTTTATTTAGAAATGAGGCATTTAGTGCAATGCTCAGCCTGCCAGTGTAGCTGAACATTGTAGGCAATGTGCAATCCTACGAAAGCAGGAAGATACCTACATACCTATGTGTATAAATTTAGCAACACATGTTGAAAAGTGCTTCTGCTATGCAGACAGGCCTGGCACCTGTATGTCTAGCTCTTAGCTGTAGGAAAACATTGCAGAAGGAGTGTGGGGGGAAAGGAAATAATAGGGCAGCAATAAATGCGGGTGCACTCAACAACTAATTTTAGGAGAGGGCTAGTCTGAGGAGGTGATGGAGGACGTTGCCTGGTCTTCTATCACATCTCTATGTACTCCTCTACCGAGTCACACTTTGGGAAAAGAAGTTCAAGAAATTGTTATAAAGCTGAAGATCTTTACAGCCATTGGCCAAAGGGCCCTTAAGAACATGACCAAAAAACCCTACATTTCAGTGGAGCTTCACCATTATGGCACTTTGCACAGGTGTTGACATTATTCATTCTTAGGCACATATGATCCTTTATATTATATTCCAAAATGTATATTTATTGTTCAAGCAGGCTAAGACATAATCTTGCTGTGAGTGCAAAAAAGAAACTAAATACATTTGGTAATTCACAATGGTGGCTTTTACACACACACATGCGTCATGGGACGCGGGTGGCGCTGTGGCTTAAACCACAGAGCCTAGGGCTTGTGAATCAGAAGGTCGGCAGTTCGAATTCCCACGACGGGGTGAGCTCCCGTTGCTGGGTCCCAGCTCCTGCCAACCTAGCAGTTCGAAAGCACGTCAAAGTGCAAAGTCCCACTCCGGCGGGAAGGTAAACGGCGTTTCCGTGCGCTGCTCTGGTTCGCCAGAAGCGGCTTAGTCCTGCTGGCCACATGACCCAGAAGCTGTACGCCGGCTCCCTCGGCCAAGAAAGCAAGATGAGCACTGCAACCCCAAAGTCAGTCACAACTGCACCTAATGGTCAGGGGTCCCTTTACCTTTATGCCATGGCTTCACATAATAAAAACCACAACAATAATAATTTTATTATTTATACCCTGCCCATCTGGCTGGGTTTTATTTAGGCATTGTTGGAAAACTGCAAATTACATTATCTGAACTAGTGGTGGACAAGCCATGGTGACCCCACTTTGACTTGAAACTGGGCTCAGCAAAACAAGCTATTTTCCAAAAAAATAAATAAGTTGGAAAACAGCTCAGTTTATTCCCAATTTCAAATCTGAACTGAATCCTGGCATGCTGCCCCGTCTTGATCCCAATAAAGTAGCCCAGAGGACAATCCCAGATGTCTGTTCTGGCAACCATAATGGAAGAACACGTTTCATACTTACTTTCTCAGAACTGCAATTTCATTCTCAATGCTGCTTTCCTTCCCTTTCAGGGCTTTCTTTGGGATGCACTTGACTGCAAATAGTTTTCCAGTAGTCCTGTTTTCAGCCAAAACTACTTCAGAAAATGCACCACTGAAAAATAAAATAAAATATGCATTTCAGATTTGTTTTCTCTTGGGAGGTACTATATTGCAATGGAAATAAATGGCAATTACTATTTAAAAAACAACAACTTTCATACCCTTTTTTCTTTATGCCTTTTTTCTTTTCTTTAAATGGATGGGACCAAATACAGTGGTACCTCTGGTTATGTACTTAATTCGTTCCGGAGGTCTGTTCTTAACCTGAAACTGTTCTTAACCTGAGACACCACTTTAGCTAATGGGGCCTCCCGCTGCTGTCACGCCGCCGCCGCCACACTACTTCTGTTCTCATCCTGAAGCAAAGTTCTTAACCCAAGGTAATATTTCTGGGTTAGCGGAGTCTGTAACCTGAAGCGTCTGTAACCTGAGGTACCACTGTACAAAGGCTCTCAAAGCAGTGCAGCAATATGAGTTTTCATGTTGCACCAGTGCAGTACACACCTGAGATGTTCCACTGGTCTCCCATACAAGGCATTGTATGAATCTGTTGTGATTGCAAATGGAATATGGCTGGGACGAATGTGGCTGTGCAACTCTGCCTACAGGATCAAGGGTCCTTCATGCAATACTGCAAAACCTCAAGCTCAGGAGACCCCCTGCCCGAAGGAGACCACAGGACACCACTCAGGAAAAGAATATGGACAAACTTAGACCACTGCCAATTCGAGTACAATAGCCTTAGCTTCTAACTGTAGTTTTCACTTCCCTCAGAAGTAATGCTCAAAAAAGGTTAAACACATTTTAGCTCCATTCACCAGGTTCCTGCCTCACCTACAGTAGAGGCAGCTGTTCTACCAGGTGGGACTGCAGAGCCTTGACATCAGCTCAGGTGACAGGCCAGGAAGCTGTGGCTCCTCCTCTCCTTGAACTCTTTCCATTCCAGCTGGTTATTACAGGAGTCTATCAAGAAGAGCTAGAGGCTGTGTGGATCGGACCAAGGAGCGTTCTGTTCCTACAGCGGCCAGGCAATATCCACAGGAAGCCAATATGCAGAGCATGAGAGCAGTAACAGTCTTCTGCTCATGAGAGCCAACAACTGGTATTCAGAGGGAATATTAATCAAATTGACTAGCAGCATGGAAAGCCTTGTAGTCTATCCCTTCCTCTCTCTCAATCCCTTATGTGTCATACATCTATACCAGTCTGATTATTTGAAAGCTGCTCTAGGAGCATTTTCGAGCTACAGAGCGAGGGTAAAATAAATATATCTATCAGGCAGCCTTAACAGTGTATACAGAAATCCAAATGAAACTACATAACATAGTGGTTGATGCATAGCGGGGGGGGGGGGGGGGGAGATGCCAAACACTTTATGCATCTGCTGCAACCACCACCCCCCCAGGTCCCTTTTCTCCCCATTAAACTCAAAACCAGAAATAAGCCCACATGGTCTAGATAAAATTTTATTCATTCATTCATTCATACCCCACCCATCTGGCTGGGTTTCCCAATATGGATTGCAGAGTGGAAAGCAGAGGGGAAGGAAGGCTTCAGCCCCCACCACACTGATCCTGCTGTTCCACTTGAAATTATCCTCTCCCAACACTTTGCTGCATATGCAGTTTTACCCCTGTTCCATTTTTACTTGGAAATTCAGTGGGGCTTACTCACAAATAAGTGTTGCTAAATTGCTGCCATGAAGCAGAACCCAAACATGACATTCTGCAGCCAATTTACAGTATATTACATTTGGTGCAGTATGTCATTCAGAAGTGTATTCTAGAACCTCACACATTCCCATTTTCTTCTGATTAACACTTAGGTGAAGAAGCAGAGCGTGAGAGAGACAGTTAGCACACCTTTACATGGGAATTTATTCAAGTCTTGTTCAGCACTACAGCACATTTACAATGCTAGTGAACACTGCCAAACCACCTTATATAAGGCATATCACTGTCTGGGACTTTTTGGCACTCCTGGACTATAGGACAGTGCCTGTTGTCCTGGCTCAGGCCCAGCCTTATATACCAGCATCAGTGATTTGAACCACACACGATCGCCTGAAAGTAAAGAAATCTGTCTTTTCACTTAACAACAGTTTCTCTTACTCTTACATGACTCCTATCACAGTCCATGACTCTCAGGTGCACAATTCAACCTGCAGTTGCACAAACTGGTTAAAATCATTGCCATTAATACATTATTATTACCATTAATTGCCATTAATTGCCATATTTTTTTGCTCTATAAGACGCACCAGACCATAAGATGCACCTAGTTTTGGGAAGAGGAAAACAAGAAAAAAAAAATATTCTGAATCCCAGAAGCCAGGACAGCAAGCGGGATCACAGCTCAGCGATCCCGCTTGCTGTCCTGGCTTATGGGATAGCCGCACGCAGCCTCTCCCGGGCAGGGAGAGCCTTCACCCCCCTGCCCGGGAGAGGCTGCACACAGCTAAGGCTCCCCCTCCCCAGTGTGCGCGTGGCTAAGGAGAGGCTGCGTGCAGCTAGGGCAGCCCTTCTCCGTCCTCGGGGAAAAGCCCCCAAGAACTGCACACACGTTCCACACGGCTCTTTAAAGGGAGCGCTGAGCAGAGCCTCCCGCCTGCATTTGCTCCATAAGACACACACAGATTGCCCCTTACTTTTTAGGAGGGGAAAAGTGCGTCTTATAGAGTAAAAAATATGGTAGTTATTTGTGTGAAAGTGATATATTGCACTGAAGCCTTTTTTTAACTAAAAAAACCCCACACCAACTGTCAGGGAACTGCCATCAGTGCCGGAGGGAGAGAGCAAGATCCGGAGGGATTCCAGAGAGCGTCCCGGGATTGGGAGAGGCAGCCCATCTTCTGGGGAAGAGAATCAGCGTAGCACCAGTGGAGAAGGGGGGCAGATGGGGGAAGCGGCGAGGCGGTCCCATGACTCCTTGCCGGGGACCAGCGGGGAGAGTAGAGGTCCTCCGCTGCCTACACTCTCCTTGTGCAGAAGGCTTTCGCGCAGAGAGAGTAGGAGGAGACTAGGCGTCAAAGAGCTTCTTTGCTGGAAGAGGTTTAAGAAACGCCCACTGACGGATTCTGCCAGCGATTGAGACAGCCACGAGTGAGTGGCTGTCCGGACAGAAAAGGTTCACTCAGGCAACCCAGCCAGGTGTTTGCACCGGCTTACGCACGAGCAACCCCTAGAACCACTACACCAACTTTATGTTTTTTCTCTATCTCGTTATTTAGCAAACAACTTTTTTACACCCTTTTCTTAAAACCTATTTGTGTGTGTGACAGTTTCTAAGGGATTTTCCTTTCTTGACAGAGCTTCCCCCTTCTGAGTTAGCAGAGTTAGTGACACAATGAAAGGTTGCACTTTCACAATTGCTTCCTTGGAAGTGTTGGCTTGAATGAATCACCCAGTGAGCGAGTGCCTGACTGAATCAAGGAAGGAAATAAGAAGAGTGGTGATTAAGTAAATAACTCTTCCATTCACACCAGCAGGAACTGTAGTTCAGATTATTTGTTTCTAGTATCAGGAATACGTCAGAACACATCACATACATTATAACTGCATATCAGTAAGATTGTACAAATAAAATAACCAGCAACATTTTCCACCTTTTCTGTCAGTCAAGGATGTTTCTTCAGAAGTAAGCTAAGTTCAGTGGGACAAAGTCTCTAGCAAGGGGGCTTAGGACTGCAGCCTATACACAGTATGACTTAGCAAAAAGTCCTACTGAGTTCAGTGAGATTTCTGATTAAGTGTGCACAGGTGTGATGGCCTGGGAATGGGATTCAGAGGACCAGCTGAGCTGGGGCCTGAGCCCGAAGGGTCCTCACCTGTGCTGGATCCTCAGGTGCAGGCACCAGCTGAGTCTGCTCTGGCTCCTGAGGTGATGGAGGACCCATTGCCTGCAGGTGCTTTACTCCCAGCCCACTCAGGGGAAGCTGAGGTTCCCTCTGGGTCCAGTAACCCTCCAGCCTCTCCTGAGCTGCAGAGGCTCAGGGCAGAGAGGCGGAGGGAACTAAGTTCTCGCAGGAGGAGTGCTCGCCTCCAGGCCAGGAGAGGCAAGTCACCTGTGGACTGGGGCCGCCCTAGGCCTCAGAGGAGATAATGGCCAGCCAGCCCAGTCCCAGGTTGTGGGAGCAACATTGTTGGTAACCTGTTCCTGCCGGCACCCTGTCCTGCTCTTCTGCCAGAGTTCCTGACCTCACCCGACTCCCTGCCTTGGACCCCGCTTCAGCCTTGACGGACAGCCTCCATACCACACCCTCGACCTCGGACTGGACTCGGACCACTCCACATGGTAACCCCCCGGGACCAGCACAATAGGCTTAGACCACACAGAGCTTTGATAAAATTTTGTTAAGAAGTACCTACAAATACAATTGTACTATTATTACAGCCTATAATAAATAAGCACTATTTCATTGGGTTCCAGAAATTGCCTCCAGTTAAAAGATGTGGTCTTACATCTCTGCAGATCATGAGACTATCCAACAAATAGCAGGGAAGATGGCATGTCACTCACTTTACCCTCACCTTAATTAGGAAGGGTTTTTTCTAACCAGGTCACTTCGAGCTGCTGATGGCATGACTTTGAATGGGCAGAAGACAATTAAACAGAAACTTGCAAAATTCTAAGGGGTAAGCTATGTAAAAAGCTTTCTTAGTCTGGAAATGCCACTTTCACCTGTCACACAAAAGTCAGAATGGCTGTGATTCTGGTATCACTTACTCTCTCTCTATTTAGAACTGCGGTATATTCATCACTCTTCTGCTCTGCTTCCCCTTTGGGGCAGCTTATGCAGGATCTCCCAGGCAACTGCCCTTTTAGGCACTGTAATCCTGTGCATTTCACAGCATTGTGGCAAGTGAGCTCAACTTTTTAAAAAGCTCTTCTATAGCATTTCTGAGAATTAGGCTGCACAAGGCCAGTAAAAAGTTGTCATCCTTACTTTTGTGAACCAGTTTATGAATTTAGGATAGCCAGCTGGCAATGCCTAGGCAAAAATCAGACCCTAAGGTAATTTTTCTGGATTTTGGTATTCTAACCCAATGTTAT